CCTTCTGCCGCCGCCTCCTCCTCGTCTTCCACTGCTCCCGTTCCTCACCTCGACCGATCCAAATCCGCCGTGCAGGCTCGGTCCAAGCCTGCTGGACTACCCCGGTCCGGATCCGCGATTGTACGGTCAGGATCGGCCGCTGCCCTTCACGCTAGTCCGTGCCATGCGGCATCGACGGCTCTGATTGAATCGGTGGCCCTGCTCCCGCTCCCCATCACCATCAGCCAGACCATTGCCCCTCTCATCGCTCACATTACCAGGGGACCCCTACAACACGCCTCCCACATTCAAGACCTCCTGATCGATATTGGTACGTCTTGCTTCCCACCCACTCGACTCAAACACTACCTCTCTGTATGTATGTGGGTAGGGCAAGGGCAAGGGCAGGTCAAGTCAAGCCTCCCGCTCCCCATCACCATCAGCTGGACCATTGCCCCTCTCATCGCTCACATCACCAGGGGACCCATACAACACACCTCCCACATTCAAGGCCTCCTGATCGATATCGGTACGTCTTGCTTTGTGTGTCCACTCAGAGGCTACCTCTTTGTTTGTTGAGAGCTCACATCTGGCCTCCCACTGAATGCAGCAGGCCTCCCACATTCACAATCTCTTCATTCATATCGGTACGTCTTGCTGTGCCTCCACTCGGGGGGTACCCTTCTCTTCTAGGGCCACTGCGGCACGCACTACTACGCCACGCACTACTGCGGCACGCACTACTGCGGCACGCACTACTGCAGCACGCACTACTGCAGCACGCACTACTGCAGCACGCAATACTGCAGCACGCACTACTGCAGCACGCACTACTGCAGCACGCACTACTGCAGCACGCACTACTGCAGCACGCACTACTGCAGCACGCACTACTGCAGCACGCACTACTGCCACTTGTTGCCGAGGCTGCAAGCAGCGCTAGCTCACATGAAGATGAGTGAGGAGAGCATGTAGATAGAGCACGTAGGCAGGAAAGAATTCATTCTCCTTCTCGCCCTTCCCTTGTCCCCTTTTGCATCTTCCAAGTTGGGAGAAAAGGCTTCGAAATGACACTTGGTGCCGAGGCTACAAGCAGCGCTGGCTCACATGAAGATGAGTGAGGAGCAGCGGCAGCTGCAGCAGCAGGGGCAAGAGGTGCAGCAGGGGGGGCATTTTCCCTGTGAAACTTGTGTGTGCATCCGCCTCTGTCAACCCCCCCCTTCCCTCTCTTTCCCCCCCTCTCCTCGCCCTTCCTTTCTCTTCGCAGCTTCCAAGTTGGGAGAAAAGGCTTCGAGACGCCACTTGGTGCCGAGGCTACAAGCAGCGCTGGCTCACATGAAGATGAGTGAGGGGCAGCGGCAGCTGCAGCAGGGGCAGCAAGGGGCAGCGGGGAGGAGGAGGCGGTTATTAGATGTTGGAGGGGACGAGACAAGGCGGGAGCTGCTAACGGGTGTTCTCACGGATGTATACGATTTATTTGCAATGGACGAGGTATGTGGGATTGGGGTAGGGGAGGGAATGGAGAGGAGAAGGAGACTGTTAGACGTGGGAGGGGACGAGAGAAGGCGGGAGCTGCTGGCTGGTACTCTGACGGATGTATACAATTTATTTCCAATGGACGAGGTATGTTTGCTATGTTTGTGTGATTGTATGTTTGGACGCCTCTCATTCCGAGCCACACCTTGGGATTGCCGCCACCGAACCTTCTTGTCACACCAACTCAGGAATCCCCCGCAAACCCTTTTCCCACACCCCTTGCCCCATCAGGCCAACGAGTCAGGGCTTTCCCTTGACTCGAATAATTCTGAGCCACACCTTGGGACTGCCGCCACTGAGCCAGCTCCAGCAGAGGCACCAGTATCGCCAACAACAGCAGCGGCGGCCGCAGCAGCAACAGCGGCTGCAGCAGCAGCAGCGAAGCGATTTGCAATCCACACTGTGACCTCTCCGGTCAATTCTCCTCCTCATTCCGCTCCCACCGATTCAGAAGCTGCCGCTGCAGCCACAGCAGCAGCAGCAAAGCGATTCGCCTTTCACACTGTCACCTCTCCTGTCAATTCTCCTCCTACTGCCGCTCCCACCGATCCAGAAGCTGCAAGAAAACCTCCTTCCTACCCTACCACTGCAACAGCTGCTACAGCCGCAACAGCCGCTGCTGATGCAACAGATGCTGCTACAGATTCCGAAGCTGCTGCTGCTACAGCTGCCCCAGCTGTTTCGTCCGAATCCCCTAAACTTGCCTCTAAAGCAGGGAACTTATCTAAGCGACTGGGTATGGTAGCAGCGGCTCTCACCCCTTCCTCTCTGCTCTTAGACGGATTTGGTTGGTCCCTCCCTATGCTAACACTTAACAAGTCACCTTCTCACTCACGCAATATTAGTGCCAGCTCATCAGCGGAAGATTCCAGGGTGCTTCCTCCTGCCGATGCCTCTGCTGCTGGTGGTCTGGCCTCCACCGCTGCTGCGAACAGCAGCCAATCCTGGCTCTCCACGTCAGCTGAATCTTTGCCTGAGATCCACCCGGGCAGCCTAGAGGAAAGTTCCTCTGTGCCCGATCCGCCCGAGCCGTGGTTCTGGCTGCCCGAAAAACGTTTAGATGCCCCTCCGGATGAGGAGGGGTGGGACGTGGGGAGGAGGCTGGGGGGAGGAGGGGGAGGGGCGGGGGGAAGTTCAGTCAGCCTTGCTAGCATGAGCGCTGTTTCGTCTGTTTCTGGGGGAGGTGGCAACTCGTGGATGGCTCGTGACAGGGAGGAGTCCCAGCCTGGGTGGCATCTGAATTTGTCTGTACTCAGATCCTGGGCGGCACACGACGGGCCAGTTACAGGAATAGCGGTTTTGGAAAATGAAGAAGCGTTTGTGACTATAGGGAGGGGAGGGTCCCTGTCAGAGGGGAGCGGAGGAGGGGGAGGAGGAAGAGAAGGAAGAGCAGGAGGGGGAGGACGAGTGGGGAGAGGCCGAGGAGGGGGAGGAGGGGGGGAGAGGGTTCGGGTGTGGGATGTAGGCTCGGGAGATTGTACCCTTGAATACTCAGGCCATACCGAGGTTCCTCTTGCAGTGTGTGCGTTACAAGGCACCTCGTTAGTAGCAACATGCGACGAAGTAATCCACGTGTGGGACTCATCCTCTGGCGAGCTTCTCTCGCTCTTTGAAGAGCCGCCTTCCTCTCTAGCAGCTCCAGCACCTCCAGCAGCAGCAGCAGCAGCAGCGGGAGCAGCAGCAGCTCTACTCCCACCACTCCTCCTCCACCCCTACCCTCTCCGCCGCTGCCGCCGCTGCCGCTGCTGCCGCAGCAGGAGCGGCCGGAAACCCTCTCGCGTATTTCTCCTCCTCCCCTCGCCTCGCCATGCCTATCGGCCAGCTTCCGGACCAAACCTCCTCTCTCGATCCCGCTGCTTCATCCTCAATCTTCTCCTCTTTCGCTGCCGCTACAGCCGGAGTAGCAAGTGGGATCCCAGCCTCCCCTCGCATGTCCTCCTCTCTCTTCTCCTACCATCCCTTCTCCTCCCTCTCCTCCCTCTCCACAACCCCTAGATCCCACCCTTCCCCACCCTCCCTCTCTGCATCCGCCCTCCCGGACCTCGCCGGGCCAGGCTCGGGAGACGGCTCGGCGGGAGGTCCGGGAAAGGCTGGGACGCCGAGGCATGGAAGAGGGCGCAGCTTTAGCAGTCCCATGACTGTGTGTCGATACACCTCGCTGCTCTTCCTGGGGCCGGCAGGGGGGAACCGGCTTGTGGCCGGCACGTCCACAGGCTGCATCCGGTGGGTGCTCTCTACTCTCTGCTTGAGTGTGTCTGGTGGTTGACTGTTGGAGTGCATCCAGTGTGCATCCAGTGTGCATCCAGTGTGCATCCAGTGTGCATCCAGTGTGCATCCAGTGTGCATGCTGGCGTTCGTTACCAGTCCCATGACTGTGTGTCGATACACCTCGCTGCTCTTCCTGGGGCCAGCAGGGGGGAACAGGCTAGTGGCCGGCACGTCTACAGGCTGCAACCGGTGGGTTCCTTGTGTAGTGGTGGCAGCAGAAGCAGGTTCAGTGTATCTGGTCTACTGTGTTTCTGGTGCTCGTGGCAGGCACGTCTACAGGCTGTATCCGGTGGGTGCTCAGTTACATTAGCAGCATGGGAGGGGGCGTAGCATTTTTCATCTTATCCTCCTGTGCTGCATGGGATGGGGCGTAGCTTCAACAGTCCCATGACCGTATGCTGATGCACCTCGCTGCTGTTTCTGGGGCCAGCAGGTGGGAACAGGCCAGTGGCCGGCACGTCCACAGGCTGTATCCAGTGGGTTGGCTTTGCTCTGTGCTGCTTGGTATCTGGTGTTTACCCAGTGTGCATGGGAGAGGGGGCGTAGCTTTACCATTCCAATGTGCCTGTTTGTGTCGATACACCTCGCTCGCTGCTATTCCTGGGGCGACCAGGGGGGACCAGGCTAGTGGCCGGCACGTCTACAGGCTGCATCTGGTGGGTTGGCTTTGCTCTGTGCTGCATGGGTCAGCATTCCAATGTGGCTCTTTGCGTCGATACACCTCGCTCGCTGCTATTCCTGGGGCGACCAGGGGGGACCAGGCTCGTCCGTTCAAGCGTACCCTCTCCTTACCCCTTTTCTTCTCCCCCTTCTCAGCCTCGTGGACATGTGTGCGGGTCGCCTGCTATCCCTCTGGCATTGCGGTCTATCCGAGCCCTTCTGCTCCTCCCTGTTTTCAACAGCCCTTCACAACACCCTCTAAGCCTGCCTTCTCTCCTATTCCTTCTCCCCCTTCCAGCCTCGTGGACATGTGTGCGGGTCGCCTGCTATCCCTCTGGCAGTGTGGTCTATCCGAGCCCTTCTGTACGCCAGTCACTGCCCTCGCTTCTGCTGCCACCACCACCTCCTCCTCCTCCCAATCCCATCGCCGCTCCACCTCCTCCTCCTCCCCCTCCTCCTCTTCCTCCTCCGCCCAAACTCGCTCTCCAGTTTCCACCAAGTGTGTTTCTGTGGGGTTCCACTCGGGACACCTGGCGTTCCTTGATTGGACAACGGGGATGGTCGTGGCACGGGTCAAGGCACACTCAGGGAGGGTTACAGGGGTGAGTGTTACTGCCTTGAGACTATGTCTTAGGCACCTGGGTAATAGGCCCTGGGAGGTTTACAGGGATGAGTGTGGCTGCTGGGGTTGCTGAGGTGTCTCAAGAATGTCATGGCACGGGTCAAGGCACACTCGGGGAGGGTTGTGGGGCTGAGTGCCACAGCATTAGGTCTAGATTCTAGGCGCCTAGACCTTGTAGTGTGGCTGTTGGTTTTGGGTGGTAAAAAATGTCTGGAACTTTCCATTGACAATAAAAAAATCTGCAAAAGTCAGTTCTGCACATATCATATTTTGTTGTCCTCTCGGTCTTACTCCATTTCATGCTCCGTAAATTCGTCCTTTTCTACGCACACATGTTCTTCTTCTTCTCGTTTTCCTGTCACTTGTCTTGGTCGCTTCCCCTGATCACTTCTCTCAACCAACCAGCTCGTGCCATGTGGCGAGTATCAGCTGCTGTCCTCATCCACAGACTCGACCATTGCCCTGTGGGATATCAGAAGGTATGCACTGAATGACAGCAAGTCTTTCTCATACTCTTTATAAGCCACCTCAGCAGCCTTAGTAGTTAGCTGCTGTCCTCATCCACAGACTCGGCCATTGCCCTGTGGGATATCAGAAGGTATGCACTCATTCACAAGGCGTTCTATACCTATTATTAGCCTCCTCGACATCCATTCTGATTAGCTGCTGTCCTTATCCACAGGCTCGACCACACGGCAATCATTACCCTGTATAAGCCTTTCTCATCCGCGCGGCCCCTTTCCCTTTTCCTACCCTTCCCTTCCCTACCTTCCTCGACCAATCCAGAGCTGCTGACGTGGCAGCAGTGGAGAGGGTGGTGGCTCATACGCAAGGCATCACAGCAATGGTTGCTCTCACACCCACCATGCTCACGCCCTCTTCTGGGGGAGGTACATCTGGAGCAGGCGGAGGGCTGGGTGGTGTGGGAGCGGATTTAATGCCGCCCAGCATGACTCTGGGTCGGGTGGTGATGACCGCAGCTGGAAGTCACATTGGCGTGACGAATGTCTCGGGATTGTCGCAAGTTGCAAATGCTCGCACCCGTGTCAAGTTCTCAAGCCATGAGCTTGTTGTTCGCTGGCCGCCTCCCCTTTCTGTAAGCTTTGATGCCCACTTCCCATTGTGTTTTTTTATTGTTGTCTGTGATTTCCTGTTTGCAGAAATTCCTGTGTTCGTTCTCCCCCCCCCTCCCCCTTCCCCCCCTTTACCAGTGAGCTGATTCAGTATGCAAGCTCTTTTTCTCTTTAGATGGTCATTTAACCCAATATACCATGACATTAATCCTGCCGTTCCTCTTTGTGGGATTTCTCCATCAGGATATCAATCTACCATTCCATGCACAACAAGTGATTGACAACATTCAATCCTCCAGGTCAACCCCCATATTTTCGTTGGACGTGCTTCCCTACTCCCGCCTCTTCCTTGCTGGGGGAGAGGATGGCATTGTCCGTGTTTGCAATTAGCAGCATACAACAATGCCGGCAATGGAGGCAAAAAGTAGTTGGTGAATGCGCAAAGTATAGAATAATTACATTGAGCCAACCAGTATTTGCTTGATGTGCAACAAGAGTATAGAAGAACTGTTGGATACATGCTATGCTAGTTCGATTTACAACATTTCTAGGTGCTCGAAGTTTCTTTTTTTAGTGTACACTGTCTAGATATTTGCGTCGCCCCCTGTCTGGGAGGCACCAATCTCGAGGCCGCGAACTGACAAGCTCGCGCGGAGCGGGCTTTTTGCCTACAAAGTGAGCGGGAACAGCTTCGGAAGTGGCATCTCCTTTCTGTTGAGTTTGCTTTTTTTTTAAGCCAGTTCAGCCAAGACTGTCATTTGCTACTGCTTCCCTTTTGAATCCAGCTTTGCCAAGAGAACTACGACCATGAGGGAAATTCTTCACGTTCAGGCAGGCCAGTGCGGGAATCAGATCGGTGCTAAGTTCTGGGAAGTCATTTGTGAAGAACATGGAATCAATCCTGTCGGGGATTATCGTGGGAATTCCGCCCTTCAGCTTGATCGGATCAATGTTTACTTCAATGAAGCGTCCGAAGGCCGCTATGTTCCTCGGTCTGTCCTTATGGACCTAGAGCCGGGTGTTTTGGATAGCGTTCGCGCTGGTCCTTATGGAAAGATCTTCAGGCCGGACAATTTTGTCTTTGGTCAGAGTGGTGCAGGAAACAATTGGGCTAAAGGCCACTACACGGAGGGTGCTGAGCTTATCGACTCCGTTCTCGATGTTGTTCGAAAGGAGGCTGAGAACTGTGACTGCCTTCAAGGTATAACTTATGCAAGCATGCTGAATGTGTATATTCCTCTGGGATCGATGCTGATTCAGATTTGTTTCATTGCTACAGGTTTTCAAGTGTGTCACTCTCTTGGCGGCGGAACCGGTTCAGGAATGGGAACTCTACTGATTTCCAAGATGCGTGAAGAGTTTCCTGACAGGATGATGATGACCTTCTCGGTGTTCCCGTCGCCGAAGGTTTCTGATACCGTCGTAGAGCCATACAACGCGACGCTTTCTGTCCATCAACTGGTCGAGAATGCGGATGAGTGCATGGTTCTTGATAACGAGGCGCTTTATGACATCTGCTTCCGAACTCTGAAGCTGGCTAATCCGAGCTGTAAGTTAGCGTTTAAGCGTTTTTCTTTAGTTAATGCTAGCGTGTTTTATTCTTCAGATTCACGATTTTCTTGTTTTTGCTGCAGTTGGAGATTTGAACCATCTTATATCTGCGACTATGAGTGGGGTCACGTGCTGTCTTCGCTTCCCTGGACAGCTCAACTCCGATCTCAGGAAGCTTGCCGTTAACTTGATCCCGTTCCCCCGTTTGCATTTCTTCATGGTTGGATTCGCTCCTCTGACTTCTCGGGGTTCGCAGCAGTACAGGTCATTGACCGTTCCGGAGTTAACTCAGCAGATGTGGGATGCGAAGAACATGATGTGCTACGCCGATCCACGCCATGGTCGCTATTTGACTGCTTCAGCAGTGTTCAGGGGAAAAGTCAGCACCAAGGAGGTTGACGAGCAGATGCTGAATATTCAGAACAAGACTTCCTCTTATTTTGTGGAGTGGATCCCCAACAACGTGAAGTCGAGCGTGTGCGACGTGGCTCCCACAGGACTCAAGATGTCATCCACTTTCATTGGGAACTCCACTTCAATTCAGGAAATGTTCAAGAGGGTTGGTGAGCAGTTCACAGCCATGTTCAGGAGGAAGGCCTTCTTGCATTGGTACACAGGTGAAGGCATGGATGAAATGGAGTTCACGGAAGCAGAGAGCAACATGAACGACCTGGTTTCCGAGTATCAGCAGTATCAGGAGGCGACGCTGGATGATACTCCTCTGGAAGAGGAGGAGCGCGAGTTGGATGATGCATGATAACTGCTTTCATAAAAGCTGCTGCATTGGTTCAGTCAGTTAGCTGGTGAATATTACTGAGATGGCATGATCATATTACGGTGATAGGATTTAGTTTCCATTCAGTTTAACTCGTGACCATAGTACCGTGTACACTTGCTCAGTTACTAGTTCTGTTTTCAGTTACTACCGTACGTAAATTTGTTTGGACGCCAGTAGCTTTCTTGAGTCTCGGGTATTGAGATGCTGGCATGACATAATAATGCTTTAGCAGTTGTCTGGATGAAATCTGCATACACCTCATTCTGCCATATGAACACGAGCTTGACTTGAGTTGGCCCTTTTCCATTGTTCCCTGTTCTGATTGTATCGAGTAATGTTGTTAAAGATGAAATCACTGTTGAAAATGTGCAAAAAACCATCCACGGTCGTGACACGTATGTATTGAGTAATGTGACACGTATGTCTACGATTTGAGCAGTTTTTTGTTTTAGGGGGAGGGGAATTCGTTCTGGATGATTTCTAAAAGAACCACGAAATCTCGAATAGCTCAAGTGTACCATCTCTTGTCGAACAATTGTTTCGGTCGTTTAGCGAGTTGACAGTTGAACACAGCACGATTATTGGTGGCGTGTCTACCTGCTCTCCACGTCGAAGATTCGGCGGGAAAAAAGAAACTTACGGTGGAGATCTTTGTTCACCTCCGTCGTCAGCTTACCCAACTGAAGTCCGTCTTCCGCGGAAGCCCTTGGTGCAGGTCCCTCGCTTGCTTTTCCTTGTTTGTGGGTGGGGCGGGGGGAGGGGAGATCTTGAAACACGAAGTCTAGGGTTTCAGGTTGTTCTTTTCGGTTGACGCTGCTGCAGTTGCTCCAGAGCGACATTCCCCCTCAGTTCTAACTAGTTTCTAAGCTTTGGATCTGCTAGATCTAAGTCAGGTATCTCGGGTTTGTCACTTGTAGCGAGCAGCTTGGCGGCTCTCCTCCGCCATTCTAGCAGCAGCTCCAGCCGCAGAATGCAAACATCTCCAAACTGTGATAGCTGGCAATTCTCTAGGAAGCATATAGAAGATCAGTCCCCATCTAGAAAGGACGGACTGTCATTGAGACGGGAAAATTCGCATCGTCGCTTGGCTCTCGCCTTCACACAAGATGTTGGCTGTTTGCTTAAGATGTAAGGACCGGCATAGGTTACTCGCGAGCTTTCGTGTCTGCATCTTGTAAGGGACTTAAACGAACCTACCTTATCCTCATACGCAGGGACCAGTACACAATCGCTACAGCCTTCGTCTACTGGCAACGGTTTTTCATGATTCAGTCCTTGTCCAAGAACGATCCATACGTATGTACAGGGTGCAGTTTAATTGTTTCGTTGTCAGCGGAGTGGTTGTTTGATCGTCAGCGAGCCTTTTTTTTTTTTTAACAAATCGTTTCATGTTCTTATCCAGCTTATCGCATCCGCATGCCTTCTTCTCGCTGGGAAAGTCGAAGAGAACTTCAAAAGTTTGCAGAAGATAACGGAGATGTCATTCTATGTCCGAAACAAGAAGGATCCGAAGGCCTTGGAGTCTATTAAAAGCACCCCCGTAAGTTCGATAGGAACGTTTATTTTTGTTATCTGTTTGTGGATTCCGAGGCGGTGTTGCATGGTGTGTTTACTTGTGTGTGTCTCTGTGTTTCAGAAGCTCTTATTGGCGGAGATGGACAGGGTGGTGAAGGCAGAAGAAGCCCTTCTTGTTACCATGAATTTTGATTTTTTCGTCAGTCACCCGTACAAGCCGATCTGCTCTGTGGTGAAGGAGTTCGGTTTTACAAACCGCCAGTCTGAAAGGGACCGGACTTTCTTTCAGATCGCGTGGAACTTCGCCAATGACAGGTCTGCTCCTTGTCATTTGGGGGTGGATTCTCTAGGGTCCTTGAGCGTGCTCAGTGTAATTTCGACCTGAGTAGCACAAGACCAATCCGTATCTGTACCTCCCTCGTGGTTCGTTTTCCACGTCCCACGCTGTCTGATGGTATTCAGTTTGCGGACCACGCTCTGCCTTCAGCCGTTTTGGCCGATGGACATTGCGGCAGCTTGCGTCAATCTTTCAGCGACTGCCTTGAGTGTCCAGCTTCCGAAAGCTGCTGAAGGAGCACCATGGTGGACCAAGTACGGCGTCTCTCCAGAGACACTTCAAGGTCAGTAGCTGAATCATGTCACCTGTTATTAAGCCTCGCTGCCAGACACGCATTGTGCTAACGTATGATTGCGCAGACGTCGAGCTGCAGATCATGTCCTTGTACAAGAGGAAGGAGGGCGATAGCCAAACACCAACGTCTTGCCTTTCTCTTCCAGCCACTCCATCTATCAACGCCCCTCCGGCAAAGAAGCAAAGGACTGAGACCCCGAGTCCCACTAGTGCCGTTATGTCGTCACACCAGTGCCAGTCTGATGCGAAGGTTGGTCAGCAGGGCGAGCCAAACCAACATGACCCTAGGGAACCTGACGTCAAATTGAATCACCAGGCTGACGGAGAGCGTGAGGTAAAGCCTCAGTCTCTCGGCACTGAGCTTGTGGGGAAGGCTGGCGGACAAGAGAAGCATGATGCAGTTGTCAGCAGCAAGCCGGCTGTGCTTGTTTCGTGTGGATCTGCCGCTGCTACAAAAGCGTCTCAGCACACCTCCCCAGGGAAGGTTGATTCAGGGGGTTCTGTTATGGAGCTTTCAGAGGAGCTGATATGCAGACTGGAGGATGTAGAAGTGCACAGGCGGAAGCGTACAGCAGCAAACGCTTTTGTTGCTTAGATTGGTTGACTTGTTGGGAATTTCCAGAAATTGTTTGTTCCTATTTTTGGTGATTAACGTTAATCAAGAGAGTCATACCCAAAGTTTGAGCTTTGTGTGTTGAATAAATCATTAGAGACTGTTTCCAGTTGTATAGTTACTGTGAATATAGGTCGCATCATTGAGCTGTGATTTGAACTGGGCATGGGTACCTGGGGGTGGTTGTATTCGTTTGTTTCCAAATATGCATCAAATTGCTGATGCCTCGGTGACAATTCAAGAAATGAGTAAGAACAGGTGCTAGTCAACCCATAAGTGGTGTACCGCTGTTAATATTCACTTACACATAAACTGTAGTGAACCTGTGTGCTGGAATATCCTCGGACTTCAATGCGTTTTGAGGTAGCGTTCGGGCTGACACTTCCACCCCCGTTCCAAGTTCCTTCAATGTGGCCAAGCTTAGGCAAGGGCTATGGCAGTTCAGCATTTGCTGACGCAGCGATCACAGCGTGTCCCTCCATTGCGGTGCCACGCAGTCATTTGGGCCAGCCCCAGTCGATCACATTTCCTACTGACGTCAACCATCGTGTCCCTCGAATAGAATGAGGATTTTGCACGTGGACGAACGTGGCTGATCACTCGCAAGCCTCAAAATTCTAGTAAGCCGCATCGCATTAGGAGGTGGTCATGTGCCGTATGTTCCTGCAGAAAAAGACAAGACAACCTTGGATGGAAGGGGGCCGAGCTACTGTAGCACTACAACCAACCGTTTCCTTCCATCTCGCTCCCACCTCAAACCACATCCACATCGCTCAATCCTTGGGAAACCCTACACTTTCAGCCAGCAAATCTTCCAACTTCAAGGCTTGCCACAGGTATGGGTTTGCTAGTGGGTCAGTGCCACGTCTGAATCACGTCATTCTCCTAGGAATACGCGTGTGTATGCCCGTCGTCCCAGGAAAAGTGGTGTCGCAGAGCCACCTGGTGGGCGTGTGACCGAGGAGATAAGGCTATGAGCTGGCATGACGCGGAAAACACTTCGAGAAATGGGAGGTTCATGCCAAACAGTCAATTGGATGGTTATGGACAATGGTGAACGCAAGCCGATTGGTATTGATGATGGAAAGATGAATTGTTTAGCGGCCTGGTTTTCCTCGTTGGTTGCACTTACGATTTTTTTAGCGCTATCGATAACTGTTCCGAATTACATTTCGCCTCCGCCACAATTGGCATGGTTCTCGAAGGCAGCTCCGTTGCACTTCTCTGGCCCTCGATTTCTGTCTGGGGCAGCGGTGACTTCTTTCCACGTCACTGGTCCCAGGTCTGCCATTCGAGCAAACATTTTTCTGCTGGATTATCCATCAACGTTCACGGATGGTACTGTGCTATCATCAGAGTGATTACTGTTGTCGCTGGGATGACATGGAACACGTGTTGCATGACTGCTCCCCCAAAACCATGCAAGGCGGAGTTTGTCGGGAGCTTAGGCGCGCGGTTCTGCAACGGAGCCTGGACTTCGGATGGAGGGCACGGTGTGGATAACGCGCCTGGCAAGGCAACCTGACTCCCTCTAATCGTTCCACACCTGGAGGCTCGGGAACCACATCCGTGCTTTGGTGGCTGTGAGTCCACTTGCGAAGAGACCGATTAGGTTCGGCTAAGGAGGCGTCAGGTTCGACAGGTAACACGCACGGCTTGGGTATGAACCATTGTGGTTTGGCTGGCCCAGGCCCACCTAGGTTTTCAAACCCTGCATCTTCTCTCCTTGAGGGTTCCATTCTCTGCTCTCAGCAGCACAGCAGCAGCAGTCACCCCCTCCCCTGCTCAGCCCAGATCTATGGCTTCCCCCCATTCCTTTCCCTCCCAGACGGTTAAAGTAATTAGGTTCTGACGTCTTATTCTTACTGGTCGCTAAGAAGGTAGTTCGGGAATGGCTTTAGGCGTCTCCCACATTCCTAGGAACCTAGGCAGTGCATGTACAGCTAAGCTTTCCTCAGCGGCGCCGTCACTTAGGAGCACAACGAAATGTCAGAGCACAGGGAAGTTTCGTCCAAAGAAGCAGCAGGCGCAGCGGCTACCAGAACCTTGCGAGAGGCTTCAAACGACAGTTCAAGCATCCTTAGCGAGCGAGCGGCTAAGTAGCGCTTTTCCATACGCTTCTGCTGATGAGTTAACGAGGAGGAGTACTCCAGTCGCTCAACAACGGTGGGGTGGTAACATTCTTCAAAACGACGAGTCATGGATTCTTTTTTCGAGCGACGACCTAAAAGAAGACAAGAGCTCGACGGAGAGATTAGAAAGACTAGGATCTAGCGCGCAACTGGATACCGCCTCGTGGACGGAGCACAGCGTTCCTAGTTCGCGGGACAGCGGAGGAAGGAGTGCGGGAGTTCCTGTCTTTATCATGCTCCCTTTGGACTCTATAACCATGAGCAACACGATAAGCCGACCGAGAGCGTTTAGAGCTAGCTTAACAGCTTTGAAAAGCGCCGGCGTGGAAGGGGTCATGATGGACGTTTGGTGGGGAATAGTAGAAAGAGAAGGGCCCGGAAGATACGACTGGTCGGCATACAAAGAGCTAGTTTCGCTCGTCAAAGAAGCTGGGCTCAAGGTCCAGGCGGTGATGTCTTTTCACCAGTGTGGAGGCAACGTGGGAGACCATTGCATGTAAGGCCTAGGTTTATTGGCAAGCTTCTCTTCACACTATTAGGCGTCAATACCAAATGACTTGCGGCTGCCATTTTCCGGTTTGCAAAGCCATTAAATGTGCTGGTCTTTCTGTGCTTTCGCTGAACGGCCGGCGCTTTTGTCGCAGGATACCGCTACCTCCGTGGATCCACGAGGCAATAGACAAGAACAACGATATTGTCTACACGGACCGGGCCGGACGAAGAAACAGAGAGTACCTTTCGCTGGGTTGCGACGACCTTCCAGTTCTTCAAGGTCGGACGCCCATTCAAGCTTACAGCGACTTCATGAGGAGCTTCAGGGACGCGTTCTCGGAAGACCTCGGTTCCGTTATTACAGTGAGTCGACGATCGTTATTACCCATTCTTACCTAAGACTGAGCAGAGTTGTTTTGCTATTTGTGTATGATTGTTCTGACCCTTTTTTTTTCCTCCCTCGCAGGAGATACAAGTTGGCATGGGTCCTGCTGGCGAAGTGCTTCGGTACCCCTCGTATCCAGAGGGTAACGGGATGTGGCAATTTCCAGGAATTGGCGAGTTTCAGTGCTACGATAAGGTATGCTGCCTATTTAACCGATGTCGTATGAACTTCGTCGACTGCGTCATTGCATCATCAAACGGTTTTCCAGCTCAAGCATCAAACAGTTTCCAAGCTCTACTATTGTTTCTCTGTTTCTTGCTTGTTAACAATGCTTCTGATGCTGTCGTGTTTTTGCAGTACATGCTTTCGAGCTTGAGAGCAGCCGCCGAAGCCAACGGCAAGCCTAATTGGGGACTCGGAGGTCCGCACGACTCTGGCTACTACAAGCAGTGGCCTCAAGAAACAGGCTTCTTTCACGAGTTCGGCAATTGGAACTCACAATACGGACACTTCTTTTTGCAGGTTAGTAGTAGCGACCCCAAACTGTGCACATCTCTACCATCGTCAGTTGGCGTTTCCTTTTTTTTTTTCACATTCGCGTCATTAGTTTTCTTTATCGCTTGCTGTGATGCTTCCGAAGTCTTGTTGCAATGACGCGAAGCAGACTCTTTATTTTCCCGTCTGACATTTTCTCGTTTTTCCCGTCTGACATTTTCCCGTATCGTTTCCCCGTTTTCCCGTTTCCCGCATCCAGTGGTACTCTGAGATGCTAATTCAACATGGCGACCGAGTGCTTTCCTCAGCTTCATCAATTTTCCGTGGAACCAACACGTCTATCTCGGGCAAGGTGGCAGGTATCCACTGGCACTACGGCACCAAGTCGCATCCACCAGAGCTCACAGCGGGCTACTACAACACCATTTTTCGTGACGGTTACATTCCGCTGGCACGGATGTTTGCCAGACATGGCGCTGTGCTCAATTTCACATGCATTGAGATGAAGGACGCGGAGCAGCCATGGTATGCCCTGTGCAGTCCGGAGGGGCTACTCCGGCAAGTGGCACATGCAGCACATGTGGCGGGCACAAGGGTCTCAGGAGAGAATGCTCTGCCTCGGTTCGACGAGGGAGCCTTCAATCAGGTAATTTACAATAATTGATGCTCGTCTTTCAAGTCTACGTTTGTGTGTGTGTTCGCTTCACCTGTTGAACCCTAGTTTGAATGTTATTCCGTTTTTGTTCTGCTGTTTTGACAGATTGTGTGGAAATCGAGGTTGCAGTTCGATGGCTTCTCCCATGAGGCTCCAATGTCGTCGTTCACATTCCTGCGCATGAACGAGTGCTTGTTTCGGCCGGACAACTGGCGCAACTTCGTGATGTTTGTTCGGCACATGCGCGAAGGTCGGACATTTGCTCCTTGGGACGAGCGCCACAGACACTCCCATGCACAACTGCACGCCACAGGGTCTCTCACACAAGCAGCAGCCGCTCTGATGCTACAATAGGTGTAGTTGAAAAATGGTGTTGAAGATGGCCAGCCAGCGGTGTTCAACGCTAGTGCATTTTGGACATCAGCACATGGGTTAGCTTCCATCAGCGTTTCCGCCTTCCCATCCCCATGAGACTTTTCATTCCACTAACCATTTCCGGTGACTTGCCTTCACCAATACGTCCACAGTGCCCAGTGTCATAAATGCTACAGCATTTGCCAGCAGTCTTACACCCATTCACCTGCAGCCGGTCTGACCTCCGTGTCAACAGATGTAGATGGGGTTTAACTGCCACCCTTTTGGATGATCTTCCTTTGAGGAAAGTACTCTAGGGCATTGGATTAGGATGCATGTTGTTCCAACGCTGAGTGTATAATTGTAGAGCAGAGTGGTACTTCGTTTGTGCCCCTGCCAAAGTATTAATGACCATCATGCTGTCCGTCGAAATAGACTAACATCAGGTGCACCTCACTGGCTGACGATTTCATGAGCCATGTAATATCGCAATTTCCTCCATTTCATGACTTACGCGACGTCGTAATATCGTGAACTGCGAACAGGAGGCGCAACGGATATCGGGGACCTTTCAAAGAAAGGGGCAACGGTTATTGATCTGTTTCCTCCGTCATTGACCACCTCGATTGATGGTTTGCTCCCGTCTCTCGGCCACTCGCCCATCATCGTCCTCGCGTCTGGAAAGCAGATCGAAGTGTTCCGTCCCCTGAGAGAAATTGATCACGGGAACAAAAACCGCCAAACTACCGACCTGAATTGTTCTGTCTGGAAGCTGAGGTTCTCGCGGGTCGCTATAGCTACCTAGGCTCAGGAGTATAGCCATGGTTGGTGCGTGTAAGGAAATGGCGGTGTATTGTTTTGACAATTTGCTGTCGCACTACAACGGTGACGATCCTCCTCCGCCCGCCTTCGAGGGTGGCCAATAGTAAGCAGCGCGAAATCTGTTTTCGCTAGTTTGAGTACTATCGGCAAAGGAAAACGTTCCGTACTGATCGGTTTTCTGGGCTGTGTGAGTGTGCAGCCCACTATTTGTTACCTGGAAGAAAGTATCAGATACTGGTGAGGCTCGGCTGCGGGGTTGCATCGGAACGCTCGAAGCTCGCTGTGTACTAACTGGATTTAAAGACTACGCGCTTACAAGGTATGATCTCGCGAAACTCCCACGTGTTTCCAACTCTTCCACGTCTCATTTCCTTTCCTTCCATATCACATGGTGCAATTCTTCATGTTCTCGAAGTTGTTGGATGCAGTGCGTTAAGGGACCGCCGTTTTTCTCCCATACAGCCTCGCGAGATTGCCACTCTCCAAGTGACTGTTTCAGTGCTGACCAATTATGAGGTTGCGGTTGATTATCTTGATTGGGATGTAAGCACTTCTGCACTGGGGCTCGTTGTTCAGGGAGAGCTATTTGCTATCGTCATCACCCCTGTCTTCAAAATACAACAAATTTTCGCACAAATTTACGTGTGTATGGTATGGTTTCATCAACGTGCAGGTTGGTACACACGGAATGATTCTTGAATTCTTTGATAATCAAAACACAAAGAGAAGTGCCACCTATTTGCCAGAAGTCGCGCTTCATGAAGGTTAGTTCCTCTGCTGCTCCTCCTTCACCCCTCTCCCCTACTTTCCCCCTCCACAATTCTATTCCTTTCCTTGTCCCCTTCCCCCCGTCTCCCGCTTCGCCCTCCCCATCCCCTTTCCTCCCATCTCCTTTTTCTCATTTTCTCTCGCTTCATTCTCCCTATCTCCCCTTCTCTCCTCACCATCCTTCTCTTATCCCTTGTTTGCCTTCATCGCTGTCTCTTGCTTTCAATAAAATTGAACATTTGGAACTCCTATCTGCAGGTTGGACGAAGATTGAGGCTGTGGATTCTTTGATTAGAAAAGCTGGCTACAGCGGACCAATCACTGATGCGCTCAGAAGAAAGCTCCGTGTGACTCGTTACCAGTCTTCCATCTTCACTCTCCACTATGAGGAGTATGTGGATTATGTCCAGAGGACAAGAGGCTACACCCCCAAAGTCTCAAGGTGGTAACATTTTGGGCTTATCTTCTCAGCGCCCTTCTGTACATAATTTCTTCAGGCTGGCTGCAGAAATTGCATGCTGGCCATGCCTCATTCCTGCCTATTGCCTGGCCAGGTCATGTGTGGGTAGTGAAGGAGCTTTACAAACTCTCTGGAGGCTGCTTGGCTTCAATTCCTCCACATGATGAAGGGTGAAGCCTTTGGTAAAGACTAGGATCTTTACCACCTTCAGTGTACCCTTCTCTTGTGGTTCAAACTTCAATATTCATCCACTTAGCCCCTCATGCCCCTGCTTTCAGCCCTGGTGATTCTGAAGTGAAGCTAGAGAAAATCCAGCCATTGTGGTCTGGGAGCATTCTTACACAAATGATGCAGCAGTTCAGCTGCAGCCAGAAACCCCATGCAAGACACAACTATGAGCATTTTCACGCAAACACGAGCAAAAATACGCAGGGGCATTGCAAAGAACAGATTTTTATGTTTGAGAGGCTACCGTTTGACCACGACGAAGGAAGATTAACCCGAAAAATCCCCGTTGTTGGACCGAGTCACGATCAGGTTGAACTCTTTCTTCTCCACCACCCTCGGTGGCATTTTCCATGGTTTGCTCCTCCACATCACTTTCACTGCCTGACTGTCCTTGGTCAAACTCAGCAGCAGTCTCTTGTGGTGCATCAAATTGACTCGAGGTGTGCAAGCCATTTGTGCCAACCAGGGTGTTATCAGGAGCACCAGTCATCTGCAAGCAAGGAAAACAAGAAGTAGCCAGCAGTTCAGTGAAGGCGATTGGTATTTTTTGGGGTTACAGCTACGGGGATGAATAGCGTATTGCCAATTCTGATGAAATTAACTCACCAGCTGCTGCCACTGCTGCTGCTGCCTCGCCTGCTGCCGTTGCTGCTGAGCAGCAGCCACTGCTGCAGCTTGGGCTGAAACAGCAGTCAAGTAAGCAATCATCTCGTCCACAAATGCTTGCATGTATGCTGATACAACAGTTTGCAGCTGGCTCACTACGTCATTCACACGCCCCTTGATTTCATCCACCTGTTTGTCAATGTCTTCCTCGTTCTGTAACAACACTGGCTGTAGCAGGTTGTTGTATACGTGGTCCGTGCCTTTGTTGTCAGGGTACCAGAGGTAAATGACCAGAAGCAGCTTCCCCTCTGGATACATAGGCAACCTGTTCAAATTGAATCAGATTGAAAAGTGTTTAGCAGGGTGAACAGGGATGGATTAGATCAAAACGGCTTGTGTTAGCTGACATTTGCCCTCTTTATTGGTAGTGACACCAAAAGCTAAGGGTTTTACAAGATGTGCAAATGAGCTGAGCGGTTTGAGGCAGCTCGAAATATTTGAGCAACATGGCCTGCCCACACGTGCTTACCTTTCCAGTATGGGGTCAGCCAGGCGCTCTGTGACTGTAACGAGGGCAATGAGAACCCTGAAACAAGCGGGTCGGAGGCAGGCGGGAAAAAAGACGGCCAAAAAACTTATTTTTGGCAGAATGAGAAGCATTACATGGTCGCAGGCATAAAAGGTACGACTCATCAGTGTTTGATAGTTCCGCAGATGGAGTAGATGACAAGCACATGAGGGATAAAAGAGGTTCGCACCAGAATTGGCAGAACCATAGCAGCTCCTTGACGTCAGGCCGCCGCTTCCTGATGGCCTTAAAGCAGAGGTACGCTGGATAGAGATAACCGAAGACCAGTCTGCGTCGGATCGCGCACCAGGGGAATGGAGAGGCGACGGAGGGAAAAACATTTCAGAATCTTTAGAAATTACCCCAGTGAAGCAGAGGTATGCTGGATATTGATACCCTAATGATAGCCTGCTTGGGATGGGATCGCGCACGAAGGGAGCAGAGAGAGGTCGGAGAGAAGGATAAGGACTTCGGAAGGTCGGACTGGTCAGGTGGCAACTAAGAGATGACACGAGATGGCTTTTGAGTCGACTCGAAAGTCAGGGATCAGTCGGTGGTAGGGTGATATGGTCCAGAACCACGCGACCACGAGAAGCATCGATAATACTGTAAGATGAGAAGAAATACACGAATTTCCAACAAAGAGATTTCAAGCACGTACGTCAAGAACTGCAGCAAGGCGGGTGGAAGCATCTCGGTCGCTCAGCAACGATCAATGAAGGTTTTTGCTAGGGACGGTTTCGAAGCTCACAACGCCTTTGTGACGGCCCGTGCTAGCGCGCAAGGCTCATACGCCTCTGTGACGGCGTGTGCTAGGGAGAATTTACAACGGCGCTACTATCCCTGACTGCGTGTGCTAGGGAGAGCTAACGAGGCTGGCACACGGCACAGGAGCTATAGAAAGAAGACTCGGCACCTGCAGCAAAAAGCGCGGGGAGTCACGAAGAAGAAAGAACACATTCTTTCCGACTGAAGAGCTTCAGCCGCATAAAAGGTCTCCAAGCTGGGAAACGAACGCAGCGGTAAGAAAATCCGCCGCCCGTGGGGCTCGAACCCACGACCACAAGGTTAAGAGCCTTGCGCTCTACCGGCTGAGCTAGGGCGGCTGATTTCCTAAAATTGTGAAAATTATCTATCTTCAATAGCGTTATGTCCCACTCCAGTGTGGTCCCAGCCTTCCTCCCAAGAGTACTCTGTCAAATGGCGTTATGTCCCACTCCGGTGTGGTCTCGGTGCAAATGGGACCCTCATCTTGCTCCACCCGTTATAGTCACGGTGCTTCCCCGCAATGCCAATGACAGACACCGCATCAGAGCGACTGCGAGCAGCAGTGGGAAGAGCGGAAGGGGAGGCGGAGGGGGAAGCAGAGGGGGAGGCGGAGGGGGAATCGGAGGCGGAAGAGGCGGAACGGGGGGCGAAACGGAGTGGCTCACAGGTGGATCGTGGTTCGAATTTGACACCGATTCTCTCGCCGTGACGTCAGCTCTGCCCGAAGATGACGTCAGCCTCTCTGGCGATGCCCCGGACGCGTCTCGGCCGTCCGATCCGGAACTCAGCGCCAGTCCCTCCGAGCGGGAGGCCGGGGGCTCTGGGCGGCAAGATCCGTCGGATGCGCGCGGTTCCGCGTCAATGTCGGCGGCTGCAGGGCGGCTGGGCGGCAGGTTGGACGGACGGCGCGGCGGCAGGACCGGCGGGGACCGCGGCGCACGGGGCGTGGGAAGGGGCGGGGGAAGGGGCGGGGGAAGGACGGGGGGCTTGAAAGACGCGGAGCTGGCGGAAATCATGGCGGCGGTCAGGCGGGCGGACGCGGGGGGAAGAGAGGGGAACCAGGGGGGAGAGTGGGGGGAAGAGTTGGGGGGGAACGGGGGCGGAGATGGGGGAGTAGGGGACGTGGAGCGAGTGAGAGAGGTGCATTTCAGCGGATGCATTAATGAGTCGTACGCTATAAGCTACAGGCGGGGGGGAACAGCAGGGGGGTTGGAGACCTAGGGACCGTCTTTGTGAAAGTGAACAGGTGAGAGGAGGGGGAGAGAGGAGGGGGAGAGAGGAGGGGGAGAGCGGAGGGGGAGAGAGGAGGGGGAGAGCGGAGGGGGAGAGAGGAGGGGGAGAGAGGATGGGGAGAGCGGAGGGGGAGAGAGGAGGGGGAGAGAGGATGGGGAGAGCGGATGGGGAGAGAGGAGGGGGAGAGAGGAGGGGGAGAGAGGAGGGGGAGAGAGGAGGGGGAGAGAGGAGGGGGAGAGCGGAGGGGAGAGAGGAGGGGGAGAGAGGAGGGGGAGAGCGGAGGGGGGGAGAGAGGAGGGGGAGAGAGGAGGGGGAGAGAGGAGGAGGAGAGCGGAGGGGGAGAGAGGAGGGGGAGAGAGGAGGGGGAGAGAGGAGGGGGAGAGCGGAGGGGGAGAGAGGAGGGGGAGAGCGGAGGGGGGAGAGAGGAGGGGGGAGAGCGGAGGGGGAGAGAGGAGGGGAAGAGAGGAGGGGGAGAGAGGAGGGGGAGAGAGGAGGGGGAGAGCGGAGGGGGAGAGAGGAGGGGGAGAGAGGATGGGGAGAGCGGAGGGGGAGAGAGGAGGGAGCGAAGGTGGAGCGAAGGAGAGAGGTGCATTTCAGCGGATGCATTAATGAGTCGTATGCTATAAGCTACAGGCATGGGGAAACGGGAGAGGAGAGGGGGAACGGGAGAGGAGAGGGGGAACGGGAGAGGAGAGGGGAAACGGGAGAGGAGAGGGGGAACGGTGCAGAAGTAAACAGGTGAGAGGAGGGGGGAGGGAGGAGGGAGAGAGGAGGGAGGGAGGGGAGAGGAGGGGAATAGGAGGGGGAGAGGAGGGGGAGAGGAGGGGGAGAGGAGGGGAATAGGAGGGGGAGAGGAGGGGGAGAGGAGGGGGAGAGGAGGGGGAGAGGAGGGGGAGAGGAGGGGGAGAGGAGGAAAGGAGCGTGAAAAGGCTAGCTGCATTTTGGCGGATGTATTAGAAGGGTTTGTTTTTCAGAATTCTCAGTAGCGATTCCTATTTAGTGGATGCATTAGTAGTGAGGCCACCTCCTTGCAGTCCTTGACTCTCTCCATCTGGTCCACACCGCACGCATCCTTCCCCGCCTCTCCCTCCCTGTATCTCTCTCCCCGTATCCCTCTCCCATACCCCTCTCCCCATATTCTTCACCCAATACCCTTCTTCCCGTGCCTAAACCCGAGTTACCCTCCCCACCCGTACCTGCACTCGTCCACACAGGAGCTTCAGAGCGTGCGAGATGTTTGAAGGGGAAGCACACATGTGAGTGCCGTGCCGTGCCCCTCCCCATGCGCCTTGCCTCTCTCCCACATGTGAGTGCCATGCCGTGCCGTGCCTTTCTGAGACGCCTCAGAGATTGTACCTCGATCGCCCCATGCCCCTTCCCACTCACTCATATCCACATATCCCACTCACTCACCGCGTCTTCCTTTTCCCCATCCTTCCCCATCCCCCGTCACCCTTCCTTCCCAATCCCCATTCTTTCTCATCACCCCCGCCTGCCAGCCTGTCAGCAATCGCAGCAACAGAGACCGTGCGAGTGCCCTGGCCAGTCACAACAGGGGACTTCCGAACCTCCTCCTCTTCCCCCTCCTCCTCCTCTTCCTCTTCCCCCTCCTCTTCTGCCGCTACTCCCAGCAACGAGTCCCATCGAGGATCGTTTATTATTATGGAGCATTTGCAGCTGCGCCCATTCGCCATGGTACAGAATTAAACCAATTCCGACACACAGTATAGCACAGTGTGATTCAGTAGTAGGCAGGCAGGCAGGCAGGCAGGCAGGCAGGCAGGCAAACAGGCAGGCAGGCAGGCAGGCAGGCAGGCAGGCAGACAGGCAGGCAGGCAGGCAGGCAAACAGGCAGGCAGGCAGGCAGGCAGGCAAGCAGGCAGGCAGGCAGGCAGGCAGGCAGGCAGTAAGCATGCGTGGAGGTTCAGTCAGAATTATGGAGCATTTGTAGCTGTGCCCATTCGCCATGGTTAGTGGGACTCAATAAAACGTTAGACAGTGTCTGTTAGGCAAACCTGATTGACCCTGCTACCTCATGTCAACCCCCCTCCCTGTGCCATTTCCAATAGAGCCAGCCAATCAGGAGCAGCTAGGCTGGTCGCTGGCACAGCTCTGGAGTCGACTCAACAGTCATCGTCTAAAACATCATCTCACAATCCTTGTCCAACCATCTTCCTGCCGCCTTCCCTTGGAGTCATTTCAGATGGATCCGGCCAATCAGGAGCAGCTAGGCCGGTCGCTGGCACAGCTGCACCTCGTGTCATCTTCCATACCTGGGGTTCAGTTCGGTTTCAACTCGCCCACACGGTACAGACACATGAAATCGGGCCTTTAATCCAACACTCCCACGCAATACAGCTTTATGTGAATAATAGTAGCAATAATAATATAAAAAATGTATTGTTCATATATGTATGTACGTATATGTCGTTCATTTCCTCCCCCTTCTCCCAGCCTGGGGGTAATGCCTCTAGTCAACGCCCCCCTCTCGTCCTCGTGGCCTGACTTCTTCCTCACCCACCGGTTGCAAGACCGCCTCCTCGTAAGTCTCTTGACTTACCACGTCCCTTGATTCACCATGGCCTGTACTGACTGCATGCGCCTCTCTAGTTCGCGTTGTGCTCTAACCAACACGCCCCTCTCGTCCTCCTGGGCTCACTTCTTCCTCACCCACCGGTTACAAGACTAGCTTGACGCACGTCCCATACACGTACTTTGCTAAAACTCTTTCGATTTTGTTGATGTGCCGCCTCTTTCCCAATAGGCACCATCGTTCAATGCATGTGCTTCGTTTGCCAGAACCTAAATCTCAGTATTCTGCTCAAGCCTCTCGGAGCAGAATTCACAGCCGTTGCATGTATACAAGTTATCTATCTACAGTACTTCCCTGCATACTTCCCCCTACCTACTTATCTACGTTTTTCACTGTGCTGGTGTCACTGGCTATGCACTTATCCACGTTTATATTATCATTTATTCACCAGCGAGTTCTGGCTAGGTTCGGTGAGGAGGCTTGGGAGCTTCGGGACATCGTCCCGATCCTAGTTGAGGCGGCTGAGCGGATCCTGACAACCGAAGCTATGGTGGACGTTCGGCCGAGCCTGCTTCATGGAGACCTTTGGGTAAACCCCAGTTATTTTGGATCCATGCAAAACTGACTACACTTTGCATCCTTTCCACATTCATCACACAGTTTCAAAGGTGTATGCATTGCAATGGGCATCAAACTCACATGGATTTTGGGCATGCTTTTATGTTTTTTTCAATACGTGTCATCGGTTAATAAAATCTCTACCCACCTACCTGCCCGCCTCGTCCCCGCATTTTTGTTTCCTCTTCCCCACCTCCACCTCCCTATCCGTCACTAGGTGGGCAATGCGGGTGCGGGAACATGCGTGCGACATGCTTTCATCTGTGTTCCCCTCCCTCCCCCTCTCCCCTACCCATTCCCAGGTGGGCAATGCGGGTGTGCTTCGATCGGACGAGGCGGTAATGTTTGACCCAGCAGGCTTCTTCGGGCACTCGGAATTCGGTGGGTAGCATAAGTATTCCGTGCGGTAACATGCGTGTGAAGTGGCGACGTTTGACCAGGCACGATTTTTTGGGCACCAGGAATTTGGTGCGGTAACGCATTTGTAACTCGGTTTGAAACACTTCAATTCTGTAACATTATGAGACACTATTTTCGGTTCTGTGTCGTATCCCACTCACGCTGTGCGGTTTTGCATCAGACACGTAATTTCGTGTGGTAGACTTGATTGATTCAGTTTGGCATCTCGTTTGTCTTTAAAAAACACGGCATCTCCTCCCTCCCCCCCCCCCCAACATGAATCAGATCTCGCTTTTCAAGGCTGGAAGCCCGCACCTGGCTTTCCTGGCTTCTGTGAGTCTTTTCTCCTTTCCTCCTTGCCTCCTCTTTCTCTCCTCTCGTTCCCTTTTTTTCATGCCTTCTGTGCTCTCGCCCTTCTCTTCCTTCTCCCTCTTCGTCTGGGCTCCTCGCATGCCGTTCTAATCATTGCACCATTGTACTGTTGCACACTTTGAGTGCCTCTTGCTCCTCTCCGTAACCCTGTCGCCCTGTTGTCTCGTCTCCTTCCCCTCACACATACAGCTGACTCGTTTTACGATGCATATCACCGAGTAATTCCCAGGGCGGCGGGGTTTGAGGAGAGGCAGTGCGTGTATCAGCTGTTTCACCTGCTCAATCACGTGCTCATATGTAAGACGTGTTGCTGCTGCTATCCATATATGCAAAGATGTGATTTGATACAAAGATACATACACGCTTTGATTTGATGCCCCATCCTGCAGGGTTCAATGAGGGGCAATTCGTGCAAATTCTCTTTTGAGAATTCTCAAAAGCGATTACCATCTACCCATTCCTTCACTTTTGAGAATTCTCAAAGCGATTACCATCTACCCATTGCTTCACTTAGGTCATATCCCGGGCTGGTGGCAAGATACTGTTGGTGGCATGACACCAACTCGGAAAACGCATGGAGGAATAAACCTCCTGGTGTCAGCTAAACCGACCAATCCCATCGCGGGAAATCATGCAATGTGCCCAACATTGACACCAACCTGGAGCCGCACTCACGCGCGGCTCCACCTGGTGGCAAGCGAATTTCCCGCTTGCCACCAACAGTATCTTGCCACCAGCCCGGGATACGACCTTACACATGATGCCATGGGTAGATGGAAGAGAGTATTTCCCTCATGCCATGCAGATGGCAACTCGCGTTGTTGAGGGGCAATGCGTGTTTCTCAAACACCACCAATTCCTTCGTCCATTCTTCCCCTTTTCCCTCATTTTCCTGGGCAGATGGAAGAGAGTATTTCCCTCATGCCATGCTAATGGCAACTCGCATTGTTGGGGGGCAGTGCGTGTTTCTCAAACACCACCTGTTCCTTCGTCCATTCTTCCCCTTTTCCCTCATTTTCCTGGGCAGATGGAAGAGAGTATTTCCCTCATGCCATGCAGATGGCCACTCGTGTTGTTCACCTCTTAAAACAACACTCTGCGTGATGCTACCTTAACTTCACTTATGCTTAACTTCTCTCTGCGTGTAGATGGTAAAGAGTACTCCACTTATCTATCAGCAGCTTCATATCCCTCATGCAGCATGTCTTATGCTCAGCTTTGTCTTTGTTTGATAAGTACGGTACTATCTCATAACCTCACATGCTTAACCACTTTAACTGATGTGTTCGCAGCATAAACACAACACATGAAATCTAGTACTGTACAACTAGCAGAATTAGGCACAGGATGATACAGTCACACATGCTAAAGTTCTAATATGGATCCCTTGCCGCGAACAGTGGTAATACCGTATGGTCCAATGCCTCATTGATGTACCGGGCGGCGCCCCCCCAATCTCCTGTGCCCTCCGCACCACCCCCTGCATCAGTCATCTGTCTCATACTCCCTCGTCGAGTCCAACCATCGCTGCAGGAGGGCCACTCTCATCGTCACATCTGCCCCACTACCCCCATTATGCATCAGTGCCAGCACTAGTTGCTCCAATGCCTCATTAATGTAACCAGGAACCTGCCGCATCTCCTGTGCTCGCTGCACCGCTGCACGAAACACCTCTAGGGCCTTCAGGTTTGGTCGAGCAGGTACGGGGCTTTGTTGGGCTGGGTTGAGGTTTGGGTGAGGCGAGATGAGGTTTGGGCGGGATGAGCTGATGTTTGGGTGAGTTGGATCTACCATGCTGTGATTTGGGGTGTGGTGGGTGGACTGAGAGGGAGTGTGGTGGGTGGACTGAGATGGAGTGTTGTGGGTAGACTGAGAGGGAGTGTGGTGGGTGGATTGAGAGGGAGCATGGTGAGCATGAGAGGGAGTGTGGTGAGCATGAGAGGGAGTGTGGTGAGCATGAGAGGGAGTGTGGTGAGCATGAGAGGGAGTGTGGTGAGCATGAGAGGGAGTGTGGTGAGCATGAGAGGGAGTGTGGTGAGTAGACTGACAGAAAATGTGTTGAGCAGGCTGAGAGGGGTTGTGGTGGTTAGAGTGACATGGAGTGTGACGGGTACACTGATTAGGAGTGTAGCTCGAGACTTGAGCGGTCTTTGGAGCGCCAGGCATGTGGTTGGTGTAGCTTGAAGGTTGGCCAACGGTGACAGGAGCTCGATTGAAAGGAGTAGACTGGTTGGTCTGCTGGGTAGAGGGCTGGGTGGTATTTGGAGTTGGGCAAACGGTGCTGGGGTTCTGGGTGACGGGGTTCTGGGTGACGGGGTTCTGGGTGACGGGGAAAAGATTGCGAGTCTGTTGGGATTGCGAGTGAATGCAAAACGGCTGCGTAGCTTTCAGGTTGTGCTGCTGCTGCTGCTGCTGCTGCTGCTCCGCTGTCATGCCCGATACAGGCTGCTGCTGCTGCTGCTGCTGCTGCACCTGCTGCTGCTGCACCTGCTGCTGCTGCACCTGCTGCTGCTGCACCTGCTGCTGCTGCACCTGCTGCTGCTGCACCTGCTGCTGCTGCACCTGCTGCTGCTGCACCTGCTGCTGCTGCACCTGCTGCTGCTGCACCTGCTGCTGCTGCACCTGCTGCTGCTGCACCTGCTGCTGCTGCACCTGCTGCTGCTGCACCTGCTGCTGCTGCTGCTGCTGCTTCCCCGCCTGCTGCTGATGTTGCTGCTGCTGCCAACACTGTTGCTGCTCCTCTTGCTTCTGCTGTGGCGGCTGCATTCTCGACGCTTTCCTTGCTCTCGCTTTCACTGCCTTAGGCTTTGCCAAGGAGAATTCCTGCTGCGATTGCTCCTGTGTTTCTGGATGAATGTTGCTACTGCTGCTGCTGCTGCTGCTGCCAAAACTGTTGCTGCTCCTCTTGCTGCTGCTGTGGCGGCTGCATTCTTGACGGTTTCCTTGGCCTTGCTTTCAATGCCTTCGGTTTTGCCAAGGAGCATTGCTGGTGGACTTTCTCCTGTGTTTTTGGATGAATGTGCTGCTGCGCTGGCTGTACAACACTCGGCTGCTGCTGCTGCTGCTGCTGCTGCTGCTGCTGCTGCTGCTGCTGCTGCTGCTGCTGCTGCTGCTGCTGCTGCTGCTGCTGCTGCTGCTGCTGCTGCTGCTGCTGCTGCTGCTGCTGCTGCTGCTGCTGCTGCTGCTGCTGCTGCTGCTGCTGCTGCTGCTGCTGCTGCTGCTGCTGCTGCTGCTGCTGCTGCTGCTCCTCTTGCTGCTGCTGTGGCGGCTGCATTCTTGACGCTTTCCTTGGCCTTGCTTTCACTGCCTTCGGCTTTGCGGGTCGTGCCAAGGAGTGCTTCTGGCCGTGCTCCTGTGGCTCTGGATGACTGTGCTGATGTGCTGGCTGCACAATTCCCGGCTGTACGGCACTGGGCTGCACAACACTCGGCTGCAGCTGCTGCTGGGGCTGATTCTGCATGGTTGCTTGCATTTTCTGAAGCGGCTGCTGCTGCTGTTGCTGCTGCTGCGAGTGCTGCGAGTGCTGCTGCTGGTGCTGCTGCTGCTGGTGCTGCTGCTGCAGCTGCCCCTGAAGTTGCTGCGAGGTGTGACCCCAGGCACCAGCGAAACCAGCGAATGCAAAAGCAGCAGCTGTTGCAACTGGAGCGAGAGGAACTGGTGTGTTGGGACTTGACATGATATGAGCGAATGTGTTAGTACCTGACATGTTAACAGCAGGTGCCACAGCCCCCCGAGTGTTAGCAGCTGATGCGTTAGTACCGAGTGTCTTACCAGTCGGTGCGATGGCAGCTGTTGCGATTGGAGCGAGAGGAACTGGTGTGATGGGACTTGACATGATATGAGCTGGTGTCTTAGTTCTCCCAGTGTTAGTACCTGGTGTGATAGTAACAGGAGTGTTAGCACCTGGTGTGATCGTAACGAAGGTGTTAGCAGCTGATGTGATAGTAATGGGAGTGTTAGCAGCTGGTGTGATAGTAACAGGAGTGTTAGCACCTGATGTGATAGTATCAGGTGTATTACCTGCTGGTGGTACAATAGCAGCTGGTGCAGACGTCTCACAAGCGGCTCCAACATTAGCCTGTGATCCAACAATGCTCGCATGACTGAACAAACCACGGGCGCTCCTCAAAGTAGCAGCCGGTGTGATAGTTGGTGGCGCAAACACCTCACATGCATCTGCGCCCTTAGCCTGTGATCCAACAATGCTCGCCTGAGTAAACAAACTACGGGCGCTCCTCATTTCAGCACCGGCAGGAGCTGTTTTGATACTCCCCGTTTCAACAGCCCCTCCCCTCCGATTCAATCCATCCCCTCCTCCTGCCCCCTCCTCCCCTTTCCCTCCCTTCACTCTTCCCTCTCGCTCCTCCTCCCTCTCACACCCCTCAATTGGCACGCCCCCCACGCCCTCCCAGTACTTCCTCACCAGACTGTCCTGCGAGCAAATTGATATCTGAGGCGACTCAGAAACAGCTTTCTGGGGCGAATCAACAGCAGCAGCCTTACCCTTACAAACTGACTCACTAGTAGCCTTCAGCGGCGACTCATTAAGAGGCGACTCATTAGGAGCTTTCTTAGTCTTCTGGCGCGACGGACTAACAGTCTTTTGGGGCGACTCAGAAACCGCACGCTCCCAGTAGCTGCGCACGAGGCTATCTTGCGAGCCTATTACTGGCTCTAAAGCATCGGCCAGAGCAGGATCGGAGACGAAGGAGAGGGAGAGATGGGAGCGGGAGGCGTGGGAGGGAGAAGCAGCTGAGTGTGCGGGTGGCGTGGGGGTGAGAGGCGGATGTGAGAAGTGTGCCGATGCAACTGCTGCAGCAGCAGCACTGGCAGCAGCAGCAGCAGCAGCAGCAGCAGCAGACCCAAAAGGCCTTGCAGGCCCAGAGGCAGCAGGGGTGGTGGTGGTGACTGGTGCTTGAGAAAACATCAAATTGAACCCCATCAAGCGCACTGCTGCTCCTGACAACCCTCCCTTCCCTCCTTTCTCCATTCCCACCCCAACCATCCTCGAAGCATCACTGCCCATCTTCTCACGATCAGCAGCAGTCACTCGTTTCAGTCCCAGCGAGCCTTTTTCCACTGCTACCCCCCCACACACACCCCCACTCCCCTCACTCCCTACCCCCACCGCAGCTTCCCCACCAGGTAAACCCACTCCGGTCACCACCTCCTTCCCTGCCCCACCTTTTCCCGAGCCTCCCCCGAGCTTGTGATCAGCAGTGCCGGCAGCACCAGGTACAGCAGCTGGCTTGGTGATAGGCACGGTGACAGGATCGATGAAAACGTGTAGGCTCGTCAGCTCTTGCGGCAGGAAATTTGGGAGAGTAGAAGGAACTGATGAGAAGCCCAGAGGAGAGGGCAGAATAGTGGCAGGTGCAGGTGGTGGGGAGGTTGGGTGGGGCGAAGGAGCAGAGTTAATGTCAAGACGTATGGGTGGGGCAGTAGGTGGGGAAACGGGAGGGGCAGTGGGAGTCGCGGTGGCTGGGGCAGTGGAAGGGGCAGCGAGTGGGGCAGGCAGCGCAGCATGTGACTGCTGGCGCCTGTGTAGGAGGGAAGCCAAAGGGCCGAGCTTGCTCCGAGAGCCCTTCTCCTTCTCACGTGATCCCTCAGCAGCACCCTTCTCACAGGGGTTTAGAGGCGCTTCAAAGGCCATCCGAGGTGACTTGTGAGTTGACTCAGAAGTTTTTTCGTTCTCACATGGTCCCCCAGCAGCACCTTTATCACAGGGGTTTAGAGGCGCTTCAAAGGCCTTCCGAGGTGACTTGTGAGTCAATTTGAAAGTCTTCTTGTTCTCAGATGATTCCCCAGCAGCACCTTTATCACAGGGGTTTAGAGGCGCTTCAAAGGCCTTCCCACGAGCAGAGGGAGGAGAGAGAGCAGAGGGAGAAGGAGCAGGGGCAGCGGGGGCAGCAGGAGGAGGAGAGGGAGCAAGGGGAGGAGAAGAAGAAGCGGGAGAGGGAGGTACAGCAGGAGAAGCAGGTAAAGGGGAATGCACACCCGTGCGTTGACGCTTTTGAGGGGTGCAGCAATCGGCATCAGCAGCAGGAGGGGAGGAGCGATGGGAAGGTGAGGAGGGAGTGTGGGAGGGCGGAGAGGGGCCATGAAGAGGAGACTTTTGAGTCGACTCAAAAGGGGACTTGCGATGGGAAGGTGAGGACGGAGTGTGGGAGGGCGGAGAGGGAGCGTGAAGAGGAGGCGAACAGGAGTGCTCCGAGAAAGAGGGAGCTATTGCAGAGAGACAATCAGCTCGTCGCTTCTGAGGAGTGAGCTTTTGGGAGGGTTTGGAGGGAGGAGGCTGCGAACCACCAGTAGCCCCAGCACCCGCAGATTTGATTCTAGAGGCGGTCTTTTTGGACACACGCTTGGTGTTTCTGTTGGGAATGGTATTGCTGTTGGTGGTGGGGGTACAATTACTGATGGAAGCACCAGCACCAGCGGCGCTGCTGTTACTGTTGAGGGAAGACGATACTGCTTGAGGTTGAAGTCCCATGGGCCACTCGTCCTGTGCTTTGGCGCGTCTCAATGCAAGACCCTTCCCGGTTTCTTCCTGCCCTCCTCTCTCCAATGCTTCCTGCTCCTCCCCTTCCTTCGCCTTGTTTTTCCTTTTATGCCCTCCTTCCTGCCCTCCTCCATCCCCTGCTTTCTGCCCTCTTCCATCCCCTGCTTCCTGCCCTCCTCTCTCTCCCCTCCCTTCTTCCAACCTCTTCCCGCCATCCACCACCACTCCCAACCACTGTCGAATATCCTGCAACCGCCCCTTCACCTTCGTCCCAGCGCTCCCCCCTCCTGCCTTCGTCCCAGCACTTCCCCCACCAGTCTTCGGTCCCCCACTCCCCCCTCCAACTTTTGTCTCAGAGCCCTCCCCTCCTGCCCTCGTCTCTACTGCTCTCCTCTCCTCACAGGCTCCTCCTCCCACTCCCTCTGCTGCATTCTTGCCTCCACCCACTACCCCGCACACACCCCCCTGTGTGGCATATTGCAGTGTGCACACCGATTCCCCTGCCCCCGATCCCCTTTTTGGCGACTGACTCACAGGTTTACCCCCAGCTCTTCTCAGTGGAAGCGTTGCTATACTGGCCTGGATGGCTCTCCGCTTCACCTTCCTCCCTCCATCCCCCTCCTCTTCTCGCGCAGGTGAACCTGTGTTGATTATTGCCACTCCTGCTCCTGCACCTGCCTCTCCCCCTTCACCTCCCCCAGCAGCACCTGCACCTGAGCCTCCTGCTGCATTTAGCCCTCGCCCCTCCTCCCTCTTCCCCTTGTTTATGTGACTCAGGTTTTGTTGACTCCTGCTCTCTGAATCCTGTTCCTCTTTCCCCCCATCAACCTCTTCCCTCCGCCTCTTTCTCCTTCCTAACGCCCCTCTCACACCCTCCTCCGCCTCCCCACCGTCTCTACCCACCTGCCCACCCACTCGCTCCTCCTCCCGACTTCCCGGATTCAGGTGCCGCGACGCCTCCAAATGCTCCTCCGCATCCCCACCTTCTCTCTCCGTCTGCACGCCCCCTCTGTTCTCCCCACTTCCCACTACCCTTTCTTCCTCCTCCACCCCATTCTCCCTTCCCTTGGGATGGTTCTCGTCAGCCTCTGAGAAATTCTCCATCCCCTTCTCCTGCCGTTCCATCGCTGTTTCCATCACACCTTCGTCCTCTACTCCTCCCTCCTCACCCTCTACCTCTCTCTCTCCCACCTTCTCTCCTTCATTGCTCAACTCGTTCCCCCCTTCCTCCTCGTCCTCTTTCGCTTCCTTTACCTCTCCCTCTTCCACCTTCTCCTCCCCTTGATTGATACCATTTCTTTCTTCCATCACCAAATTTTCCTCACCATCCTCCTCTTTCTCTTCCGTCTCTCCCTCTTCCAGTTTCTCACCCTCCTCTTTCTCTTCCGTCTCTCCCTCTTCCTGTTTCTCATCCTCCTCTTTCTCTTCCGTCTCTCCCTCTTCCTGTTTCTCATCCTCCTCTTCCTCTTCCGTCTCTCCCTCTTCCTGTTTCTCATCCTCCTCTTTCTCTTCCGTCTCTCCCTCTTCCTGTTTCTCATCCTCCTCTTTCGCTTCCTTTACCTCTCCCTCTTCCACCTTCTCCTCCCCTTGATTTATACCATTTCTTTCTTCCATCACCAAATTTTCCTCACCATCCTCCTCTTTCTCTTCCGTCTCTCCCTCTTCCTGTTTCTCACCCTCCTCTTGCTCTTCCGTCTCTCCCTCTTCCTGTTTCTCATCCTCCTCGTTCTCTTCCGTCTCTTCCTCCTCCGGTTTCTCACCCTCCTCTTCTTTCTCTTCCGTCTCTTCCTCCTCCCGTTTCTCACCCTCCTCCTCGTTCTCTTCCGTCTCTCCCTCTTCCCGTTTCTCTTCCCCAACCTCCTCTCTGCCTTCCTTCTCTTCTTGCCCCTCCCCAATCTCTCCACCTTCTTTTTCCTCCTCCCTGTCCTCTCCCTCTTCTTGCCTCTCCTCCCTGACGTGCCCTTCCTCTTCTATGAACTCCCTCACTTCCCTCTCCTCCCCATCCTCCACTTTCCCCCTCCCTCTCTTGTCTTCCCTCTCCTTTCTCTTTCTCTCTCTCCTCCCCCATTTCCCCCTCCTCCCCCACGTCCCTCTCGTTCCCTTCTTCCTTCCCCCCTTCTTCCTTTCCCCCTTCTTCCTTCTCCTCCCCTTCTTCCCTTTCCTCCCCTTCTTCCCTTTCCTCCCCTTCTTCCTCTCCTCTCCCTCTTCCCTCTCCTCTCCCTCTTCCCTCTCCTCTCCCTCTTCCCTCTCCTCTCCCTCTTCCCTTTCCTCTTCTGCTTCCCTCTTCTCCACTTCCGCTCCCTCTTCTCCTCCTCTCTCTTCTGCTTCCTCCTCCTCCCCTTCTTCCTCCTCCATCCCTCCATCCCCTCCTTCCCCTCCTTCCCTTCCTCCCCTTCCACTATGTTACCCCTCTCCCTCGCCTCCTCTGTTATTCCAACCCCTTCCTGCCCAGACCCCTCCCCCTCCCCTTCCACCTCTCCTCTCTCATCTCCTTCCACCTCCACCTCCCATCCTTCACTGCTTCCCGCTACCTTCACACTCACTTCTTTCTCTTCGCACGCCTCGTTTTCTACCTGCTTCGCGTCTTTCTCCTCCTCCTCTCCCTCACGACCGACTTCCCCCAAGACCTTATGTTCCGCCTTTATGCAACCCTGCCCTTCCTCCTCATCTCCTTCCTCCTTCTCCCCTTCCTCCTTCTCCCCTTCCTCCTTCTCCCCTTCCTCCTTCTCCCCTTCCTCCTGTCCTTCCTCCTCTTCCCCTACTTCCTCCTTCCCTTCCTCCTCCTCCTCCCCTACCTCCTCCCCTTCCTCCTCTTCCTCCTCCTCCCTTCTCATTTCCCTCTCCCGTTTCTCCTCGCCTTCCTGCTTCCCTTCCACTTTCTGCTCCTCCTGTTTTCTTCCCTCCTGTCCCTTCTCCCTTTCCTCCAACCGTTTCTCCTCCCCCTTTTCCTCTTCCCATTCCTCCTCCCCCTTTTCCTCTTCCATTTCCTCCTCTCTTTCCTCCTTCCTTTCCTTCTCCCATTCCTCCTCCGCCCTTCCCTCCACCACCTCATGCTCCGTACTCACACTTTCTCCTGCCTCCTCGGGTACAGAGTCTTTCTCTTTCGTCCCACCCTCCTCGCTCTCTTTACTTGCCTCCTCTTCCATTCCATTCTTTCCTTCCTTCCCTTCCATCCCCTCCTCCCCTTCCGCCCCTTCTTCCCTTTCCTCCTCTTCCTTATCCTCCTCCCCTTCCTCGCCTTCTTTCCTTTCCTCCCATTCCTTGTCTTCCTCCCCTTCTTCCGCTTCCTCCCCTTCCTCCCCCTCCTCCCTTTCCTCCCCTTCCCCGTGTCCCTCTCCCGCTTCCCCACGCTCAACTCCCCCTTCCTTTCCCCCCTCCTTTTCCCCACCTTGCTCTTCCGCTCCTTCCATCCCCTCACCCCCCTTTTCACCTCCGTTCCCGTCACTCCCCCCTTCGTTCCCGTCACTCCCCCCTCCATTCCCCTCCTCGTTCCGCCCATCATTTTCCCCATCCTTCCCCTCATCCTCCTCCCCATAGTCCCCTCTATCACCTCCCTCTAGACACATTCTCTCCTCTTGCGCCTCCCCTTGACCTTCTTCCTCCTTCTCATCCTCCTCCCCCTCTACCTCCCCTCCCTTCTCTTCCTCCCCTCCCTTCTCTTCCTCCCCTCCCTTATCCTCCTCTCCCTTCTCCTCTCCCTTCCTTCCCTCTTCCTCCCCCTCCTTTCCTACCTCTTCCTCCTCTGCCCTTTCTGTCTCCCCCTCTGCGCTTCCCCCCTCTCCCTCATCCCTCTTTTCCTCCCCCTCACTCCCTCTCTCACCCCTCCCCCTCCCCCTCCCTCCCTTCCCTCCTCTTCCCACCTCTCGCCTCGCCCCCTGCCCTTTCTTCTTCTCTCCAATCCCCGCCCCTCGCTTTCCAGCCATCCCCTGACTGCTACCTCTCGTGACCATCCCTTGCCGTGTAACCATTCCCTCTGTACGACTTTTGGTAACCACCCCTTCAACGAATTTCTCTGCTCTCCCATGCGATCGTGTGCGGCGCAAAGAGCCACCCCCAACCGCAGAATCGCCCTTCCTTCTTGCCCCTTGCTTTGAATTCTTCGTCTTCCCATCGCCACTTCTCCTCTCCCTTCTAACCTCCTCCTCTCCTTCCTCCCTTTCATCCATTTCCTCCTCCGGTTTTGCATTCTTTTCACTCATGCCCTGCTCCCCCCCCTTAGATATCTCCTGCAATTCTCCCTTGGATTTTCCCGCCGCTTTCCCTCCCCTCTTCCCCGGCGCTGCCCCTTTTCTGTTCCCTCTGGCCTCCTGCTGTGCTTCTCCCTTCCCTTTTCCCACCCCCTTGCAAGGGTTTGTGGGCTTGAGTTCGCGTTTGCAAGGGGAAGCTGGTTTTCCCTTGCACTCCATGCCCATCCCTGCTCCCTCTGCCGCCGTAGTGAGGGTGTTTGTGAGACGGCTCAAAAACACCCTCACTACGCGTTTGCGAGGGGAAGCTGGTTTGCCCTTGCACGCCATGCTCATACCTGCTCCCTCTGCCGCCGCTTCTTCCCGTGAATGCTCCTTCCCTTCGACCTCCTTCTGTTCCGCCCCTCTCCCCTTCCGCACACCCATTGCACGCTCCATCACCACCTTACGCGGACTCGCAGGCTTGCTCATCTGTGCTCCTTCAGCCACCGCTCCTTCTGCCACCGCTCCTTCTGCCACCGCTCCTTCTGCAACCGCTCCTTCCCCTGCTTCCTCCCTTGCTTGCTCCCCTTCTTCCGCCTCCTTCCCCTTCCGCACACCCTTTGCACACTCCGGCAGCACCTTACGCGGACTAGCGGGCGTGCATATGCGCCTTTTGCTCATCTGTGCTCCCTCTGCCACCGCTCCTTCCCCTGATTGCTCCCCTTCTTCCGCCTCCTTCCCCTTCCGCACACCCTTTGCAAACTCCGGCACCACCTCACGCGGACTAGTGGGCTTGCGTCTGCGTTTGTAAGGCGTGACTGGCTTGTCCCAGCAGTTAAGGCTCATCCCTGCTCCCTCTGCCGCCGCATCTTCCCCTGAATGCTCCTTCCCTTCCACCTCCTTCTCTTCCTCCTCTCCTCCCTTCTCTCCCTTCTCTTTCCCCATCCCCTTGGGACGTCCCAGCACCACCTTGCAAGGGGAGGCGGACTTGTGACCGCGCCTGAGGCTCACTCCTGCTCCCTCTGTCGCATCTTCTTCCCCTGCTTGCTCCCCCTCTTCAACCTTCTTCCCTTCCATCTCCCCTTCCACTTCCCCCTTCCCTTTCCTCACCCCCTTGAGACGTCCCAGCACCACCTTGCAAGGGGTGGGAGGCTTGCATTTGCGCCTTTGGCTCCTCCTCGTTCCCGCTGCTGCTCCCGCTGCTGGTTCTGTTTCCAATACTCTTGCTGTTCCCGTTTCTTCTGCTGTTTCCGCTGCTGCTGTGTCTTCTTCTGCTGCAGTTTCCGCTGCTGCTGTTGCTGCTGCTGCTGCTGTCTCTGCTTCTGCTTCTGTTTCCGCCTCTGCTGCTGTTCCTGCCCCTTCCCCTGCTGCCCCCCCCTCTTCCTCCTTCTGACCTTGATTCGCATTTTCAGGCGCCTCACCTGATGCTGCTGCTGCTGCTCCGCCCCCTTCCTGCCCCCTCTCTTCCGCCTCCTCTCTGTTTCCGCCCTGTTTCTGTGCCTGCTCCTCGCCCCCGCTTTCCCCGCCAGCAGCGTCGTCACTACCAGCAGCAGACGCAGGAGCAGCAGCAGCACTAGAATCAGCAGGTGCGGCAGCAGCAGGGGCAGCGGCACCACAACTAGCAGCAGCACGAGCAGAAGCAGCAGCATTCGGGGCAGCAGTGGCAGCGCCACCACCACTAGCAGCCCCAAGGCTCGGTTTACGACGGTTGATCCACCCACCAGCAGTCAGCGGCGCTACAGCAGCAGCATCACTCTCCCCCAGCAGCATCCCTGCCAGGGAGCCTATGAATGGATCAGCAGCAGGAGGGGCGTGAGTGCGACCTTTACCAGCACCAGCACCACCACGGCCGCCAACAGCAGCAGCAGTAGCACTAGCACCAGCAGCAGCAATGATGGGCGCTGGGGCAGCAGCATCACTCCCCCCCAGCAGCATCTCTGCCAGGGACCCTATGAATGGATCAGCGGCGGGAGGCTTATCATTGCTACCCGTACCAGCACCACCGTCAGCAGCAGCAGCAGCAGCAGCAGCAGCAGGAAGGGGTGCTGGGGCAGCAGAGTCACTTTCCCCCAGCAGCATCTCTGCAAGAGACCCGATAAGCATGTCAGCTTTCAGTGCATCGCCCCTTGGGAACTCCACACCTCCTGTGGTCTCGGACGTCCCTGCAAGGTCCCACCGCCTTGTGACCGACGTGGTAACCGTCGCTGTTGCCGTTGCTCCCGGACCCACTGTTGCGGTTGCTGTCGCTGCCGCTTGTGCTGCTGATGCTGTGGCTGCTGCTGTGTTCCCATCAATATCAGCATCAGCAGCAGCATCAGCTTCCCGTTTCAATTCCTTGCTCCCAACCCCCTTCATCACTTGTTCCCCCTCACCCCCTTCCCTGCTACTTTCTTGAGTCAAAACCAGCCTGCCGAGGCTGCTCTGCCGGCCAATCAGCATGAACCCTCCACCACCCGAACCTGATTTCCAAACCACAGGTCCATCAGCCTGGCCAGCCACCCCAACCTCCGGCGCAGCTGCGGAAGCATCAGGGGCAATACTCCCTGGAACAGACACTGACACAGACACCGAAGCAGCAGCAGCAGCAGCAGCGGCAGCAGCAGCAGAAGCAGCGCCAGTGCTACTCACACTACCTTTGGCACTCACTCTATCGCAAGCAGCAGCAGAGCCGCCAGCCTGCTTTTGCCCATTTGCGCCCTTTCCAGCAGCAGCAGCAGCAGCACCAGCACCACCACCAGAGGAGCTTCTTGGGAGGCCAAACGAAAGCTTCTGCTGCTGCATCGGGCGGCGGAAGGTTTTGGGCGGCAGGGCGCTGTGCCACTTGGAGAACTGGCTTTCGTTGCTTGTCCTCTTCTCATCCCCGTACAGATGGTTGACAAACTTCCTTCCTCCACTGTAAGCATCTTGTTTCCCAATTCCCTTGACCTGTCCCAAGCCCACGACTCCCTCGTCTCCTCTCCTATCCTTTAACCCTGCTTTCAATCCTGCCTTTTCTAAAGTTTTCTCCACTTTCCGAGTGTAAGGATCCTTCACTCCTCCTCCTCCTCCCCCTCCTCCTAATCCTCCTCCTGCTTCTCCTCCTCTCAATCTCAGGCCCCCCTTCTCTCCCTCCTTATCCTTCCCTCCACCAACCCCCAACCCATGTCTCCTAGCCAACCAAGCAGCATCCCCCACAACCTCCAATCCCTCTCTTCGCTCCTCTCCCATCTCCCCCTTCCTCTTCTCCCTCCTCTCCCCCTTCTCTTTTGCCTCCCCTCTCCTACTCCGCCCCGCATCCCCCACAAACTTCCCACTGCATCTGAGCACCTTTCGCCCTCCCTCCTTTTCCACCCCTTCAGTCCCTCCCAAGGGACCCCGATAGCAGGAGGTAACACAGTCAGCAACGTCGTTGCTCTTTTCCCCATCCCTTCTCCGTCCCCTTTCTCCTCCTCTTCCTCCTTCCCTTCCTCCTCCCCTTCCGCCATCCCCTCCACACCCACCTTCTGGAGTCTTTCGTTTTTTCGACTCGGGCCGAGCAGAGAGCAGCGGACGGGCAAGAGGATGGGAGTGAGGAGGAGGAGCAGGAGGCGGCATTGGTTGATGGGCGGAAGGTTTGGAAAGCCAGTTGGCTGCTTGGCCTTGGGTCCCAAGCCTATTCTTTCCCAGGTTTGCAAATGCAGTGGCACCTGCACCAGATATGCCTGCACCGGATATGCCTGTGCCAGTAACTTTTGTGCCAGTGCCGCCACCAGCAGCAGCTGCCGCAGCTTTCAGAATCCTCGCCGCCCGATTGGTCATATTCGCCACGTCCACAGGGGCGTTACCGGGGGCAGTACGAAGGGCACTGGCATGCACTCCTGTACCAGCACCAGCAGCAGCAGCAGCAGCAGCGGCAGCAGCAGCAGCAGCAGCACCAGCACTCCCAGCAGCACCAACACTACCAACACCAGCACAAGCAGCAGCGCTATCAGCAGGCACACAGCGGCTGTATGGTCCCATTGGTCCCATTGGTCCCAGTGACCCGCGAACATTAGGAGCACAGCTACCAGACCTTCGGCTCACACTGCCGCTGCACCGCCCACTGCCACGCACACCCACCCCCCCACCAGAGCATTTCCCCAAGTACTGAGACGACTTCAGAGGCGCCTCAAAATCCCTGCCATGCAGACTCATTGTCTCCTTGCCGGAGCATTCTCCAGAGTACCCACCAGCATCACTGCATTGGGGATGCTGCTGGCGGTTCTGTGTTCTTTGACGTGCCTGTGCTTGTTGCCGAATATGCCCATGACTCTCCCCCTGTCGCTTCCCCCAAAGGGCAGAGGAATCAGGGTGCTTACTGATTTCTCTCTGCTGCACTGAGCCACAGGCACCAGACCCAGCTATAGTCACACTGCGGCTCATGCCTCTGCTTCTCTGCCGTTCACTGGCCTGCTGTCCCAGCCGTACCCGCACTGATACTCCATTGAATGATACCTCTTCTTCTTGCTCCTCCTCTTGCTCTTCGTCCCCCACCTCTCCCTCCTCCGGCTCCTCTCCCACTTCTCTCTTCTTCTCTCTCTCCCCTTCCTCTCCCTCCTCTTGCTCCTCCTCACCCACCTCCCCCTCTTCCTCCTCCCCCACCTCTCCGTCCTCCTTTCCGTCCTCCTTTACTTCTCCAGCTTCTATCCCATGCAAAACGTTCTGGTCTTCAGTCCACCGCCCGTCACGCTCTTGCTGCCCCTGCTGCTCCTCTCCTTTCTCCCTCCCCTCGGCCACAGCACCAAAGGCTCGTGACAGGTCACGCACAATCATGGCGTGCACAGCAGCATTGCCTCCCCCTTCCTGAACAGCACTCCCATCCAAACCAGCACTACATCCCGGACCAGCATTTTCGGGAGGGCCAGCATTACCGCCTGCCTCTGGGGGAGTGACAGCTGTAGTGAGCTCCGGCATCCCTGGGTGGTGGTAACCAGTTCGTGCTACAGCCGGGTTCTGAGTCGAGTCAAGACATGCCTCTGGGGGAGTGACGGCTGTAGCGGCCTCTGGCGCCCCTGGGTGGTAACCAGCTCGTGCTACAGCCGAGGGCGGAGGAGGGGCGATGAGGGGGCTGCTTTGAAAGCGAAGCTTGGAGAAGAGCAGCGAGAGGAAGTTGGGAAATTTGGTGCGGTACCTGGGGGTTCGGAAGGGTGTTAAAAGGGATAGAGAGGGAAACAGATGTGAGCATGGGGCGGAGGAGGGGCGATGAGGGGACAGCTTGGAAGCGAAGCTTGGAGAAGAGCAGCGAGAGGAAGTTGGGGCACTTGGTGCGGTACCTGAGAGGGGCAGGGGGAAGGGGATGGGCGGTGAAGTAATCAGAAGCCGGGGGTGAATAAGGGGCGGTGAAGGGGCTGCTCTGGAAGGGAAATCGGGGAAGAGAAGCAAGAGGGAGTTGGGGCACAAAATCCGCACAGCAGTCACCGCACAGCAGTCACCGCACTTGAAAAAACCTTTCCTGATTGGATCTCCATTACCACTACACAGCAGTCGTCGCACATACTCCTCGAGGCCCTCCTGAAACACACCACCCTCCCGGCTCAAGTCAACCATCTCCAGCAGCGTGCGGCAGCGTGCAGGTATGCTTGGCAAATCAAGACACGGATAAACCTCCCCTAAATGAACCTCCCCTAAATGAACCTCACCTGCTGCACAGCAGTCGCCGCACATACTCCTCCAGACTCTCCCCAAACACGCCCCCTTCCCAGCTCAAGTCAACCATCCCCAGCAGCCAGCAAGGCACTGCTCTGCTTCACAAAAAAACTCACCTGTTTGCACAACAGTCACCACAAATAGTCCTCCAGGCTCTCCCCAAACACGCCCCCCCCTTCTCTGCTCAAGATCCACCATCTCTAGAAGCGTGCGGGTTTGCTTGGCGAATCAAGGCTCCTCTCAGGATACGAGTGACGTTGTGCCCACCTGAATGAACCTCCCCTGAATGAACCTCACCTGAATGAACCTCTGAATGAACCTCCCCTGAATGAACCTCCCCTGAATGAACCACACCTGGGAAGAACCTCACCTGGAACACAGCAGTCGCCGCACATAGTCCTCCAGGCTCTCCCCAAACACGCCTCCTTCTCTGCTCAGATCCACCATCTCCAGCAGCGTGCGTGTTTGCTTGGCAAATCGCGACACCAAGGGGTGCGAAGGGAGGTCGCAGGGCAGCAGCTCCAGACGCAGTAGAATCTGCAGCTCGTGGCTGGAGGTAGAAAGAAGGGGTAGGGGGGGGTTGGGCAAGGGTGGGAAGGAAAAGTGGCAGGGAGGGTGGGTGTGGGTGGAGGAGAAGCCTCATTCACATGTTTTGAGACGTCTAAAAAGCCTCATTCACATGATTTGAGACGTCTCAAAAGCCTCATTCACATGTGACGCCAGGGGGTGCGAGGGGAGGTCGCAGGGGAGCAGCTCCAGACGCAGCAGCATTTGAAGTCCGCGGTTGGGGGAAGAGGGGGAGGGGGGGGTGGGAACGGGGGAGAGCGAGGGGGGCAGGGGGGATGGGAACGGGCAAGGGGGGTGGGGAGATGGGGATGCGTGTGGGTGGGAAAGAAATGTCATTTACATACAACACCAGAGGGTGCGAGGGGAGGTCGCAGGGGAGTAGTTCCAGGCACAGCAGAATCTACAGCTCGTGGCTGGGGAGCACTCACCAGCGGACTCTGTCTCCCAGCGTTGGCGGCCCCGGCTCCCCTCGTCTCGAGATCTCATGAGTGTCAGCACAGCGACCCAACGGGAACCGCCGCTGCAAATCCGCCTTGCCCAACAGCAGAGCATCATGCACCCGCCTTTCCACCTCCTCCTCGTCTATCTGCCTCTCAGTCTCCTCCTCGTCTATCTGCCTCTCAGTCTCCTCCTCGTCTATCTGCCTCTCAGTCTCCCCCTCTACTGGGTGCCTCCCAGATTCCCCCTCGTCTGTCCTCTCAGCGCCTGACTTGCTCCCCTCCCCTTCACTTCTCCCCCTCCCTGCTGCCTCTTCCCTGAACAACCGCCGCGCCTCTCGCACTAATCCCGCGGCAGCACTGTATAGATCCGCTGCCACGTCATGCAACACGTCAGCCACGCGTTCTGCCAGCCTGTCAGCACTCTCAACGGGTCTAAACGCCACGGTGGCATCTTCTTCCCTCAAGATTCCCCTCATTGTCTGCCCTGACATCCCTTCTGCATTCCCCACTCCCTTCCCCGCACCCTCCCGCTTGACCTTGCTCTCCCCTGCATTTTTCCTACCAGACACACCCACGCTCTCGTCAACGCGCCCAGAACCCTCCATTCTCCCCGCATCCCCACTAGCTCCTCCCGTTCCCCCGTCCCTTCCTGCTCCATCCCACAGCACCATCTGCAACCCTTCTTCACCTGGTACTCGCTCCTGTGCTCTGTCTACCCCTTTCCCTTCCCCCACCAACCTTCTCCTCCCCTCTTCCCTCCCCTGCTCCTGCTCCTGAGCCTGCTCTGTTTTTTCCTCATCTCCTCTGCTCTTATCCCTTCCTAACGCTCTTCCTGTCCTTCCAGCCGTAACCCCCTGTACCTTCCACTGTTCCCCCCTCGCTGCTGCCCATGTATGAGTCAGCATGGCTGTAAGCCGCGTCATGTGGTCCCCACCCTCTGCTGCACGCGACAACTCATGCCACGTCATGTGGTCCCCAGATGCCGTTCTCCCGGTCTCCCTGCCACCTGGCTGACTCTCTTGCTGACTCAGCAGGAACGCCAGCTCAGCTTCCTCATACTCCCTTGTGTCATCCCATGCCACGTCATCACCCAACGCATCTCTCCTGCACGAGCCTTCCATCCCCTCGTTACAAGCACCTCCGTCATTGTATCCTGTGCTGCCATTCTCACAGATATCTACACTCCCGCCCCCTTCAGCTGCTCGCTCCCTCTCAAATACATGCCCCCTTTCTGCTTTTTCCAGCCGCTTCTGGACACTGGCCCCTAAGCCCCATTCAGAACCTTCCCAGTCATGCACGCTCACCCTCTCCGGTCTGTTACTCCGTTCCCACACCGCCCCTGCCACGGCTTGGCGCCCATCCCCCTCCCCTGCAACCTGCGACGCCTGTGTTCCCATAATGAAATCCGTCTCGTTCTCCCCTTCCCCCTCACACTCCCCCGTCGACCCCTCCTCCTCCTCCGCCTCTGCCTCTCTCTCCGCCTCCCCCTCCATCCCGCCCGCTCCCCCTTCAAACCCCCCGTACTGTCCCTCTGCCTCCCCCCACGCTTCCTGCCTATCTGCTTCTGAAAACACCACTAGTTGTAATCCAGCCTCCCACTCAGACTCCCTTCCACCTGTCCCATAAGCTTCCCTCTCAGCCCTCTCACCCCTCCCACCCTTCCTATCATTCCTCTCTCTGCACCCCGGCGCTCTCGACCTCTTCTTTTCTTCCAGAGAACGTCGTTTTCCTCCCTCCTCCCTTCTCCACACGCCTCCACAGCCACTCACCACCTCTTTATCATCCTCCTCCTCCTCCTCCTTCCGCATTCTAGGCCGCTCCCTCCCTGTACAAGTCCTTCTCTTACTCCCACCTTCCCCATCCACCCTTCCCTTAACCACCCTCGCCTCCTTCTCGCTAGCACCACTACGGGGAATCTTCGCCTGTTGGTAACCCTCCTGCTGGTAACCCTGTTGATGCCGTTCCTGGTGCCTACGCTTCGCACTGCCTCGGCCAGACACCTGAAAACCCCGGCTGCGACTCTGCCTAACCCCTTCCGGCTTCCTCAGCGGCCTCTCCGGCTTACGCCGCTGGCGACCCAGCAAAGTCGGGCAGTCTCGGATCCTCAGCACAGCCACATGCCCTGCGAACGGCGCTATGATCCCCGCACACGACACTCGCTTGCTCTTCACGTATACATGCGCCTCCAGCCCCTCCTCCTCCAGAAACCTCAGAAGAACCCCGAACAGCTCTCCCTGCGGCTCCTTTGCAGTACCACCGCCTGTGACCGTGGGTTTCTTTTCCAGAAGAACATACTGGAGAAACGGCTCGTCTTGAGCAGCCCCAGTCCTATCAGAACCCCTCCTAGCGCTCAACCCATCCACTCCTCCAGCTCCAGCTTTCCCCCCAGCAAGCGCCTCAGCTGCCTCTGTCCGGGAAATTTCTACTCTCTGTTGGATGTCTAGCAGAGTCAGCTCCACGTTGCCGGAAAGAATCCTACTGGCTCTTGAAACTGTACTCTCCGCACCGTCGTATTCGCCTTCGTACTCGCTATAAGCCCCCCTGCTGAAGCCGCAAGAGCCTTTCGCCACGCCTGACGCAGGAGCAACGGTATATGCTCGCAAGAAGCATTGCACCTGGGTGTTTGAAGGCAGAGTCTCCTGCACCCCACTCAACCCACCCACACTCATACCTTGACCTTTAACCTCGGGATTACCGTGTCCTACCAATGCGGCCGTTTTGCAAGGCAGCAGCATCCGACAGGCAGCTAATGGCTCCGTTTTCCCTGCTACTCCCTCCCATACCGCGGATATTAAGTGATAGTCCGCTCCTCCTGCTGAACTATACGGCTTTAATCTCGAAAGCGACCATCCTGCGTTCAGCGCCGCGTCCTTCGCTTCCCTTGCCGCTGCGCTCCCTCCCTGTGTGGCCGATCTGCTCCATTCGTTACCATCACGCCGATCCTGCGCGCGCGCATCTGCTCCCCGGACCGCCTGTGGTTCCGCCTGTGGCGCTGCTGCCCCCACTGCCCCAACCGTAGCGCCGACGTCAACCCACGAGACTTGAATTCCCAGCGGTGCGAACATCGCCTGTACCTTCGCCACTCCGCCGGCACCAGCCCACTCTCCTCCGCGCCCTGCCGTCCCCGCGGCTACAGCCGCCTCAGCCCCACCCCTCGCTTGCGCTGCTCCAGCCGAGTTCCCGGAACTTCCGTCGCAGATGCTGGTAAACACGACCACATGGTTCGCACACTTCGGATCTAAACCCAAGCGGTCTTCTCCTCTAAGAAAGTCTCCGTTATCACCATCAAATTCTGTACCCATTCGCCTACGCTGTCCCCCGGCGGTACCAGCAGTGATTACAACGGGAGTGGTCCTGGGAGGGCTTCGGGCGTGGTAGTGGCTCCACGTGTACCGGACTTGCACTAAATCGGACAAAGTCCGCCAAATGTTCCCCATATTGTCACCCGGAATCGTGGATCCAAGGGTAATCTGGTTAGTAGGGCCCCCGCCATTCTCCTGGTCCCTACGAGCCGTTGTTTGGTTCCCTTCTGTTTTGCATGCTCCTGTGGTCAACGACAGAGTATGTTGGCCGGAACCGCCAGCGCTGCTGGGTAAAGTGGTGTCGCTGGACGCGGCGTGTGCAAGCGTGTGCAACTCGCGTGCCAAGCGGCAAAAATCTTGTTCTCTAGCGGGAACGAAGACTGGCCGATGCGCAAGGTCCTTAGCGGCGCGGCTGCGGTTACTCTCCGTGCCTTCGCACGCTCCGTCATACGAGCCGGGGCTATTCTTAAGGAGCCTCTTAATCTTGTTCTCTGATCGTAGCGGACTCACGCTGGAATCGAACAGGTGGTAACCCCATCGCAGAGGAGGAGAGGAGGAATGGAAGGCGAGGAGACTCTTTAAGATGCTGGCTTGAATCGAAACGGCTTTCGCTGGCGTCACCAGAAGCGGGTTGACGTCAATGAGAAACAAGATGTTCCTACTCTCGTCCATGGCGAGGCTATCCATTGCCGTTATAAGCAGATCGGCATACGCGCTAGTCCAGCCAGTGTTGTCGACTGATTAATTCCTAGAGTCGCGAATGACTTATTCCTCCCTGCTACAAGTGTCAGAAGCCACTTCCACCCTTCAGCTTATAAATCGTCGGAAGGGGATAATCTAGAACCTCGTGAACGGGGTTGGAGGAGAACAGTAGTATAAGATGCCTGAAACTCGACATTCAAAGACCTCCTTCAACGCAGTGCTGGTCTACAACACTGGTCCAAGCAAAAGAAAGCGAGGTGGCGGAGAGTTGATAAATGGCTGAACGGCAATCCCACTGGTGGTCCCTGGCCTTGGTTCCATCCGTTTCCATATCCTACCACCATGATCGCCATCACCATTGCTAGCAGGCACCATCAATGGAAACTGAAGGTACCCTGGAAAACACCGGTATAATACCGATTTGCTTTCTCCGCTTCTTCTGCTCGCCCCTGGGTAATTCCGTGCGGTGCTGCAGCGCGTTGCGCGAGTGCTCAAAATTCGAAATTTCGAAACGTGATTTTTGGAGGTGGTTGGATCTGGAAAGGATGCACGGCTGAGATCTCGCGTCATTCTCCAGTGCTTCGTTTCCGCCTGTCGGATGTCGTCACGAAACTTGCAGAGCAAGCCTCATAAGAAGGCGTCAACAACACGAGAAGTGCAATTGTAGTGCTGTTACCTTACCATGCAATTGTAGTGCTGTTTTGATATCCCTACGCAGAATGCATCTCAAATGTGCACATGGAAACATAGCCAGCCTACAGCAAACGATTGTTAAACAAGTCACCTCCTCGTAGGGCGCTACTCTTCATGATGCAGGTCAGAAAGTGCCCTAATATAAAATAGAACCATCTGGTATGCAAAAAAAACCAACCAGTATTCAGATTAGGCTCTTTACTATAGACGCCATATGTTTGGGAACATGTGATCATCCTCACCCCAGCACCTTTTGAGCTATCTTCCACAAAGCAGGATTTATCGCTTCCTCATTCTTTCGGGTGGTCACTTCCTTCAAAATAATCCGTCCACCTTTTTCTTGATCAACCCTTGGATCCTTGGCTCCTCTGCCTCCACCCTCCCTTTCACAACCCCCTCCCAGCCCATCCGCCACACCCACGCCCTCCTTACCACTTGCGTCCCCTAAACCCCCTTCCTCCAAATCTCCTGCCTCTCTATCTATTCCTCCAACCGCATTCCTCACCCCACTCCCATTTTCATCCCTGCGTTCTCCATCCTCCACTCCCCCATCCAGTTCACATCCCCCCAACTCACTCCTCAACCAGGCACTCACAGCGTCCACCTCTCCCTGCAGAATCCGAATCTCCTCCCCCTTTCCCTCCCATTGGCCAGCACCAGCACCGGCACCATTACCATCCACAGCAGCACCACCATTACTACCAGCAGCAGCAGCAGGAGCAGCAGCAGCAGTAGTGCCAGGGCCAGCGGCAGTGAGTACCCTCTTACAGCAAGCGACAGCCGACAGCAGCGACATCCACACCATCGCACCACCCTGCCTCCCTGCCGCCTCCCCTCCCTCCTTTCCTGCCACCTCCCCTCCCTCCCTCACACTCTCAGCCTGCCTTCGCAGCAGCCCAAGCGATAGAGCACAGCATCTAAGCACCAGTGCCCGCGGTTCTCTTCTCTCCGCCTCCCTTTTACACTTCCACATAGGGAGGAGGAGAGAAGTGTAGGAGGCTGCGAGGACTGCCACGAGGGTGGACAGGAAGGAAGGAGCGACGGCCCAGATGGCACCTCCGCTTGCCTTGGACGGTCCAGATTTGCCGGGAGTTTGGCGTGTTTGTGAGATCAGGGCCAGCTTCGCATGGACGGCTGAGATCAGCTCGAGAAGATGATCCGACAACTCACCCTGGGGAATGCAATGGGGAGGGGGGAATTGGACACAAGGGGGGGAGTTGGGAAATCCAGAGGAGAAGGTAGAGAGGGAAGGGTGATGGCAGAAAACGCGAGAACTTCTGCTATTAGAAACCAATGAATAAACACATAGAAGGTAGTACAACACAGAGATGAAGGCAGTAAAGCACGTACCAAGCTAGAGCATCCCGTGTCGTCTGCCAGTCGTCCTTGCTTCTGCGCCCTCCGTCCCAGCTCCTGCTCCTCGTGCTGCCTCTCACTCCACATCAGCACCAGCAGCTTCACATACACCCGCAGTGCTGCTCCTTCCACCCACTCTTCATCCGAACTCCGCACTACCGAATCTGGACCCTGCTCAGCAGACGTGGGACCGTGCGAACCAGAGTCAGCAGCAGGGGCACCATTCGCTGTGTCGATCATCCCAGCGAGTTGTGTGTCGACAGCTGTCCTCAGCAGGCCCAGCAGCCGCCCGGGCACCCCGGGCATGCGCAGTAACCCTGCTCTCGCTTCTGATTGGCCCAAAAGGATTTCCAGGCGGTAGGCCACCACACAGGGAGGCATCACAGGGCCTGCTGCCTCGCTGGCAAGCTCTGATTGGTCCGAATCACTCTCCTCTGCTGCATCCTCGTTATAGACCTCTCTCACACCAGCAGCACCTCTCTTCCTTCCAGGAACCTTCTTTCCTCTCCCTAACTTTTCTTGCTGCCTCTTCCCTAGCATTCCCTTCCCTCCCCCTCTCTCCGTTAGCCCCCTCTTCCCCGTGCCATCCTTCGCAACTGACAGGCTTTCAGTAGATTGTCTGGAAGAGTCCTTGGATCCTCCCATGCTCCGAGTCACACGTCTGTTTCCTCGCCGCAAAGCTTCCTCCCCAACCACCACCTTCTCCTCTCCCTCCTCCTCTCTCGTCTCCCCAGCCTCAAACTCCTCCACTTCCACTTCCACCTCCTCTTCCTTCACCACCTCTTCTACCTCTTCCTCCTCTCTTGCCCCCGTTAGCTCCTTCTCTTCCTCCCCCTCTCCCTCCTCGCCTTCCTCCCCATCCTCCTCATCTTCATCATCGGATAGTACTATCGCTTCCACCTCCTTCTCTTCCTCCTCCTCCTCCTCTTCCTCACCGCCCCCTCCCTCTCCGTCCTCTATTGTCTCCGACTCCCCTCCCTTCCCCTCCTTTCCGTTCCCCCTCCGCTCTCTCCTCTCCACCTCCTCCTCAACACCCGCAGCAAGAGACACCTCTAGAGCTTCAACCAGCTGACCCAACCCGCCCCATGCGCTTGTCAACACCACCACACCCTCCACCTCCCGTCTCTCCTCCCTCCTCCCTACTATCCACTCCATCACCTCACCCATCCCCACACCAGCGAGAGAATCAAGGTTTCCCCCAACTGCTTCATGAATCTTCTCTTGAATCCCCCCTTCCCTCTGCTTCCCCACCCTCAGGAGCCCCTCCCTGCACACGTCAGCAAGCTCCTCCACTGACACGGGCGGCAGCAGGGAGGCGATTCGCAGCACTGCCGCCCGTTGACTTGCACTACGTGCCGCAAGAAGCAACCGTTTGAGAGCAGGAGCATCCAGAGCATCTGCCATAGCTGCTGCTGCATCCGAGTTTTCGCATTCACCCCTGTTGCCTGCCTTGCATCCCCTTCCTTTTCCTCCTCCTCCACCTCCCCCTCCTCCTCCCTCCCCCATTACTCCCTGAACAAACCCCAACACCACATGATACATCACCTCTCTGCCCTTCTCCTCCTCCTCATTGAATTCCTTTCTCTCCTTGGATCCACCCTCCCCAGTACCAGCCTTCCCACCCCCAACCTTCCCACCTTCCCCACATGTCACCTTCCCATGTGCCCCCTCCTCTCCCTCTCCAACCTTCCCTCGCCTCCTCTTTCCCTTTCTCTTGCAACCTTTACCACCGCCCCCTCTCCCCTCCCCTTTCTCCCCCCCTCTTCCCTCCCCTCTCCCCTCCCCTCTCCCCTCCCCTCTCCCCTCGCCTCCCTCCCCACCCTCCATTTCAATCACCAACAAGTCTACAACAGCCCTCACGGATTCAATCACAGCTTCGAGTCCCGCACCTTCCTGGAAGCTGCAGCGCGCGAAAGCGGCAGCAGCAGGGAGAGACCGCTGCATGAGGGTGATGAAGCGGCCGGCAGCAGCAACGGGCGGCAGGTGAGGCGGCAGGTAGGTCGGCAGGAGGACGCGGGTGACGTGGCGGGATGCAATTGGGTCGTTGGGTTCCTCCAGAGCCTGTATGAGCTGGCCTGACGTAATAACCTCTTTTAGTCTTATGCTGGTGTTAGTAGCCACCGTTATAAGCACTTCCGCCACAGCCACTCTCACCCCACGCGACCTGTCCCTCAATCCTGCAGCTATTCGCGGCAGCATCCCCCGTAACAGCTCATGGCAAACAGGGTTACCCTGTAACAGGTGCCCCACCGCCCGCACTGCTGCCATCCGCACCGCAGGGCTGGCCACGTCAGCGGCCAGCTCGTCAACCATCCGCGTCAGCGCTGACGTGGCGACGCCCGACGGGATAACCTCCCAGAAGACGCAGAGGACCCGCCCTGCCACCTCAGCAGCAGAGGCTCGAACCGCGGGGCAGGGGTCCATTAAGAGGCGATCAAAGAGGAGAGATAGCTGCCGATAAAGGAGCGACTCGTTCGCCTCTCGTCCTTGTGCCGGGTCGCGGAGAGGGAAGAGCTCGGCCAATAGGAGAAGGGCGTTGCGGCGGACAGCGGGATTGGCGGCCTGAAATGGGAACGCGTGAAGGCAGGGGAAAAAAGCGGGGAGGGTAGGGGAAAGGTGAAGAGAAACGCATGTGTTGAAAGTTATTTCAAATCGCAGCACGCTCTACCTACACCTCTCAATCTTTCTCTACGTTTCCCAACCTGTCTCAACCATCCTCTAATGCAGCTCGCACCTATACTTTGACCGTAGTGACGACCACTCTAGTGTCATCTGTATGAGAGATTCAGCCTCCAGTGCACGCACCTGATATGTCTCACGTGACACCAATATTTCTGGCATGTCACCAGCAGCAACCTACCTGTAGGCTTCGGAATATGATCGGCTCCGATACGCGCAGAAGCAGCTCGTCCACGCCACGTTGCAGCATCTGACTGGAGAATCCGACCACCACCCGCCGAACCGCCGCTCCCAGCTCGGGCGTCCGAGCGAAAACCGCAGCTTCGATCAGCCCCTGCAGAAACCCATACTCGATCTCCAACAAGCGCGGGCCAGGCTCGGCAGATCGCCAGGCTCGGAAAAAGACCTCGCCGTACGCTTCTAGTAACGACTTCCTTCCCGACGGAATCTGATTCCTTATAATGAGTATAGATTCTTTCAGGAGCTGGAGGTCTAGAAGTAAGAAGAAGGAAAGGAATCGCCGACCCTCGGTGGTCTTTAGATACACCGGCGCGAAGAGACACCTTAGTAGCAGCCCGCGAGTCCCGGCTATGCTCTCCACGTCGCTGAAATCGAGCTCCGAAAACGCGTCGCGCATGGCGTACACGCGTCGCACGTCTACTGGTCGAGAGAGCTCGAGCGATCTCGCGAGGAGATACGGAAGCGTCTGTGCAATGAGTGTGTTTTTGCCTCGCAGATCCGACTGCCACCAGGATTCGAACACGCGAGCTGCCGCTTCCTGCGCTACTGGGTCGAAACCACTCAAGTCAATAAGAATATTGTGTATGGACTCGCAGATGGTTAGCAGGTCAGCTGGCGGGGTAACCGCGCTCCCGGATCCTGAAAACAACTCCGATAAAAGAAGACGCGTAATTGTGAGAATTCCCCGGAGAGCTGCGCGCGCTTCGTCCTCTAATTCTGATTGCGAGGAGGCTCCGGAGAATGAGCCTTGCTGCTGCTGCTGCTGCTGCTGCTTCTTCTGCTGCTGGTGTTCCTGCTGCTGCTGCCGCAGCTCCCGAGGCTGAAACCACTGCTGCTGCTGCTCCCGATGCAGGAGCGGAGCCGTGCCCGGAGACGTTAGCGGAGGCATGAGCGGAGACGTTAGCGGAGGCATGAGCGGAGACGTTAGCAGAGGGAGCAGTAGAGGCGTTGGCGGTGCTTGGAGTCGTGTGCTGCGACGCACTCGCGTCGCGTACTGCTATCAGCTGAAGCACCTTATCGAGCGTGCGAGATGTCAGGTGGAGCAGAGCGGAGCACAGGCGAGGAGTGGTGCTTCTATTGAAGCCTGATACCACGTGGCTTAAGTTCAGCGGATCCTGTTTCGACACGTGGCGAAGCATCAACTCGAGGAAGGCGGTCGGGCTGGGGTCTTCTAATGCCCGAAGCAGCTGCTCTTTACTGCATTCCTTGGTCATTGCTACGTTTCTAAGGAGCTGGGTGTATCAGAGAGGAATAGCAACTCGAAAATACAGTTCTACTAGAACCGTGTTGAACTTCCAAGCTTCGGTGATCCCGAGGTGCTCACGCATATATAGTCAACTAGGAAGGAAACACGGTAAAGCATCTCAATCAGCAGAAAAAACCTGTGCAAGGACCTCCTAATCGCTTCTGATGCCGACTCTCCTGTCTAATATGCATTTCTTCTCTGGTCTCAAGAGTCATACGGCAACCTCTCCAAGCACTGCAGCTAGAATGGAATTCCCGAAGGGCGGGCGGGGTCAGCGCGTTTGTTTTTTGTACTTTACAGCTCATTCTGAGCGGTTACTATTGTTGCGTCACGGTTTTAAACGGTGAATATTTGGAACCGCTGTGAACCGTCTGGAATCCTTTTGCGCAACGACGGATGAACTGTACAAATGTGATGGTGAATGCGCTGACCTCGCCCTAAACTGACAATACCTGAGAAATCCCACTGACAGGAGGACCTGCCCCCAGAACCGAAAGAACTGACACTCTCTGGGCGGGAAATGATGGGATGTTCTCGAGGCGCGGGGGTGGCCGAGGCTGATTGGCTTACGGAGAATTCAAACCGTGAGACATCTAAACGGGGTACTGACATCATTGGAGTTGCAGCTGTATAGCACATCTTTTACATTTCTTGTAGGAAAAAAACATGTTATGAACAAGCATGGCATACATATATTGGTATGATCTTTCTGGGACTTCTAATTCGGTAGCTATCATATCCAACTACCACGGCTCAGGGCATCTTGAATTGGGTGTATTTACAGTCAGCTTCGAGCAAGCCTGATACCCTGTAATTATCCTCCTTACCATCAAGATTTACGTGCTCCTTGCTGTCACCCTCCTTTAATCCTTTTGTTTCTTCATGCCTGGAAGCATTAGTCTGATCGGTCTTCCCAATAAGCCCTTGCACAGAGTTTGACCCTTTGAAACTCCCTAACCTCACATTCAGCTGAAATAAAATAAATGTTTTGTGTTAGTGGAGGTAAGGACAAACCATTGAACAGCACCAACCAGCATTCACACTTACATGGTTGTGGTGCACCAATTTACCGACATTGTGATTGAACGCTGCTCTTCTGACGTCAACAAACATATCGAGTGTACTTGTGACGCGAATCCGCACGGATCTGCTAGTGCGATCCACTCTGAGCATCTTATTGCTCGTGGAGACTGTCAAATCAACGTTCGGCAACTCAGCTCCATTCATAAAAAGCCCTCCTTGGAAACCGGGAATCCTTGCACCGGGGTGTGACACAGCAACCACAACAATCTCCACCAAATCATCTTCACTGTTGCGTGACGCCTTGTTTCGATACAGGATGCCAACTTCATCCATATACTGCAAGAATCAAGACCTTAGATCAGGCCAGAAAAAAAATGTCAGCACAACACATACCGTTTTTAAGTTTCTTACCGTTGTCCCGTTTTGCGGCCCAGCAACGAGGCGCATGTTAACGTGTACGTTTGAATCTGAGAGCAAGCAGTAGCTCTCCCCAGGCTTGCCGTGGAAATCGACTCTCTCCCCATGCCGCCCCACGAAGTGAGGGTCTCCCGTCACATTGCCATGCGTTGTTCCATTATACCTGTAGGCCACAGGAACCAGGAGATCAACAAGCATATGTCATTAGCATGGAATTTTGTTACATGTCTCGTGACGAGCGTGAAAGGTTGTGTGCACAACTAGGAAGAAGAGATCCCGGGCTCACCTTGGTGGTTGTGGCTCCGAATGAAGCTTCTCTTGCAGGAGACGAGCGCAGGGAGGAGGTAAGGCGGGGGTAGGGAAGAGGGAGTTCGGAGGGGTGGAGGGCAGTTGCACTTCCAGTTGGGGACAGATGCAGGGCGAGGGAGGAGAGGTGGATGTGGGGCTGGGGGAAGGGGCAGTGGCAGTAGCAGGTGTGGCAGTTGAAGCAGGGAGGGAGGAGATGGTGGAGAGGGGACGAGGTGTGGTGGGAGATAGTGCAGTTGCTGCTGAGGTTGCTTCAGATGCTGGTGCTGGTGGTAATGCAGAATGGGGAGTGGTTGGCTTGAGGTAGGTGGGAAGGAAGGGGCAACTGAAGGCTGGGGGGGCGTGCAGGCAATCCGCTGGTGGAGAGGATGGGAGGGGGAGGGGTGGGGGGAACAATAGAATGGGAAGAAGATTAGGTGTTCTAGAATAGGAAGGGCTGCTGCTGCTTCTGGCGGTGCTGGTGCTGGCGCTAAGAGATAGTTCGTTCCGTTACACTCACACTCAGATTTAGTCACGTTGCCTCTTGCAAGAGTGGTAACCGGAGCAATGGTGTTGCGGCAGATGACACACGAACCCACGCAGAGAAGACGGGTGGTGAGGGAGGAGGAAGAGGGAAGGGGAGGGCTGATAGAGGAGGAGGAAGAGGGAAGGGGAGGGCTGATAGAGGAGGAGGAATGGGTGGAGGAGGGGTGTGAGGGGGGGGTAGGTGAGGAAGCTGATTGGGTGACCGGCGAGTAACCTTCCTGGAAGGTGCTGTGGTGGATGTGCGCAGAGGCCCATCGCCTCACTGCCACGTCAGCACCGCCTTGAAGGTTTCCCCTCTTAGGATGACCAGATTCTCGTGGCGTCTCAGATTGTGCCACGTCAGCACCGCCTTGAAGGTTTTTCTTCCCAGGAGGCCCAGACTCTCTGACCGCAGGCTCTGTAACAGGGTTACCAGCAGGGTTACCAGCAGGATTTCCTGTGACATTATCGACCAGGTTACCAGCAGTGTTGCTGAGGAACGCTGCATCATAGACAGTGACTCTGCTGCCGGCATGCTCGGGTCTCCCTCCCCCCACATACAGCGCCCCTCCATCCCTCTGCAGGCATGCAGGGAGGCAGGCAGAGAGACGAAGGAAGCCAGAGAGAGAAGAGTGAACTGCACCGTCCCCACCTTCTTCACTCCGACTACTGATCCCCGCAATGTGAGTCATTGGAATCCGACGGTGGAAATCAAAGCTCAACTCACCCCGGCAGCATTCTGATCAAATCGGACGGTGGAGAAGGAAGCTTGGCCTCCTGGCCGGCCGTGAGACCCCACAGCAGCTGCCCCACCGTCGATAGTAGCCCTGTTTGCCTCGAAAAGAGCATTGCCTATGTGCAGTGATGCTCCTTTTATGCTGTTGTCCTGGTTGGTGCGAGGGAGGGAAGAGTGGGGCAAAGGGGCCAGGTGTTAAGGAGATCGTGTTGCTTGAGGCAGGGGGAACCCACTTTTGAGAATTCTCTTTTGAGAACACTTTTGAGAATTCTCTTTTGAGAACACTTTTGAGAATTCTCTTTTGAGAACACTTTTGAGAATTCTCAAAAGTGGGGCCAGGCGTTAAGGAGATTGTGTTGCTTGAGGAAGGGGGAACCCGCAGCTGGTGCCCTTCCCCAGTCCTGTTGCCGATTGTGAGTTGTGGCAGGTAGTGTCGCTCCCATCCCATCCACAAACACAGCACCACCTCCGGCAGTAGCGACAAACAGCGAGTCGAGAGAACAGTCAGACAGGGAGAGGGAGGGGGAAAGGGTGCATTGGCATGATTCTGAGTTGTACCTTCTGGGTTGATGATGCGTTGTGGCAGGTAGGGTCGGCCCCATCCACAAACATAGCCCCTCCAACAGCAGCCGAGTTGGCAACAAACAGCGAGTCGAGCACAGTCACACAGGGAGAGGCAGCAGCAGTATAGTCCACTCCTCGTGAGCATTCCCGCGCTTTGTGAGAGCCAGGGGTGGTCCCCTCATGCCCCTCATCGGGGGTTATTCTGATTCTTATGCTCCTGTCGGCCTGTGCCCCCAGGTACATGGCCCCTCCCCTGCTGCGGTGATTTCCAGTGGCGTCCTGTGGAGAGGGAGAGTGGGAGGATCCGGGAGGGTGCCTCAGTGAGTGCTCAGCGTGCGCCTGACTGGGGGTTGTTCTGATTCTTATGCTCCTGTCGGTCTGTGCCCCCAGGTATATGGCCCCTCCCCTGCTCCGGTGCTTGCCAGTGGCGTCCTGTGGAGAGTGGAGGGCGGAGGGTGGAAGAAAACAAGACCATGTTCGAGAAACGCACAATGACGTACTATGGGTTGCGACCACAGATTTCTGTGAGAAATTGCCGAAAAACCACTGCCCAGTACATAATCAGGCATACACCTGACATACATACCGTGAAAACGGAGTTGAAGGCAAAATTGGCGCCATGGAAAAACGCCGCTGCATTGCTCCCTAAAGCCCCCCCCCTTGCCCCGGTTGACTTTGAGTGGACTCAAACGCCATACATACCATAAAAACGGAGTTAAATGCGAAATTGGCGCCATGGAAGAACGCTGCTGCATCGCTCCCAATAGCCACCGCCCCGCCTCCGCTCCCTCCGCTGTTATTGAAAAAGCTCGTGCCTATAGCGGAGAGGTAGGCCCCGGGCAGGGTCTCCCCTGGTGAAGGCGGTGAGTCGGGCAGCCCGGAAACAAAAACTGCGCCTCCGAACTTGCCCCGCGGGACGAATCCGTGCACGAGAGCGATGTTTTGTAGCGCCAGGTAGCCGCCTGCCCGGACGGTGAAGATCTGAGGGCCAGTGGTACACATGGGAGTGGGGTGGTGAAATGGGGTTCAGATGGGTTGGTGTGGGTTGTGAGATGGATTGCAATCCGTACATTGGAGCGATGCTTTGTAGCGCCAGGTAGCCGCCTGCCCAAACGGTGAATACCTGGTGCGCGAAGGGACATGGGGGGAAGAGAGGGGGAGTGGAATTTGAAATGGGTTTCGACATGGAGGTTTTGGGTTCAGTTGAACCATGCACTGGAGTGATGGGGTGTGAGATGGGACGAACCCGTGCACTGGAGCGACGATTTGGAGCACGAAATCACCTGGTAACCAGGTAACTGCCTGGCCTGAGACGCTGATAAGTCTGACTGACTCTCTCTGTCTCAGTCCCTCCGTCTCACCCTGGACTGCCCCTGGCCGTCGACCGTGCACTGATCGGACGAACACAAGCCCGTCACGGCCACCGCGTGCCTGACAGCTGGCAGCTCGCCATGGGTCAGGTACACGTGGCTCGTGAGGTAGATGGCGGGTGCGCGATCCAGCAGCGCGCCACGTAAGCAAGCCTCGCTATCGCACCACGTGGCAGGTGGGCGACTCTCCGCGCTCCCCGCGCTACCCCCTTCCGCGAATGACGGCCACTCAGGGCTTCCTCCGCCGTCCCCTCCCCCATTCCCTCCCCCGCCCCCACCGCCGTCGGCTCCCACGCCCCCTCCCCCGCCCCCTCCGCCGTCGCCTCCCCCGTCCACTTCTCCGTCCTCTCCGCCAGTCGCAGTGTGGCGCACGGTCCCACCACCGCCATCATCATTGTCGCTTCCCCCACTCGCACCATCCACTTCCGACGCCGGTGCCTCTGCTGCTGTCGGCGCGAGCACCGCCGCGCTGTACGCATCCGCGCTATTATAAGCTTCGGTATAAGGGGTCTCATCCAGCAGCCTGCTGAGCAGCTTTCTTGCTCCATCGGCGCCAGTCGTGACGCGGCGCTGCGGACTCACGCTGGGAACGTTTGGCCGGGGTATGTGGGATTTGTCTGCAAAGAGGTGTGCCTGGGGAAGGTCGTACTTGTTCCCAAAGTGGTGTGGCAGGGGAAGGCGGGATCTGACCGCTTCTGGGATGCGGATGGGTACGCTCGGCAGCAGCGAGGGTAGTTCCGGTGCTGCGGGAAACGCATTATTGTTGAGGTGGAAAGACTCGAGAAGAGAACCAGAGGCCTGAACCGTGTTTAGACAGAAGATTACGACGTTGAAAGAGAGAACTACTAGGCGCCAAGCAGAAAAGCGCGGACGGAGCAGCGGCGCCGCTTTGGTTTCCATGATGGCGCGTTTTATTTCTGCTGAAGTGAAAAGTATCGACGCCACGCGCGTTGAAGTGCAATGGAAAGCGAGTCCGTTAGTTGGCGTCGGGGACTCACCCTTGCCGCAGCACGGCCGTGAGTGGGGATTACCAGAGTTGAAACGCACTAGCGGGATGACTCACTCTCGAGGGAGTAGGGCACGAGATTTGCTCTTCTGTAACTGTGCTGTGGTGGAGAGATGAAGGGGAGAAATGGCAGTGCAAAATGTGGCAAATTTGATCATAAGCAAATTTGGGAAGAAATGCGGCTCGAAGGTGTTGGACATGGCGGTGCGACAAAGCTTTCGTCACGTACCGAGAAGGCCGTTTGATGGTTGACGACTCTCGCAAATACCCGCTGGTGTTCATCGTCCAGCCTCGTTCGTGCTGGCGAATCGGCTGCGAAGCTCGCCTTGCGAGGGGAGGACATTTGGGGTATATGGATACGAAAGGGAGATGCAAACTTAGTGAGTTTCTGCAAAACAGCATGTACAGTGTAAACGTAACAGAAATAGTGTAACAAAAAAGTTCGCTTAAGCTCGCTACTGGCAACTGTGACGGGGAAGTACGAGTCCGCGCCAGCACAGCACCGTCTCACCTGCCTTACGGGACTACAATGAGGCTGATTGGTCGGAACACGTTTCACCCGTCAAGCTGCTTCCAGAAGCACGAGCAGGAACGTGATCTTCCAAGCCGTCACGCACGACACGGCGACCAGCCATGGGAAGAATCTGGATCGTCGGATGAGGGCGTGACACCAGCATTCCCAACTGTTTGGTTGAGACGGTGCAATACGATGAGCTGCGATCGGGAGCTGTTGGTCCGATACATGCCATGAGGGTGTGCGAGAACTGTGAATACGGTTGAGCACGATGCTGCGGTCTCTGAAATGGTTAGTTATCCTCACCCTTCTAAACCAGTGTTTACCCATCTGAAATCAGAAGGAACTCGACTGCCACACTCCTCTTCTTCGCATCAACGATATCTCCGCATCTCAAATCTGGAAGTGAAGATCTTTTCGGAGCTTTAGATAGATATGTCAGGCATTTCTCGGGTTCTTACAATGAAGTTACGGTAGTCTTAGCTCTTTAGACTTCGAAGCTACTGGCGTGTGGTCATGGAAAATCGATACAGCGCAACGTGAAGCCGTTAGTTTGTCATTGTTACGCTTCATAACCTGCTTTCACAACGAGTTCAGTACACTAGCGTCTTAGATTCAACGCGTTTCAGTACACTTGAGTCTTTCAGTTGGGAACAAAATATCCATTTTTTCACGTCTGCTTGTTTTCTAAATCTCGTGCATCAGGAGCAAGCAAAGCACGCGCCGCTCGGCCATGGCGGCGGCGAATGGCGAGCCGGCTCACGGACAGCACCAGCAAAACGGCAGCAGAAAAAAGGAGACTAAAAAAACCCATCAAGGATCAGGAGGGCTTTTCTGGTTAGCTCTGGCCGCTACAGTCGCTGTTGTGGCTGTAGCGGTGGCAGTATCGCGACCGGAATATGTCACCGCCGCTGCAGCGAAAAGCAGCGAGTTTTGTAACCAGATGCTGCGACAATGGGGCGTGAAGCCTGTTGAGGAGGTTCCAGGAACAGGAGAGTCTACACCGCCTGTCGAGGCGGCGGTAATCTCGAGGAAACCGGCGGCGTCGTCAGCTTCCGTTACATCTCCACCAGATTCTGGTTGCACATGTCAGGTACGTACGTTACGTGTCAAACAAGCACCTCACGCGTCAGGCACGTTGCGTTACGTACTCACACGTCTCTGATATAAGTCATACTGCCGCACTCCACAACGGTCATATTTCTTAGTGTCCTGTTATGGCATCGGTGTCTTTGCTCTTAATCTCTGCGCCAAGAGCCGAGTCGCTTTACCTCGGTATCTGCATCTTATCCGCCAACTTTCCTGCTGCCACGTGTTCCTGCTCCTGGTCTGGTCCGCGCCACGTGTCACCTGCAGGTGAAGCGGCTGTCAGGTGTGGTGGACGACTGCTGCTGCGAGTACGAGACGGTGGATGAACTAAACTCGCATGTGTTACAGCCGCTGCTGACCCAGCTCGTCAACACCACTTTCTTTAAGTACTTCAAGGTTGGTTTTGATGCGGTACTGCAAGGTGCGTGGTGGTCCATATGCATGTCAGAACGCACCACATGAGTACGAGAGAGTGGGATGAGCTCAACTCGCATGTGCTACAGCCGCTGCTGACCCAGCTCGTCAACACCACCTTCTTCAAATACTTCAAGGTCGGTTCAGTGCGGTGCTGCAAGGTGCGTGGTTCAGTATAGGGATTGTCAGACTAGGACCGCAAGTGTACTAGACAGTGGATGAACTCAACTCGCACGTGCTACAGCCGCTGCTGACTCAGCTCGTCAACACCACCTTCTTCAAGTACTTCAAGTTCGGCTTGATGCGGTACAATGTGGTAATGCATGGTGCGTGGTGAGTCTGGGGGTTGTCAGAACTCGTGCCACCGTCCATTCTTGAACCATTTCACTCCACCTCAATTTCATCCCATTCCCCGCCCCACCCACTCCATCCCCTCTTGCCAGGTTCGTCTGTGGTGTAACTGTCCCTTCTGGCCGGATGACGGCATGTGCCACTCAAGGGATTGCTCTGTAGGGGAGTGCAAGGACGATGAGGTTCCTTCTTACCACATGCAACCCCACTGTACTCCACCCCACCCCACACAATCCGGTCTCCCATCCTTCCAGGTTCGTCTGTGGTGTGACTGTCCCTTCTGGCCGGACGACGGCATGTGCCACTCCAGAGACTGTTCTGTAGGGGAGTGCAAGGACGATGAGGTTCCCTTTTACCCCACCCAACCGCACCGCACCCCTCCCCACCCCATCCCCCTGTGTCTCAGGTTCGTCTGTGGTGCGACTGTCCCTTCTGGCCAGACGACGGCATGTGTCACTCCAGAGACTGCTCTGTGGGGGAGTGCACTGATGACAAGGTTCCCTCTTACCTCATCCAACCGCTCTCCACCGCACCCCATTCCACCTGATCCTGTCTCCCCTCCTGCCAGGTTCGTCTGTGGTGTGACTGTCCCTTCTGGCCAGATGACGGCATGTGCTAAGCCAGGGATTGCTCTGTTGGGGATTGCAAGGACCACGAGGTCCCCTCTCACCGCACCAACCGCACTGCACCGCACCCTGCACCCCACCCCATCCCACCCCCTTCTCTCAGGTTCGTCTGTGGTGTGACTGTCCCTTCTGGCCAGACGACGGCATGTGTCACTCAAGGGATTTCTCTGTAGGGGAGCGCAAGGACGACGAGGTTCCTTCTTACCACATGCAACCCCACTGTACTCCACCCCACTCCACACAATCCTGTCTCCCCTTCTGCCAGGTTCGTCTGTGGTGTGACTGTCCCTTCTGGCCAGACGACGGCATGTGCCACTCCAGAGACTGTTCTGTAGGGGAGTGCAAGGACGACGAGGTTCCCGCTCCCCTCCGCTGCCCCTCCCCGCCCCCGCCCTCGCTGCTCCCTGCTGACGTGGACGAGCCGCGCGACGCTGACCTGGACCCGAGTGCGGATGAGTCAGCGTCTGCTGAGTCAGCGGCGGGGTCGGTGGATCGAACGGTGGATAGGAGCGCGTTTCAGGCGTGGGTGGAGGCGGATAACCCGTGGACGTCAGATGATGAGTCAGATACGGGTGAGCACAGATATGATATGATACAGATATGATTGGTGCAAGGCAGTAGCAGTTGCTGGGGTGGTCCTGTGCGTTTCAGACGTGGGTGGGGGTGGATAACCCGTGGACGTCAGATGATGAGAGTGACACAGTTGAGATGAAACGGGTACAAGTAAGATGAAACGGATGCAGGTAAGATGAAACGGATGTACCAAGGTCGCTCCTCTCTTTCCCCACCACACCCCCTCTTCCTCTCCCCCTATCCCCTCCCCTCTCCCTCCATTCTCAGCCTCCCAGGTTTTTCTAAACATAGCTCTTAACCCGGAAAGGTACACGGGCTATGGGGGGGACTCGGCGCGGCGCATCTGGCAGGCCATCTACCAGGAGAGGTGCTTCCAGCACCAAGGCCACTCCACGAATTCACACCCCTTCTTTACCCTCATCCCTCTGCCTTACCCGGCACACTCAGCCTCCCAGGTGTATGTCAACCTAGCCCTGAACCCGGAAAGGTACACGGGCTATGGGGGGGACTCAGCGCTCCGCATCTGGCAGGCCATCTACCAGGAGAGCTTCTCCCAGGACGGCTGCTGTGTGTAAACCTCGTATTCGCCCTCCCCTCTCCTCCCACTCCCAGCTTCCCAGGTGTACGTGAACCTAGCCGTGAACCCTGAAAGGTACACAGGCCATGGGGGGGACTCGGCTCGTCGCATCTGGCTTCCAGGACGGCACGAGGGACCATGCCCACATCTCATCCCCCTCTGTTCCTTGCACCCCTCTGCCTTACCTTCCACACTCCCAGCTTCCCAGGTGTACGTCAACCTAGCCCTGAACCCGGAAAGGTATACTGGCTACGGGGGAGATTCAGCGCGCCGCATATGGCAAGCTATATACCAGGAGAGCTGCTTCCAGGACGGCACGAAAGATGAATGCACAGAGCGGCGCGTGCTGTACCGGCTTATATCGGGACTACACCAGGCTATATCAGTGCACGTGGCCGCGTCGCAAATATGGGACTCGGCAGCTGGGAAGGTGAGGGAAGGCCACTTGTCAAGTTGTCAAGCTGTGGTGTGAAGCTACCAGGAGAGCTGCTTCCAGGACGGCACCAAGGACGAGTGCACTGAGAGGCACGTGCTGTACCGCCTTGTCTCGGGGCTGCACCAAGCGATTGCCGTGCACGTGGCTTCTTCCCAGATCTGGGACTCGGCAGCAGGACAGGTGAGGGTGGCTTGGAAGAGCAGCAGCAGGGCTGGGGGGGAGTGTGGTGCAATTGGTCTGTAGACTGTCAGGACGGCACCAAGGACGAGTGCACTGAGAGGCGGGTGCTGTACCGGCTCATATCCGGGCTGCACCAGGCTATAACAGTGCACGTGGCTGCATCTCAGATCTGGGACCCTGCAGCCGGACAGGTGAGGGTGGTGGGCTTGGCATGGAAGGGTTTGGGATGGAATGTTGGGGCCATGTGGACTGGACACACCAAGGACGAGTGCACGGAGAGGCGCGTGCTGTACCGGCTCATATCCGGGTTGCACCAGGTGATTACCGTGCATGTGGCTGCTTCCCAGATCTGGGACTCCGCTGCCGGACAGGTGAGGTACGGGGAGGGGGAGTTGGGGAGAGGGAGATGGGGAGGGAAGTTGGGGAGGGGAAGTTGGGGAGGGGGAGTTGGGGAGGGGGAGTCGGGGAGGGGGAGTCGGGGAGGGGAAGTTGGTGCAACCAGGGGAGCTGCTTCCAGGACGGCACCAGGGACGAGTGCACAGAGCGGTGCATGGAAGATGACGAATGGAAGATTGAGGGACGCATGCTGTACCGCCATCACCATCTTCCACCACCGCGTTGACTTTTGAGTCGACTCAAAAGTCACCCCATCACCATCTTCCACCACCGCGTTGCAAAGCTCCCTCCGTGCTCACTGGCTCATTCTCCTTCCACTTATTTCATCCTCATTCCTACGCCCTCGGCCCCCACACTCCCTCCCTTGCCTTTCCTTCCCCCACCAATGGGGTCCCAGCATCACCATCTTCCACCACCGCGTCACCAAGTTCCCGAACGCCTTGCCCACCTCTACTTGGCCTTCCTCTTCATGCTGCGCCAACCCATTCATCACCACCTTCCCTTTTCCCTTTCCGCCTTTCCGTGTTTTCTCTCCTCTCTCCCCTCTCCTCTCTCCAGTGGGGTCCCAACATCACCATCTTCCACCACCGCGTCGCCAAGTTCCCTGAGCGTCTCGCCAATCTCTACTTCACCTTCCTCTTCGTGCTGCGAGCTGCTACCAAGGTGAGCCTTTGTGCCGTACGTTGCCATGTACGGCTTAACCTCCCAGCTGCTGCTCTCCCCAAGCGTCTCGCCAATCTCTACTTCACCTTTCTCTTCGTGCTGCGAGCTGCTACCAAGGTGCACTGCACACACTCTCTGCATTTGTGTTTGGGTGGTTGTTCGGGGTTTGGTTTTGGGTTGAGGTTTGTTTTCAGTCATAACATATTTAGGAGCAGAGCAGAGAAGGATTCGAATTGCAACCTCTACTTCATGTTCCAGGGCTCTCCGCGTTTGTGCTGGGCGTGGCGACTGAGGGCTCTCTTTATGTTCCGCTCCAGCAGCGTTGGTTTTCAACGAATGCCTTTCAAACCCCCCCCTCCCCCCCTTCCTTCTCCCCCACCGTTGTATGTCACAGGCAGCGGATTTCTTATCACGCGCATCGTACGACACAGGCAACCCCATAGAAGACCAGCAGACAGCAGCGCTGGTGCAGCAGGTGGTGCGGAATGAGAGGCTGCAGGCTGCCTGCCCGTTGCCGTTTGACGAGGCGAGGATGTGGCGAGGGGATGAGGGGCCACAGCTCAAGCAGACGCTGCAAGGGCACTTTAGGAATATCAGGTGAGTGATACTGTGTGCTGCTGCACTCTCTATGGCCCTTAAAATCCTTGTCTCAACCACTCTCCACCTCTCTCCACCCCTTCCCACTCCTACACTCCTGATCATGGATTGTGTTGGGTGTGAGCACTGCCACCTGTGGGTAAAGCTTGAGATCCTCTTTGTGTTTCGTATCTAACCATTGCTACCTTTGCGCACCACCTTTCACCACTCTCCACCCCTCCCCAGCCTGATCATGGACTGTGTGGGGTGTGAGCGCTGCCGCCTGTGGGGCAAGCTGGAGATCCTCGGGCTCGCAACGGCCCTCAAGATCCTCTTTTCTGTCGACGGCAATGGGAATGGCAATGGTGGCAACGGTGGTAACGGTGTGGAGCAGTTGAGCCTGCAGCGCAATGAGGTGGTGGCTCTGTTCAACACGCTCTGGCGCTTCTCCCATGCGCTCAAGACCACTGCTGAGCTCGTCAGCCTGCTCGAGATGAACCCTCCCCCAGATGTACCTGAGATCGGAACATCGCCTGTAGCGTCTGTGGCTGGTGGTGCTGGTGCTGCTGGTATTGGTGCTGGTGGTGGCAGTCGGAGTGGTGTGGGTGGTGCTGCTGGAACAGTGCCGCTGCAAAAGGTGTGGTAGAGAAGCCAAGAAAAGGAGAATCATGACTATCAAGCCACTGCTGCACAGTAGTGCAGTCCGAATTGACTCCGTATTACGCTGTACTGTACAGTAGCGCACTGAAAAAAACATTGGCAAAATATAATGATGTAGTGTGTTAATGTAGATGCCATCAAGATGCTTTAGTGTGCCGCACCTTCATTTGATTATTTTTTTACGTGTGTGCTGTAAATTCTTGTCATCTCTCTCTCCTAGAGAGAGCCAGAGTAATGTGTTCTTATCTCAGTTCCAAGGACTCGCTGAAAGATTGTTTGTTCAAACCTGCGGGCTACACTACATTGGGTGTAACACTTCACGCTCTTGCGAAAATCGCCTTCCATGCGTGAGGGCGTGGCTTTTCTCTCCCTCAGGCGAAGGCGTGGTGGCAAAGTCCGTGACAGATTACGTTAACCTACGGTGCCGAGCGGTGAGATTCCGAACTTCAGGGGTCACGCTCTGGATAGATATTCTATGCCGCCATGCATGCATCACCTCACCACTATCGCTGCCTTGGGAACTCCGCAATCACACACAGGCAAGCAAACAGCCCCATTCAGCAAGCCCAAGAGACTCTCACCCCCTTCATCAGTGAGTTTTTGCAAGCCAAGCATTCTGTTGTTGCTCGTGCATGGCTGGCTCGGCTCCCTGGTTCCTTTTCTTGATATGACCGTTGACTTTAGCCAGAATAGCGTTGCGAGGACATTCAGTAGCGAAAGTGGTTATGATTTAAACCTCGAACCTGGATTGGACTACGTTTTAGGATTCGTCATAGCGTCTCGCGCGTGGGTATTCAATCGATCCTTCCGACCGGCACAGGTTTCGGACTAGCCGTTGCGATGAGTTTTATCTACGGGAACGGCTCGAAGCTGTTTAACGATCCCATTCACGACCACATAACGGTCGACAAGGTATGGAATTATGATTGAGTCTGAATAAAAAAAAGCAGGGACAAAGGTCACGGGACCGAGGAATCTCTCCGGGTGAAGAATGCAGGCTTCAGCGCCAATAACGGGGAGAGGACCTTTGATGTGTGTCGTCGGCTTAATGGGTGAAAAAAAAAGGCCGCAACACCGTTGACAAGGTTCAGGGCTTGTTGACTTTTCCCTTTTTTTTTTCAGAATTCTCCGAGAAGAATCACTCAAATTGACATGATACAGAATGCAGCTTTGAAGGCCAACATGATCATCAGAAGCTCAGTTGGCAGTCATGGTGTTACTGTCATGGATCGTGTACAAATTCTCATTTTCCAATCACGTCGCGCTCCTTCTGGTCCTGCACCAAAACAGCTTCCTTCGTCTCCTGTCCATTTTCACTCCTCTCCGCCCCTCTCCACCCGTTCCAACCCTCTTTCCCTCATTCTCATCCACAGACCAGCCAGAGCATCATTGACACGTGCGAGTTTCAGCGCTAAGGCATATCCGCCAGCTAGGCGTCTACCACTCACCCATATCTCCCTCTCCATCTCTCTCAACCCCTCTCCACCCATCTCCACCCCTCGCCACCCCTTCCAACCCTCCCTTCCTCAATCCTATCACAGACCAGCCTGAGCATCATCGACACGTGCGAGTTTCAGCGGCTGAGGCACATCCGTCAGCTAGGCGTGTGCCACTACGTGTACCCATCAGCCAATCACACGCGACTAGAACACTCCATAGGGACCTCGCATCTGGCCAATCAGGTGGTGGAATCGCTGCGGCGGCAGCAGCCAGAGCTGGGGATCAATGATGATGACGTCATGGCGGTTACTCTGGCCGGGCTGTGCCATGACATGGGGCATGGGTGCTTCAGCCACATGCTTGATAACGCCATCTTCTCCCACTTCTGCCCTAAATCCGACTGGTACGTGCGTGCTTTTGAGTGAGGCGCCTCAAAACTGGGCTGTGCCATGACATGGGGCATGGGGCATGGGGCATGGGTGCTTCAGCCACATGCTTGATAACGCCATCTTTTCCCACTTCTGCCCTGGATCAGATTGGTATGTACGTGCTTCACTGTTGTTTGTACTTACCTCCATGATGTTACTTGCAATACCACTTTGTGAACACCTTTGCATTTTTCTAGACATTTCTGGATCTTACTGAACACGTTTGAACTGCATTCAACACCATGGAACCCATGTTATCAGGCATCACGAGAGGCGGTCAGTGGAGCTGGTGGACCTAATGGTTAACAACGTCAACAACAAAATTGATATCCCCCCTTGGTGTCTGCACGAGCACTCACTTGCCCCATCCTACCTCTGCATACATTTTTATATTGCACACCCCCCTGCTGCCGTGTGCTTGTGGCATATGCTTATCAGGCATCACGAGTGGATCTGGTGGATCGAGTGGTTGAAAACAACAACATTGACATTGACCCCTATGTTGTGTCTGCATCAGCACTCACCTACCTACCCTTCCTACCCCTGCTGTACCCCCACCACTCACCCCGTGCCATATAATTTCAGGCATCACGAGAAACGGTCAGTGGAGCTGGTGGATCGAGTGGTTGACAAATACAACATCGACATTGACCCTGATACCGTTGCCACCATCAAGGTGAGAGACGGCACGAGGGTGAGTGAGAGGATGGTAGCACGAGGGTGGGAGCACGGAAGAGGTGGCTTTGGATATCTCATATTCTGTAAGCGAGATTTTTTTTTTTTTTTTTTTGAAAAATACGCCCTAGATATTTCATTCTTATCCTGCTTATCATCGCAAACATTCTTCCACGGAATCAACTCCTTTTTTCTTTTTGTGTGTGTGATCATTCCAAACATTCTTTTTTTTTATGTTCACTCCAAGTGGTTTTTTAGTCGACTAAAAAACTCCAACATCCCTTGGATCCTTCTGCTCATTCAACCCACACCTACCCATCCCCATCTCTTTCTTTTCCAAACCTCCAACCAACCTCCTTTTCTCCCTTGCTGTCCTTCTCCCCCTGCCGCTCCTCTCCTCTACACCAACCATCAGAGCCTCATTCTACCGGACAAGTCCAAAAGGCAAAGGGTAGGTAAATGACTGGGCGGTGCATTGGAGGGTGGGTAAGTGGGGGAGTGAGGATCGGCAGGTGGAGGGGATAGGGGATGCTGAGGTGGTAGGGGAAAAGGGTGGAGTTATGGATGGGACGAGGATGGGTGAGCATCTACCAATGGTGAGGTGAGGGCAAGAAGGGATAGGTGGGCTAGAAAGCCACCTGAAGAAACTCCTGTGAGACTCCCTTCCGTTTGTAGAGCATACACATGACTACCCTGTGTGTGTGCGTGCAGGATTACACTGAGAAGGAGTTTCGGTAGGACATCGTGGCGAATGTGCTGTGAGACGCCTGGAAACTCTCCCCCCTCCTCTGTTTTGGATTGTGTGCGTGCAGGATTACACTGGCAAGGAGTTTCTATGGGACATTGTGGCCAATGCACGCACGGGAATAGACGTGGACAAGTGAGTGAGTGAGCCTGTGCTCTCTCCGATGCTTCGACAGTGCGCCCCGTCTGTCCTTAGTTCTTTAGCTGTAAAATTGCTGCTCTCTCATTATGTGGTGTCCCGGTTTGTGCTCTGCTGTGTGGTTTGCTGCAGGTTTGACTACTTGGCTCGTGACAGCTACTTCTGCAACATCAAATCGTGCTTCGACCACAAGAGGTGAGGATGGTGTGGTGGGGATGGTGTGGTGGGGATGGTATGTGTAAGGAGGAGCGTGAGTGAGTGCACTATATGGTGGCACCATCGCTGGTGTGCGGGTTTTTACTCCTACCACCTGACTCGTGACAGCTACTTGTGCAACGTCAAGTCGTGCTTCGACCACAAGAGGTGAGTGAGGGGGAGGCGGAGGGTGAGGCGAGGAGGGTAAGGGGAGCTAAGGGGGGAGGTTGGGGAGCTAAGGGGGGAGGTTGGGGAGCTAAGGGGGGAGGTTGGGGAGCTAAGGGGGGAGGTTGGGGAGCTAAGGGGGGAGGTTGGGGAGCTAAGGCGGGAGGTTGGGGAGCTAAGGGGGGAGGTTGGGGAGCTAAGGGGGGAGGTTGGGGAGCTAAGGGGGGAGGTTGGGGAGCTAAGGGGGGAGGTTGGGGAGCTAAGGGGGGAGGTTGGGGAGCTAAGGGGGGAGGTTGGGGAGCTAAGGGGGGAGGTTGGGGAGCTAAGGGGGGAGGTTGGGGAGCTAAGGGGGGAGGTTGGGGAGCTAAGGGGGGAGGTTGGGGAGCTAAGGGGGGAGGTTGGGGAGCTAAGGGGGGAGGTTGGGGAGCTAAGGGGGGAGGTTGGGGAGCTAAGGGGGGAGGTTGGGGAGCTAAGGGGGGAGGTTGGGGAGCTAAGGGGGGAGGTTGGGGAGCTAAGGGGGGAGGTTGGGGAGCTAAGGGGGGAGGTTGGGGAGCTAAGGGGGGAGGTTGGGGAGCTAAGGGGGGAGGTTGGGGAGCTAAGGGGGGAGGTTGGGGAGCTAAGGGGGGAGGTTGGGGAGCTAAGGGGGGAGGTTGGGGAGCTAAGGGGGGAGGTTGGGGAGCTAAGGGGGGAGGTTGGGGAGCTAAGGGGGGAGGTTGGGGAGCTAAGGGGGGAGGTTGGGGAGCTAAGGGGGGAGGTTGGGGAGCTAAGGGGGGAGGTTGGGGAGCTAAGGGGGGAGGTTGGGGAGCTAAGGGGGGAGGTTGGGGAGCTAAGGGGGATGAGTGGAAGGAGGAGCGTGCGTGCACTATCTGGTGGCACCATCCGCGTGCTCCTGTATAGCCTGCAGGTGACTTTTGAGTTGACTCAAAAGTCCATCCGCGTGCTCCTGTATAGTCTGCAGGTTTGGCTACCTGGCTCGTGAAAGCTACTTGTGCAACATAAAGTCGTGCTTCGATCACAAGAGGTGAGGAACCACAGATTCTGTGATTGCCATGTTGCGAGATCTGCTTCCAGTTATGAGAGTTGACTTTTGAGTCGACTGAAAAGTCATGCTGCGATTGATGTGTTGCGACATCTGCTTCCAGTTATGAAAAGTGTGTTGTGAGATCCTTTCTAAAACCTTCTTCCTGCCCCCATCGCCCCCCTGTTGCCCCTCTGTTTCTCCCCACAGATTAAACTGGCTCCCTAAGACACCGCTCTAAGCTCACAGCTCACAGCTCACCAGGACACCCATCCATTCCATGGGGTTTGTCTCGTCGTTTTAACCATACAAGTTGATGGAAGTAAGGCCTCCGCAGCCCACCTGTCTGCGTTCGACAACTCCTGCCCCCATCGCCCCCCTGTTGCCCCTCTGTTTCTCCCCACAGATTAATTCAGATGATGCGAGTCATAGACGACGAGCCGAGATCTGCTACATATACAGAGAGTGTGAGTGAGGGTCTCTGTTCCCCTCCCTCCTTTCCCTCACCCCCACACATGCCCCTGCGTCCCTCACCCCCCTGTCCGCCTCGTACCCCTGTCACCCCTACCACAGAATGATTCATATGATGCGAGTCATAGACGACGAGATCTGCTTCAAGTACAGCGAGTGTGAGTGATGCCCTTTCTTGCCCTCCCTCCCTTCCCTGACCCCTTAATATACCTCCCACCCTCCCTCCCTTCCCTGACCCCTTAATATACCTTCCACCCTCCCTCTCTTCCCTCCCTTCGCTGAGAGTGATAGACGACGAAATCTGCTTCAAGAAAAGAAACTGTAAGTGATGCCCTATTTTACCCATCTACTTCCGTCGTGCCCACTCTTACCCTCCGTCCTCTCTTGCTCGCCTTGTGCACTCTCTTTCCCTTCCCATCCCCACCACCACCCCACCCCCACCCGACCCTCACAAACCCCCCCTCCCTCCCCCACGCCTGAGGGCAGTGGAGACCGTGAACGAGCTGTTCTGGCTGAGGGCCAAGATGTATCGCAACGTGTACACGCACAAGACAGTCAAGGCAGTGGAGGCCATGATCCTAGAGGCGCTCACGCACGCCAACCATGTGTTCCGCTTCGACGAGATTGTGGAATCTAAAGATCTTGACAGATTCTGCCAGCTGGACGATTCGATTCTGCGGGAGATTCTGAGATCTCGGGACCCTAGCCTGGCGAAATCGCAGGAGATTCTGAGGCAGCTCGAACGGCGACAGCTGTATCAGGTAACTTCAGAATCCCTTCACCATTCTACACCGTTCTGCATCGTTCCGCACCATTCTGCACCGTTCGGCACCATTCTGCACCGTTCAAGACCGTTCTGCACCGTTCTGCACCTTTTCTCAGCACTCACCTTCCTCCCTGTACGGCGCCTGCTCCGTTTCTACCCCCTCATGTCCCCAGATCACTCCCCCATCTTTCTCCCATCTCCCCGCGATTCATCCCTCCAGTACAGGAACGAGTTTGTGGTGCCTGTGGATGCGCTGCACCACTTCGATGTGCATTGAGGTCGTTTTCTCCTGCTCCTCTCTTATCCCCGCTTCCTCTATCCTCTTCCCCACCCCCCTTCCCCCCCACCCTCTTCAGTACATGAACGAGTTTGTGGTGCCGGTGGATGCGCGGCAGCAATCTGAGCACTCACCTGCCTCCCTGCACCCTCCCAACACCCCCCCCCCCCCCCTTCTCTCTCAACCCCCCACAACGGTGGATGCGCGGCAGCAATCTGGGCACCCACTGGCTGTTTGGGAATCACTTTTGAGAATTCTCAAAAGTGATTCCTTTCTCAAAAGTGATTCCCAAGCACCAATTTGTGCACCCATCGGCTCCTCTCTAACCCCCCATTTCCCCAATCTCCCCCCTTTTCCCTCCTCCCCTCCTGGCAGTACAGTTTGTATTGCCGGTGGATACGCTGTGCTGCACCACCATTCCAAGCACTCACCTGCCTCCCTGCCCCCCCCCCCCCCCCCCCCCCCCCCCCCTCTCAACCCCCCGCAACCCACCCCAACCGCCCCCAACCCACCCTTTCGGCAGTACATGAACGAGTTTGTGGTGCAGGTGGATGCATTACACTGCACCACCATTCTGAGCACTCACCTGCGTCCCTGCACCCTCCCAACAACCCCCCCCCTCAACCCCCAACAACCCCCCACAACCCACCCCAACCGCCCCCAACCCACCCTCTCGCAGTACATGAACGAGTTTGTGGTGCCTGTGGATGCGCTGCACCACTTCAAGAAGCTCACAGTGGACGAGCTGCTGCGGCATGTGAGTGTGGGAGGGCATGTAGAGAGTAATGTTGTGGTGACTGCATGTGCAATGGGGTGACTTTTGAGTCAACTCAAAAGACTTTTGAGTCGACTCAAAAGTCACCTCGTTGACTGCATGTGCAATGGGCCAAGTGGACGCTCTTCACCACTTCAAGCAGCTCACAGTGGACGAGCTGCTGCGGCATGTGAGTGTGCGGGTGGGCATAGGAGTATATGAGAGTGCGTGAGCTCATTTGGGTGTTTGCGTGTGACTGTCATGGTAATGCGCTGCACCACTTCAAGCAGCTCACAGTGGACGAGCTGCTGCGGCATGTGAGTGTGCGGGTGGGGAATTGTGGGTGTGCGAGTTGGTGAGTGTCACGTGAAAGCACAGTGCCACTCTTCTAAGTGTGGGAGCGAGTGGGAGCTTTTGAGAATTCTCAAAAGCGAGGGGGAGCTGGACTAGACCAACTGCCTGCCTGTGCACCAGGCCAAGGGGATGCACTGACCTTCACCGCTTCAAGAAGCTCACAGTGGATGAGCTACTGAGGCATGTGAGTGTGCGAGGGAGTGTGTGGCTGTGAGAGTGGGAGCCGGTAGGAGTGTGCCTGTGCGCCAGGCCAAGTCAATACGCTGCACCACTTCAAGCTCACAGTGGATGAGCTACTGAGGCATGTGAGTGTGTGAGGGAGTGTGCGAGGGAGTGTGTGGCTCTGCACAAGTTGGCCAAGTGATGGCAGAGAGCTGTTTACCATACCAGATCCCCCGTGTACCTGTGTGCAATGTGACTGTACACACCATGTGACTGTACACACCATGTGACTGTACACACCATGTGACTGTACACACCATGTGACTGTACACACCATGTGACTGGGAGTCATGGCAGGTAACGGGAGTACACCTGAAGGAATATGGCGACAAAATGTTAGCTAGCTGTTTATGATACCATTTACCCCCTTCACCACACCACATAGACATACACATACCCGTATCCCCATCTACCCGTGTCTCATATTGCAGGGAACAGGATCATACCTGCGGGAGCATGGCGATCAAGTGATTGTGGACAACATTAAGATCGACTATGGACAGGACACCGACAATCCCCTCGACAAGTGAGTTTAGTAGTAGTATTGACACGAATATCAGCCCCCTTGAGTAGTGTACACTAAGAAAGCGGACGAGGTTCTTTAAGAGTGATTGTGGACAACATCAAGATCAACTATGGACAGGACACTGACAACCCAGTTGACAAGTGAGTCACAACAATGAGCATGAAGAATTGAATGATGGTACCATTTTCGGCCAACCTTAAAGTTGACTTAAAAGTCGGCTCAAGAGTTCAATACTGGTATAAACTCTTTGTAACCCACTCAAAATCCGAGTGCTATACTCAGCCCTTTCTCGTCCCATCACATCTCTCTTTCTCTCCCATCCAACCCCACCCGTTTTACGCCATGTGTGCATACAAACCATGGCTACAACAACCACACTGCCACAATGACCACGCTGGAATGATGGCCGTTTTGCTACAACTGCCACCACGGGTGGTGTTGCTGTGACCATTTCGCCTGCCGGCCGGACTCGTTTGATCCACCGCACCACATGGCTGCAACAACCATGCTGCTCCAACTACTGCATGGTGTTAACTCCTCCTGTGATGCGCCCATGGGGTGCCCTTGCTCTTCAGGGTCCGCTTCTTCGATGTGAGTCGTCAGAACAGGGATTTCGGACATGTCATGATGTGATGTCCACACATGCACGCATGAGATGAGTCTATCCCCACCCTGATGTCATGTCATGCTGACGCTACACATCACACACACATGCACATCTCTGACATGCACACATTGCACATGTGCATGTCTCACATGCTTGCATCGCACTGGTCCTTCCTCTCCAAGAAGATGTGGATTCTTGAACTCCTGTCATGTGTCCAGGTCGAACGCACCAAGCACCCGTCTACCATTCATGCCCACATTCTTTTGCTACACCCACCTTCTTGTATTGTGAAACTGCAGACTCAGGAGCACCGGGACTTTAACGATCCAGGAAAGAAGCTGTCCAAGTTCCCCATCCCATGCCATCGTATGAGCACCATGATGCCTCAGAATTACAAGGACATGACCGTTCGAGTGTACATCAAGACCAGAGATCAGCGTCTCGTAAGTTCATTCATTGCCGTTATTTCTCATTGCACAACCTATCTATTGTCACTGTTCATGTAGTGCAAGTTGGTTTCATTGTCTGTTTATTGATTATTGTTTATTGTGTGATTGCTTGTCTTCCCTTTTCTTGTTTTCCAGGAGGATGAGGTGAAGGAGGCGTTTGTCAATTACCAGATGAAGACATTTGGTCGCGAAGTCATGCGCACTCCAAGCCGTAAGAGAATGCGCAGACACCACGAAAATGGTGGAGGGGTAACCAATGGGGGTGGAACTGTAACAGAGGAGTTCACGGGGGATGATGATGATGTGGTCTGTTCACAAACTGCAAGGAAGCTGATGTGATGTGACATGGTGTTCAAGACCCTGATGATTGTCAAGCTTCACCACTTTTGTTTCATGAGCTCCCCATCAAGTAGAATTCTCTGTGCTTTCAACTGCTACAATTAATCATTTTCTCGGTTCACTCCAGGACGTCATCAGCGTGATTACCGTACGCTATTCTCTCTGACAACCGTTAACTTCTCGGTTCCTGACAATAACCCACGTTATCAGCGTGATCGCAATACGCTATTCCCTCTTTGCAAAATTAATTGAACGTATTGGGGCAAGCGTCAAGGATGCCAACAGGTAAACTTGAAGCAAAGCTTTACTCTCTCCAGCAATCTACCCATTGGAAGGTGGAACCATGCTAGCTGGAAATCATGAATATTCTTTGCACTTCCAAAAGGTGGCTATTGAATATTGTGTTAATCTGAAAATTGAGCGTACAAAATTGTTCCCACTCAAGCCGACCTTCTAAAAGGGCTGTACATGAAACTCGAAATATATTATCTTGCATTTAACGGGGGGACACGGTGATCTGGTCAGCGGGCACAATCAGGTCACCCTTCCTGTACTCGGACCAGGCAGCCACGGGCCAGGTAGCACCACGGCCGAGCAGGCTCAGAGCGAGGGGAACATCGATGATGATCTCCTTCTCGGTGGGCTTGGCTCCCTCCTTGGTCTTGATCAGGTAAGAGCGGCCGACCCACCCAATCCAGCCAGCAATGTACAGGAAGACGATGCCGGGGGACACGAACTCGCCCGCGTGCCTGAAGTCACCATCGACGATCAGGTGGGGAAGACCGTCGGTGCCGCACAGCAGGCCGGACTTGCCGTAGAAAGAGAACCGGCGCTCGGTCCTCTCAATGGTGGCCTTGAGAGCCAGAGCGGGGGCAGAGCCGTCCTTGTAGAGCTTGAGGCGGTTCTTCAGCTTCTTGATGGAGTTCTTCTGGCGCTTAGCGAAGGCCTTGGAGTCCTTGCAGGGGGTAAGGCCAGCGACATCGGCGAGTGCGACCTCGGGAACGGCCAAGGCACCGGTGCTGACGATGGCAGCAAGGGCGAGGGCAGAGGCGATCTTGCCTGCCTGCTCGGTAACGTTCTCCTCCTTCTCCGCGGAGCAGACGGTCTTAGCAGACACCTGCTTCACGAAGCAAGACGCCTTGGTGGTGGAGAAAGACGCCTTGGAGGACAGGTTCTTGGGCGCAACAAGAGGAGCACCCAGACCAACAGCAGCCATGGTGACGGCGGCCATTTTTCCTCTGTAGTTTGGTTACTGGAAGAGGAAGTCTGGCTGCGGAGTCTGGTCTGGAAGGAGATCGCTGCTTGCGGAGAGGAAAGCAAACCCCGAAGAGTCTAAAACTGGATGTGAGGTCTCGCTGCTGCAGGTACACCGCTTGGAGGGATTTTCCAGGAGTTCGGGGAAACCCAGCATCGAGCAGAAGAAGAATCCCGACAGGTGGCGCCGTTCAATCAGAATTTCGCACACTGGGTCCGTTGACCAATCGGTGAGCTCCAACCCGATAAGGCAGACCGATTTTGTGACCTTCAGGGTATTCTGATCCACGTGGAATCGAATGAACGTTGGCGAAGAGTTCGTTATCAGCCCGCATCGTGGCATCTCGTCATAATCGGGGAAAAAAGCGTCGCCGAAATCTAAATCGCGCACCCAATCGCTGTAGTGTGGAAATCATAACATAAAACTCAAGTCACATCTCTGCACTACATCAATAATAAAAAGTACAGAACACTACATAATAGCACAATTCATCCCAAACATCCTCTCAATAGGATACCTGGTCATCATTTTGTGGATGCTACTCTATTTAGAGTACCCGTATTGCTTATCAGCTGAAAGAAGCCTTCACATTCCATACACAAATTCACAGCACTGAATTACAGTTGATTCATAATGCTCACATCACAAAAGGGTCTTATAAAATGCATAATGATCTCACAAATGCAACCACATCCATAATCAGTTTGTTCCCCATTGAGCCCTCTTTACAAGAGAAGCTTTGCCCTGAACTAAGGGCGCGTCAATTCCCCCCGTATTAGCGAAATTGCCTTTTGGCCGCTTTTCCGTCGACTATTCAGTCGACATTTCTTTCGCGAAAAACGCCCAAATGGTCGACATCATGACGACACGCAGTCGGCCTGCTTTTGTAAAACTGCAAATTTGACAGGTTTGCTGGCCGATATGCAGGCCGCATTACAGGAACTGTAAACTTTGCAGTCGCCCAACTTAACGGGTTCGCACGACGGCGTCGCAAATGTCAACTCTGTACACGTGTTTCACGTTCAGTCGCCAGTAGTTGTGCGCGACGTAACAGATCTCTGTCGCACCGACGCGTCGGAATCGTGGCCGGTTTGCAGTCGACTCGGCGTCGTTTCCGAATCGACTCATTAAACGGCCATAAAATCGGCCATCGAATTCGCGAAACTCACCAAATGTTAGCGACTTTTGCAAACTGGTTACTTTCGCTAATCCGGCCATTCGGATCCATCCGAATTTTGATGTTTGGGGAATTGACGCGCCCTAAGGCTCCCTAAATGAAGCTGCAGCTTAATCAGTACATGTGCATTCCCAAACCAGCACTCTTCCCATACCCCCTACAGTACAGAACAGATCCATCCATCCGTCCATCCATCCACTCCCAGCCCAGCGTACAAAATCCTTGTCAAATCAGCTGGTGTCTACAATTCAGTGAGGCGAGTTGGTTCCCGTGTCGCTGGATAAAGCACATGCAAGAACGGTTGCCAGGGCTTGGTGCATGCATACTGATAAGTGACAGATTTGACTGAGTAGAAGCTTGAAAGCTTTGAAGCTAAGGGATGAATGCTGAGAGTCGGCAAGACTTGGGGGTGAGATCCCTGTAGAGCTGCTAGGTAGGGGTCCCCATGACCAGGTGCTAAGGGTCCCTGTCAAGGCGTGCGAGATCGTACACCTGCCGAATGTTGCCCGATGCTGCAGGCAGCCAGGAGAAGTCGGGTGGGGAAAGGGGGGGGTGTAGAAGCAGGGTGACTAGGAATACGACACTGATTTGTGAAATGCCTCGCGATATTTGAGAACGGGGGGGGGTGGGGAGGGGGGAGTATGAAGAGCGTGGAAACAGATTTTGATAACGGCCCATTAGATCAAGATGAGAACAAAGAGAGGGGGAGGAGGTAGAGAGGGCACTGACTGAGGAGCCACTCCTTTGAAGTGCGCCTGGATGACGTCCCTGAGGAACTCTTAGAGAGGAGGCCTCCTTACAGAGAACGCATTATTACAGAAGAAATATGAACATTTTCAGGAGGCACCATGCCATAGGAGGTAGAGGAGGTAGAGGAGGTAGAGGGGGCACTGACTGAGGAGCCACTCTTTGAAGTGTGCCTGAATGACGTTGGTCAGCTCCCTCTTCCGCCCCTCGTCCAGCACTGCTGTCTTGAGGGTTTGACGAAGACTCTCCACCGTCTTGGTCTGGTAAACACAGGATGGGAGAGAATGGATGGGAAGGGGGCGACCGGAGACGTGGAGAAATGATTGTTAATCAGGCTAGATCCTACCCTTCGTCCAGCACCGCTGTCTTGAGCGTCTGCCTCAGAATCTCCACCGTCTTGGTCTGATGCACATGGGGAGGAGGGGAAGATGGTTGGAGAGAGTGTGGTCAGGGAAGTGAGCAAAGTGAAAGGAAAATCTGAGACAGAACAAAAACAAATGCAGTCAACTGTCAGAAGATGTACAAAGATCATACCTTTGTGTTGCAAGGGGGAGCAGTTAAGCAAGGTCAACCAGTCAGGCCAGGCAGGGGCAATGAGCAACGCACCTTGTGCTGCAGGGCAACGAGGTAAGTCTTGGGCAGCCCAAACGGGTTGGCTCACGCAGCCTGCTGCAGCCTTGAGACGTTTCAACTTGCGAGAGAAACGAGTAGCATACCTAATGCTGCAGGGCCATGAGATAGGTCTTGGGCTAAAACGAATGGTCAATAAATACTGTGAGCAACACACCTTGTGCTGCAGGGAAATGAGATAGGTCTTGGGCTAGAACGAATGGTCAATAAATACTGTGAGCAACACACATTGTGCTGCAGGGAAATGAGGTACGTCTTAGGCAGGGCAAACGGGTTGGCCCGCGTGGCCTGCTGCAGCAGCGGATTGCTGTGGCGATGAGTTACGTACCTTGTGCTGAAGAGCTGTCAACAGCAACGGGTTACACACCTTGTGCTGCAGGGCGATGAGGTACGTTTTGGGCAGTGCAAACGGGTTGGCCCGCGTGTTGAAAGGAGCAGCAAGCACCAGGAACCCACACAACGGGCAACCAGCCACGTACCTTATGCTGCAGGCTGCAGCACATGCAAGGGGGACCAGCTACACACCTTGTGCTGCAGGGCAATGAGGTATGTCTTGGGCAGGGCAAACGGGTTAACTTTCGTGGCTTGCTTAAGCTTTGAGATTGCAAGGACCCCCAGCCACATACCTTGTGCTGCAGAGCAATGAGGTACGTCTTGGGCAGGGCAAAGGGATTCGCCCGCGTGGCCTGCTGCAGCAGCGGACTGGCGCCCCCTCCTCCCGGCTGCTCCTGCTGCGTCCGAAATGGGACCTGATGTGCCGGAAAGCACGAGTGACGGGTGGGAGGTTGGGTAGGGGGCCAGGTGGGTGTGATACCTCCGACTATAAGGGAGTGTAGACTGGCAGGTGGGCAAAAATTGTGTAGCTTCAAATCCAAGGGTGCACGCAGTCTAGACATGAATCGCCGAAACGGTAAAGGAGGGGAAGGAGGGAGAGCGAGGGGATGACAAAACAGACGAAGCGAGAGCCAGAGAGCAAAAGGGAGGCGCGAAAAGAGTCACAAGAGCCAGAGAGCAATTGAGTCACCACGAACAAGCAAAAGAAGCAGGCGGCCCTCAAACCAAATGACATGAAGCAAAGCGATTCATTCAGCTATTCAGTCTCAGAAAAAACAAACAGGGGGTGCAAAAGCACGGGATGAAATGCGCCTCAACACAAACGAGCAGGCAAAACGACTCACCACAAAGGGCACAAACTTTTCAGGTGGCATCAGAATCGCCGAATCAAGCGCCGCAGCCGCCCCTCCCTCCTTCTCCCCCTCCGCCTCCCCTCCACCCGTCCCACCAGCAGCACCAGCAGCAGTACCAGCACCGGCAGCACCAGCAGCAGCAGCTGCATCTAGCGATCCCAGCGCTAACGGCATGTCCCACTTGTTCACAGCAGGGTCCACCCCGACCTTTGCCAGGTGGTAATCGAGACGGGGGTAGAAGGTGTTGTAGGGGGCGATCTGCAGTGAGTGGTTGTCGCCGAGAATGACGGGGCGGGAGTTGCAGCCGAGGTAGAACACGCACTCGCGGCAGTTGGCTATGCGGATGCGCGCACACGGGGCGATGAGGGTGAGTCGCTCACAGGCTTCGACCCGCACCACCTGAGGGGGAGCAGGGAATTGGGGGGCCGAGGGAGGGTTTATTCGGGGCACATAGTGCGCATAGGGTTTGAGCATGGCTAGCAGATAGCGCGCACACGGGGCGATGAGGGTCAACCGTTCACACGCTTCCACTCGCACCACCTGGAAGGGAGGAGGGGAAGGGGAAGGGGGAGGGGGAGGACGAGGGGGAAAGGGGCACAAGGGGGGATGGAATGGGGAATTGCAGCCGAGGTAGAACACGCACTCGCGGCAGTTGGCTATGCGAATGCGCGCGCATGGGGTGATGAGGGTGAGCCGCTCACACACCTCCACGTGCACCACCTGAGGGGGAGGGAGAGTGGAGGGGGTAGGGAGTGAGGAGGACGGAGTTGGGGTGCAGGGGATGGGGTAAATTGGGGGTACTTGGCGCGCGCATGGGGCGATGAGGGCGAGTTACTCACACGCCTCCACTTGCACCACCTGACGGAGAGGAAAAGGGGTTGGGGTGCGGGGGGAAAGGGGAGGGGGGGAGGGATGTAGTAGATTGACTCGTCACTAAACTGCTGTGAGTGGACAGCAATGGACAACCCTCTTTTGAGTCGACTCAAAAATAGGGGGGTGGGGATATAGTGGATTGACTGGTGGATATAGTGATAGTTGAGTTGAGTCACTAAGCTGCTGTGGGCGGACAGCAATGGACAATCCTCTTCTCTCTCGCTCATGTTTCCCAGGCCCATCCTTTCTTTCCCCTTCCACCCCACCTCTCAATCCCCTTCACCCCCCCTCTCTCTTACTTTCACCCCTCCTCTCTCTCCCCTTCATACAATCTCCCTCACCTCTCCGCTCCTCACCTCTCCTCACCTCTCCTCACCTCTCCTCTCCTCTCCTCACCTCTCCTCTCCTCTCCCCTCCTCTCCTCGCTTTCCGTCTCCACTTCTCTCCTCTCCCTCACCTGCATCCCGCCTCCCTTCCGCTCATCCCTAGTTTCTCTCACCTCACCTTCATCCCTCCTCCCTCTCAACTTGCCCACGGCGCCCAGCACCACAATGGAATCGGAGCAGCCAATAACGAATGTGCACTTGCGAGAGAGTGAGTAAGAGCACAACACACCCAACGCTTCCTTCATCTCATCTTACCCACGTCCCACCGTTTTGACCCTTTTCCCATTCTTCCCCCTTGCATCTCATCTCTTCTCCTCTCACCTTTCCCACAGCGCCCAGCACCACAATGGAATCGGAGCAGCCAATAACGGAGGCGTACTTGAGCGGAGCGAGCACGTAGATCACACTGTCGTGACAGTGCGCCACCTGAGGGGGGAGCAGAACAGGAGGCGGGGGAAAGGCAGAAGAGGAGGGGTTGGGTTGTGAGTCATTGAGCGGAGCGAGCACGTGGATCACACTGTCGTGACAGTGCGCCACCTGAGGTGGGGGGAGAGGGATCGGGGGCAACGGGAGGGTAGGATGGGACGGGCTATTTAGAGGATCCAGCAAGCGTACTTGAGGGGAGCGAGCACGTGGATCACACTGTCGTGACAGTGCGCCACCTGAGGGAGATGGTGGGGGGGGAGGGAAGAAACGGGGGGGTGTTGCGGGTGGTTGATTAGTGGATTCTTTTTTCTGGGAGCGAGCGCGTGGGGAGCGGAGGAAGGGGAGGCAAGGGCAATGGAAGGGGGAGGGCAATGGAAGGGGGAGAGGGCGGATTTTGTGGGTAATGAACGACGGGGAGGTAGCACTTACATCACACTGCCACGGCAGTGCGCCCCCTTGGGGGTGGAGGAATGGGTTTGAGGAGGGGATTTGCGGGAGTTACAGCGGGGAGGCGGGGAGCGAGTGGGGGGGGGGGGGGGGGGGGGAGCGCGGAGGATGGGAATGCTGGGGGATGGGAGTGCGAGGGGGTGGGGGATTGGGAGCGCGAGGGGTGGGAGTGCGAGGGGTGGGAGTGCGAGGGGTGGGAGTGCGAGGGGTGGGAGTGCGAGGGGTGGGAGTGCGAGGGTGGGAGCGCGGGGGATGGGAGCGCGGGGGATGGGAGCGCGGGGGATGGGAGCGCGGGGGATGGGAGCACGACTTACCCGCACGCAGCTGCTGTCCACCTCCGTTTCCCCCTTGAGCACCGACATTTTTGCAACCCCATCAACGGTCGTCATTCCTGCCGCCGCCCACACACGCCGCGACAGCACGCCACCTGTCATCGCCCCATTGGCCGCGGCCCCTCTAGGCGATATCTGAACCTCCCCCCCTGCGCCTCCCCCGCTCCCCCCCGCTGCTCCCCCTTCCCCCATGGGTGTGTCTCCGCTTTTGGTGGGGGACGCGGCGGAATCTCCGCCCCTATCCGCGGGGACCTTGGCGGGGCGGGAGGGGGACTGCGGCCTTAGGTCCGGGCCGTGGTCGGACGTGCAGCAGAGCCTCGGGCCGAGCCAGTCTTGAGCCACGGAGAGAGGTACGGGCGCGGGAGGCATGGCGGCGTCAGCTTCGGCAAAGAAAGGGGCGACTTGGGAGAGGAGGAGGGAGGGGACTCCGGGTCGATTGACCCGAAGAAAGAGACCGAGCAACTCGAACTTGTCGATAGAGATGACCTGCGGGGTGGGAGGGGGATGGGACGAGGCGAAAGGGGGGGGGGGGGGAGGTGGACCGGATGGGAGGGAGGAGGGAGGGGACTCCGGGTCAATTGACCCGAAGGAAGAGCCCGAGCAACCCAAACTTGTCGATGAAGATGACCTGCGAGGGGAGAAGAGGAAGACGAAGAGGGATGGACGAGAGGAAGGGGGATTGGATAGGATGGGAGGGAGGAAAAGGGAGGGGACTTTGGGCCGGTTGACCCGAAGGAAGAGACCGAGCAACTCAAACTTGTCGATAGAAATGACCTGAAAGAGAGGGAGGGGGCGGGGGTTGGCTACCGGGAGGGAGGTTCGGGGACATATAGGGGGGAATGGGAGGTGGGGAGAGATTAGGAAAAGACTAGGAGGAAAAGCTGCGAGGAAGGAAAGCGATAGGGTTGGAAGAAGGGAATAATCGGACGGGAGAAATGGAGGAATAGGCGGGAGGAAAGAGAGTAACGGGATGGGACAAAGGGGGATGGAGAGGATGGGAGGGATGCGGAGGGACGACGAGGGGGCATGGACAGGAAGAGAGGAATAGAGTGGAGAGCTGAACTAATAAGCGGTGACACTAGGTGAAGCGACAGCGTGTAGAAGTAGGAGTTTGGGGGCACAGGGGAGAGAATGAGAGGGTGAGCGCTCATCTACTCACTCGCCTGTGTGCCTGCCAAGGGTCTCTAGCTCACCTGTGTGCCAGGTTCCGTGCCGTCGCCACTACCACCAGCAGCGTCAGAGCCATGTTCCGCCAGCAACTGTAAAACGGCGGGCAGGTTGTAGGACATGCCTGCCTAGGCACTGGCTGGCACTGCTGCAACAACAGGAGAAAAAAAAACTCGCACTCTCTCACCTGTGTGCCAGGTTCCGTGCCGTCGCCGCTACCACCAGCAGCGTCAGAACCATGTTCCGCCAGCAGCTGCAGAATGGCAGGAAGGTTCTTCTGCAGAAACGACAGCTGCTGCTGCTCCTCCTCTGCATGCCCCGTTTGGAACCGCTGCCGGGTAGCCAGGCTTGTCTTTATCTGTTGGCGCAATGATGACGGGTTCATTCAAACCAAACAAGGGAGAAGGCGAGTCAGACGTGCAAGCGAAAAGAAGCCATGCGTGACAGGTCTGGAACGAATCAAAACGTTGAGTGAGACAAAGCGATTTCAAACGTCAAATTGATGTCTGAACTGAAGGAAGTCGCAACCCTAAAGCGATGAGTGATGATCACGCAAGTCCTGGCGATGAGCGATGATGCGCGACAGAACGCCAAGTCCTGGCGGTCTGTCACGGACTTGGCTACAAGCGATGATGCAAACAGCCCTGCCAGGTCTGCTCTTTCCACAAGTACTTCACCAGCTACCTTCTTTCCCTGCTGCGACTTGCCAGTGACTTGCCTAAGCAACTTCCGAGACGTCTCAAAACCCGCTTAAGAAGGTACGACAATGCGAAGCGAATTAATGCTGCATTCGCCCAACAGCACTAACAATGCCTCATACTCCAATCAGATTACAGATAACGGAGAATAGGCGTTAACAGATAGACGTGCCATTCGCGTCAGCAATGCCGCACTAACATTTATCTAGCCATTGAACGGCGAACGGCGACGAGCCACAGCGGCAGCGGGACAAGCGTCTCATCTAAACGCGGGATGTTTCGCCAAGACAACTTCTATCCACCTAAAATACGTCGACAGTCACTAAGCGCCATCCGCCGAACGGCGAGAAGGAATCGAACGGTGACGACGGCCTCTACAGTCAGACACTGGCGCGCACAGCAGCATCGCGGCGGAGGCTCGATGACAAGAATAGACGTGGACTTTTCCCCTTTATCGAACGTGGCTTTTAGCTAATTCACTTATTATACATCGGTGAGGAAAATCGGCGTGGATTTCCCCCCTCTATCTGACGCTTTTCTTGGTCGACTCACCTATCGGACATCGGTGCACACAGCAGCAATGCGGCTACCGCCCCTCGGTAACGATAATCCTTATCAATGTTTTCCCTCTATCAAACGCCACATTTGTGAAACATACCGGGACAGAATGGTACCTGGAGGGCGGAGGTCGCGGTGGGGGACACAGAGTCGAACGGCGACGGCCCCTGCGGCCACACATCCGCCAGCACAGCAGCGTCGCGAGACGAGCGGTTGGGAACGCGGCGATACCGCTGGAGGAAGAGGAAGAGCAGCAGCAGGTCCACGTCCGTTCCGATCTTCGCCGCATCTGACGGCGACGCGTCGGACAGCGAGTCAATGTCTTCGCTGCCGGTGGGGAGAACGGACGCTAGCGTGTCTAGAACGAGCCGCGCTTGGTCTTTAGAGAGCTTGAGGCATGATTCTATCGCCTCGCATGTGACACGTGGCTCTTGCGCGCCGTCGCGCGTCGGGGAGGTGGTCGAGGCGCCTTCGGAGTTTAAAGACGCTTCGATGAGGCGCTGACGAAGGAGCTTTAGGGTTTCGGTGGACGCTTCCTTGTACGATGCGATCGCGGGGATAGGCAGGAGGCCGAAATCGAACGGTTCTCGTCGCACGTGCAGCCATGGGTTCCCCGGTGCGCGCTCTGATGCCTCCGCCATGGTTCCCCTCCCTAACTCTGCAGTAGGAGGAAATGCGGGATGAAATGTGTTGTTGGTAAATATGTGTACGGAAAATGACACGCTACGGCTTCGGGTTTCGATTCAACGACCGGGATTGGATAAAAATGTTCGACCTGAAATGTCTAAAACACGGACACTGGTTTTAATGTATCTAGAGAATGGCTCAGGCGGAGCAGGATTAAGGGAACCCGAGACGAGAAGACTCACAATGTAGAAGAAGGAAAATAGAGTGCTAAAGGCTACTTGACGTTCTTCATGTGGAAAGGATTAAGGTAAACATGTCCGGGAGAAGACGATCGTTAGTGGGTGAGAGTAATTATAATCTTAGGTATGGCGGTTCAGGCTAAATCAAATGCCAACACACAAATGCGGTGCTTATACTGTAATGCGGTATGATATGATGACTCTATTCTGCACGACGCAAAGGCCGTTTGACTAACTCCTAATCGGACCACGAGCCGAGGTCTAATTAGGTACGGAGCAACAGATCCGCCAAAATTAGGAGAAATAGGGTCGCTCCGCCATAAGTAGTTAGGGAAAATGGAAGCGGAAGATAGTGGAGGGTGCGCGCAGCAGCAGATCACACCAACCGCGCGCGGAAGCAGGAGCGGAAGAATGCCTCCAGCTCTCCCGCAGCAGGGCGGGGCCTTTGGGGAAAAGCGCGGGCTTTCAGCAGCCCAGAGCGCACCTAGAAATTGCCGCAGCGCAGAGAGGGAGGCCCCTTGCGGGAGGTTGTGTGTGGCGTGAAGTCTTTCCGCCGCGTTGGGGTAAAGGGAGCTGCGACTGCGAGTCTTGGGTGTGTGGTGGGGTGAAGTTGGGTGGCCTCGGCTCGGAAGATCAAGGGCCACGTCATGGACAGGCGAAAAGATCAATGCTTCGATAGTACCGTCATTTTGGAACCATGTAACAAAAACTACATGTTAAATTTGTATTTGCCTCCTAAACTGAGAAACTCCTAGAGCCCTTGCCTGATACATAACAAATCACACGTTGAGCTTATCGGTAGTAAGAACCCATGAAGAACAAACTGACGCTTGTAAACAGGGTGATAAACGTTTCCTGCAAGCAACAACAGAGTCGCAAGAATTACATGCAGAATTAGCAACATGTCCCTCACAGTTAAACTGATTTTTTCTATTATTATTGTTATTATTATAAACAGTAAGTCAACATGAGGAAGTTCGGTACCGTAACAGTTTCCAAGACTCACCTGAAAGGTGTAAAGCGCTCGTGGAACATACATCCCAGCAAGGGAATAGGCCTTGATTACGAGCGTGTGAACCTGAAAAGGCGAAAGCAAATGCGTGTGTCCCAGTGAGACCAGGCAAAAGCTTCAGCCAAAATGCCATTGGATGGGGAACAACACTGAGCGGGCAAATTAGACAGATAGCATAAACAGACATTGGTCCCATTCATACCAAAGAGGCAAGAGCAATGACGCCAAAAACGAGGCCCATCGCCCGTGTGAGTCGTCGCCCGTTCCTCTGCCATCTCTTCTCCCCCTCCTCCTGCAGCAGCAGTTGAGAATCACAAGAGATAACGTGTAACAGAAAGGGACGCAGGGAGCATCAGAGTAAAGTTTTGGGCTTAACGGCTGCGAAGTCAAGGATGAACTTTGACAGTGTAGTATGATTCAAATTGGGGGTGTAGAAAGGTAACCGCGTACTGTCGTTCGCAGGTGAACAACCTTTGAAACGTCTCAAACGTGTAGGGGGGTTCAAACTTCAAATCAGGTGTAAAAGAGTATTCGCATACAGTGTTTTGCGGGTAGAACGGGTCGAGCTTCATGAAGAGCTGGAAGATGTAGAAGGAGAGGAGGAACTGCAGGATCTTCCAGTCCGTGCTCTGTGCCCCCACCATCCACACCGCCTGCACAGGTCGCAAGCAGGAGCAGGGAACGGACAGACAGTGATAGAGAGGGACGATGAGGGATGATGACGGGTTTTTCCTCAGACATGTCAACTGCAGGATCTTCCAGTCCGTGCTCTGTGCCCCCACCATCCACACCGCCTGGAGAGAAGCAGTGGGGGGTAGACGGGAGAATCGAAGGGGCAGGAAGAATCCGCTGAGAGTGGATGCCAGTGAGGGAGCAGGGGTTGACAGCAATAAAGAAGGATTGGGATGGAGGAAGGAAGGCTATCGCTTGACCAAACCAGCTGCAGAATCTTCGAAGGGGTGCTCTGCTCTGCCATGGTTGCAGAGTTTAGAGGTTATTCTGTGCCAATGTTGAAGTGTTTCAGTGCCATGAATTTCCATTCCAGTGCTACAGTGTTTAGGGTTTCGTTATGGGATTACTATCTCTATGGTGTTATCTTGTTACCATGTTACAGGTGTAACCATGTTACAGGGGTACCATGACGGTGGAGACAGCAGTGTTGATGAGGATGCTCTTGCTGTCCGCCTTCTCATCATACCGCAGCTTGTTTACCGTGATGTTAGTGTCACACTGTTACCATGTGACAGCATTACCATGACGGCAGAGACAGCAGCGTTGATGAGGATGCTCTTGTTGTCAGCCTTCTCATAGCGCGGCCGCCACGGGAGAAAATCCGTCTGGTCGGCAAACTTGATGTCTTTTGAGACCTCGAGGGAACCGAACGTGACGCCCTGCTTGCGCATGGTGAGCTGGCGCATCATTATGGCATCGTACGCCCTGTCGATCTGGTTGTTGGCAGTGTGAAGGGTGGAGGGGGTGGAAGGGAAGGAAGAGTAGAAAGAAAGAGGGAGCCAAGTCTGTCTGGTCGGCAAACTTGATGTCCTTCGAGACCTCAAGGGACCCATACGCCACTCCCTGCTTGCGAATGGTGAGCTGGAGCATCATTATGGCGTCGTATGCCCTGTCGATCTGAATGTCAGCGGTGGGGAGGGAAAGGGGAGAATGGTTAGGAGGGTTGACGCGGGATAAGAGGAGGAACATTCTGACTGCCAGGGGAGCCAAAAGCGATGACGCCCTGCTTGCGCATGGTGAGCTGCCGCATCATTATCACATCATATGCCCTGTCAATCTGCATACACAAAAGGGGTGTCGGGTGCGGGGGAATGGTGGGGGGAGTGGTGGGGGGAGCGAGCGGGGGAAATGGGTCAAGAGGGTTGAAGAGGATTTACCCAACCCCTCTAACTACCCTTCACCCTGCCCCCCCTTGAACACGCATTCCCCCAACCCAACTCCCCCCCCCCCTCACCCACTCTATTTCCGCCTCGTCCCCATTCCCCTCTGCGCCCTGCAGATTCTCCTGTGCCATTCTGAGTCATCACCGCCCCCCCTCCCTCCTCCCTCCGTCCTCCTATCCCCCAACACCCCTCCCTCCTCCCTCCGTCCTATCCCCCAACACACCTCCCTCCTTCCCCTCACTTCATTTCCCGCATCCTCTCAAACTCAGCGCAGTCCCTTTCCCTACCCCCTGTCCTCTTTCCCCAACCCCTCTCACTCCCGCTCCCTGCCCCGCCTTCAAGCATTTCCCAACCCCAAACCCCTGCTCACCCGCTCTATTTCCGCATCGTCCCCCTTGCCCTCCGCGTCCGGCAGCTTCTTCCTGTGCGCCACCAATTCGATGCTTCACTGGATCCCCCCAACCCCCCTACCCCTCAAACCCCCAACCTCCCCCCAACCAGCTCACCTGCTCTATTTCCACCCCGTCCCCCTTCGCCTCCGCGTCCCACAGCCTCTCCCTGTGCCATGCTGGGGCCTCACGGTCCCCCTCACTCTGTTCCCTCTTTATCACGATTTCCCCACTCCCACTCCCCCTTTTCTCACCCGCTCTATTTCCGCCTAGTCCCCCTTGTCCTCTGTGTCCCGCAGCTTTTTTTCTTGTGCGCCATTCTGAGGCCTCACAATCCCCACCCCGTCCCCCTATCTCCCAAACCTCTCTCCCCACCCCTCCCCCCCTCCCCCTCCCCCCACCCCTCCCCCGCTCACCCGCTCTATTTCCGCCTCGTCCCCCTTGCCCTCCGCGTCCCGCAGCTTCTTCCTGTGCGCCATCTTGATGGCGTCGAATGAGTCGAGAGGCCGCACGCCCAGCACCTGGTACGGGTCTTCCGCGGGCTGCGCGCCTGGCGAAGCCGCGTTGCACGTGATTCGCAAGCCGTGAGAACGGCTGCAGTGGCGGGAACCGGTACAGAGGAAAAGAGAAGGGGAAAGGGGATGGAGAGGGGAAAGAAGTGGGGAAAGAAAATGCAGACATGCAATCGTTGAGCAAAGTCGCAACCCCTGCATTGCACGAAAGACGCCTTATATTGTTGAGGTTCAGATTATTGAGTTTTGAGACGTCTTAAAATGTGGGACTAATTACATGGCATGGTAACTGTCTGGCGACGGCGAATTGCCACCGAAGAAGCATATCAAAGTGAAACATTGCATCATGACGAATTTGTTCGAACACCCCGTTATTCACGTATAGAAACAGAAACATTGTCGCGATTCAATGTGAAACAACCGCGCTGTCGACGTTTATAGGTTGCCACGTGACTGATGCTCACCTTACAGATGACCGGCTTCTGCATTGTAGCGGAACAGTTCTCAGCGAGAACAGCGAGACGCTTGTCGCTGACGACAGTCGACTCGATAACTGTGACGCAGTCGCACAGTTTGTCGCTGCTATCGCTGTCCTGATCGCTTGCGACGTCGCCGCGAAGGCCATTGATCTAATCGCTCAAACGCGTGCGATCACAAGAGTATCGGAACTTCGTTTCGCGATCGAACGAGTCGCGCTTGAGGCTGACGACTCTAGACACAATGGCTTTGGACCTAGTCGAGTAGTCTAGGAACCAAAAGGCTGATAATGTGATCACTCTCAGCTCGAGGAAAAAAGAAGAGCAGCAACAAACAACCGTTGGCGGGATTGCTGGTTCTGCTTGTGGTGCTTGAGAGGACCTTGGGATTGGGCGAAAGGGGATAAACCTCGTTTTAGGAAGAAGCGAATGTCACTGTATTGAAGCGAACAAGGGCCAAATCGAAAGGACAGCATACGCTGTGAAACATGGTCATGTTTCCTAGTTGTAAGAGTTCAACGAGACTCTCACTATCAGAGATACTCATCCTCCACGATCCCCCCATTCGTGCTTTCCCAAATCCCCCCCCCCTAGGCTTTCTCTTTTCCCCAGGCTCGTAATTTGTACCTCGCTGTTCCGCACAATCTGCTTGCTTCACCGCTTCGTCGCTTGTCACTGCATTACATCCAGCTTTCGTTCTTCCTAGAGCCTGCTAAATTCTTGAGCTCTTTATTTTTGTACGCTGCCTCTCCACCTCAGGGGTCCGTCTTGTGGTGGTAAGAGCAGTTTTGTGACGTTCATACCAGATCACACCGGAAACATATCAGTTCCATATTTCGTGTTGCTGTCTGCTGCTGCTGAGTTATGGTGGTTCACACGACGCACCGTGCGGATATACCGGACCCAGATCCTGCGCTTCCCAGCTCGTCATCCGTGACAATACGGGAATCGGAATGTAACGAATCCGTCAAGAGACCCGCTATAGCAGGAGCACGTCGCCTTCTTCAGAGACGGCTCCGGGTCGGTATAACGGACGGTCGAGTGTTTGTAGGCCGGTTCAACTGCCTGGACAAGGAAGGGAATATAATCCTTCACGACACTGTCGAGTTCCGTCGCGCGTCTGCCGCCGCGGATCCCGCAGATCCCCGCAAGAACGAGTCGCTGGAAGAGAGAATGGCGCGTGCCACGTCAGCGGATCCGAATCCGCTGGTTGAGCAGCGACGGCTGGGATTGGTGCTGATTATGGCAAAGGATCGGGTGTGGTGTGACGTGGAATGTGGACTGGAGGAAAAGTTGGAAGGCATAAGTCTTAGTTGAGCCGCTGAGGGTTCATCTCTTTCACAAGGACTTGGACACTGTTCAATATGTACACCCATCAGCAAGACTGACAAGATCCCAGAAAGCTGATACACAGTGTGTGAGTTGGTACAGGATGAGAATCTATCCCTTACGGGTATAGCCACTAGCACTACTCTGGAATGAGCTGTAGGTTGTCTGTGCCTCGCAATAGTCAAACTGTGCTTGCAGGGCTATTGAGAGCTCGTCCTCACCTCAGCCCTACTAGAGTCCATTGAAGTAAAACTCCAACAGAAGCATCTTAACACTGCCTTTTGGAGTTGAACCGAACCTAACTCTGCCATTCTAATCTGGTACGTATGATTATTTGGTGGACACCTTGCTCTCAAATCTAGAACCAAGATCGTCTCTCGTATGACTTGCCCTTGCTCCTGGTGCCCCATCAGTGGATACCGCTTCATATCTTACCGCTTCAGTGCGTTTTTTTTTTCAGAACCAATAAGAATTAACTTTCTCCTTTGTATACTCGTTACTTCACGAATGGATTACACTGTCGAACAGACGGTGGCGGCCCACTCGTTGACCGCATGCTCGAGCGTCAGGCAATCGGCGCTAAGCTTAGTTTCCGCGTAGTAAATTTCAAAATCTACGGCTAACCCTAGAAACGCTATGTCTGTTTGATGCGCGCTTCGCTGATGCGCGCTGATGACGCCTAAACTCAACATCCAAAAGTCTCGTGAATGGAATGGCGGAGCACGAATGCAAGTTCAGGCTCCTTAATCTTCTTCCCCTTCCCTCCCCATCCTGTCCCCCTCCCCCCCTCCTTTCGCCGTTCCCCTTTCCTTCCGCCGAGTTAACTTATTCTGCAACTGAAACGTGCAATCTTGCTTCCTCACTCCGTCTTGCCCTGCTGAGCTGACTGCTGAGCTCATCTCTCATCCCTGCCGTGACTCGCCCCTCACCCCATTCCCCATTTCGCCCACCCCTCATCCCTTTCGCTTTCATCCTTGTTCCTCCTGCGCTGATCCCTTTTTTTCTCCCTGCACTCACCTCTTATTTCCGTTCTGTTCATACCTCATTCCCTCTCCGTTCCCTCATTCCCCCTGTGCTCACCCTTTCCCCCTGTGCTCACCCTTTCCCCCTGTGCTCACCTTTCCCCCTTCCCTTACGTTTCTCTGCTGCACTCGTCCTTTCCCATTCCCTCATCTGTTCCCACTGTGCTCTCCCCTCATTACTCCTGCACTCATCCCTTCCCCCCTGCGCTCACCCATTCCCCGTTCCCTCACCCTTCTCCCCTGCACCATCCCTTCCCCATTCCCTCACCTTTGCCCCCTGCCCTCATCCCTTCCCTATTCCTCCAACCCTTTCCCCTTCGCCTATCATTCCCGTGCCTTACCCTCATCCCCCCGTGCGCTCATCCCATTCCGCCTTTGTTGATACCTCATCCCCCCGTGCGCTCATCCCATTCCGCCTTTCTTGATGCCTCATCCCCCCGTGCGCTCATCCCATTCCGCCTTTCTTTTTACCTCATCCCCCCGTGCGCTCATCCCATTCCGCCTTTGTTGATGCCTCATCCCCCCGTGCGCTCATCCCATTCCGCCTTTCTTTTTACCTCATCCCCCGGTGCGCTCATCCCATTCCGCCTTTGTTGATACCTCATCCCCCCGTGCGCTCATCCCATTCCGCCTTTGTTGATACCTCATCCCCCCGTGCGCTCATCCCATTCCGCCTTTGTTGATACCTCATCCCCCCGTGCGCTCATCCCGTTCCGCCTTTGTTGATACCTCATCCCTTCGTGCGCTCATCCCATTCCACCTTTCTTGATACCTCATCCCCCCGTGCGCTCATCCCCTCCCCCCTGTGTTCATCCCTCACCCCCCCTAAGCTCCCTCAGGCCTTATGCTAATTGCTCATTATCTCTGTGTCTACCCCTTCTTCCCTTTCCACTCATCCCATCCCATCCTCCTGCACTCATCCTGCATTTCATTGACAACTGTACAAGTTGCTTCTCCAAGGCACAACCTTTACCTTGCTTGGACAACACGGCAACACGGGACGGGAGCACAAAATCCAGCAAGAACAAGGAACTTGGCGCAACTATACAGTTGGGGTCTATACAATTGGGGTCTATACAATTGGGGTCTATACAATTGAGGTCTGACTCACTGCATCTAAGCAGGCTGGCTATTGTCAGCTTGTCAATAGACCCTTTATCGAATTAGTAAGGTATGGGATCTGGAAAGTTGAAGCTGGGCCGCTTCTGCTTCCTTCTGTGCTTGTTCATGTATGTTATGTATATATTTTGTTGGGCTGAGACAGCCCTTAGGATCTTTTGCAGGGGTAAATTCGGGGTAGGATAATTGTAATAGCGGAAGCGTTTAATGAAAGCTTGTGAACCACCTTGCACTGGTGTGTGAGAGCAAAGTAAGTTGATTAAAGCAAAGGGATACAGGCTTTTATATATGAGTACAAGGAATATGAAAGGATGCGATTGTAACTACTTTTGCTGTTGCGGTTCGATACAGTGACGACTCGGGCAACCGCTCTGTAACGAGTCGGTTGTGTGTCCTTGCTGTCGTACTGTACTTGTCAGGTCAAAGGTCGCTGACCTTTGACTTTCGCGTAACCTCCAGCAACCTCTTTCAACCTCCGAGGGTTGACTCGCTCGTGCCTCGATATGACTCGCTTCGCTTCTGGTGTGATGTTTCGACACGATAGAGGCGCTTTAGGAGTTACTTGTTTCCAACACTCCCCTTCGCTTCTGGAGTGTCGCTGCTGATGACGTGGCCTTGTCCAGTCAGCAGCATGCAGTACTCGAACTTCTGCTTTCCGAGCTTCTTGGTCAAATAGTCGGCTGCCATCTCGGACGTGGGACAGTAGGATAGTTCAAGTCTCCCCTTCTCGATCTCGTCTTTCACGAAGAAATATCGCAGGGCGATATGTTTCGTTCTGTTCGCGAAGCCACTTTTGTTGGCGATGCGAATTGCAGATTGGTTGTCGCAGAACAGAGTGAAGTTGGGTAACTCGGCTAACTTCGCTTCTTCCAGCAGCTCGCGAAGGTAAAGTCCTTCCTTGGTGGCTGAGCAGAGTGCGATATATTCTGCTTCAGCTGATGAGAGGGCGATTAGTTCTTGCTTACTCGACTGCCAGGAGATAGGACCGATAGGCTCGAGTCGGTAGATGTAGCCGGTGCGGGAGCGCCTATTGTCGGAATCGCCGGCGTGATCGGCATCGACGTAGCCGATTAGCTTGGTTGGTGTAGTTGCGTTCTTGTGATACGTTAAGCCGATCGTTGGAGTGCTGACGAAGTAGTGAAGAGCGCGGTCGAGCTCCGCCAGGTGTTCTGTTTCAGGCCTTTTGAGGTAGGTAGCGAGCTGGCTTGCGGAGTATGAGAGGTCGGGGCGGCAGGTGACAGCTGCGAAGAGAAGACAGCCCAACTTTCTCTGGTAGTCGCGTATGCCGGCGGGCTTCAGTAGAGTAGATCCTCCCTTGTCGGCTCCTGTCGTGTAACGGTATGGCGTGGAGATCGCGGTCGGTGTGAAGGCGAAACGCTTGGCGATAGTGTCGGCGTATTTTGCGGCGCTGAGGTAGATCGCGTCGTCTTCTTCTCGGATGTTGAGCCCAAGGTACTGTGTGACGGTAGATGAAACCGTGAGCGTGAGATCTTGCTGCAGCTCCCCTTCGAACCAGGTGGTGATGCCGTCGAAAGAGCCGATGTAGAGCAGATCGTCTACATAGACGATTAGCAGGACGTAGTCGTTGTTTGTCGTGAGCCGGTACATCCCCTGATCGTGGGGTAGTTGTTTGAAGCCAATGCGGATGAGACGGGCGTGTAGGTACTGCTGCCATAGCCGCGGGGCTTGCTTAATCCCGTAGAGCGATTTTAGTAGTTGACAAACCTTGTTCGGCTCTCCGTTGGTGCCGTGCGGTAGTTCCACGAAGATCTCTGCGTCAACGGGTGCGTAGAGGAAGGCGTTGGCGACATCGATCTGTCGTAGCTTCTTCTTCTTCATGGCGGCGATCGCGAGAAGAATTCGGAGTGAGGTGTGTCGGCTAACCGGGGCGAATGTCTCGGTGAAGTCCCGTCCGTGCTCCTGATCGAATCCACGTACCACCCAGCGTGCTTTGAATTTTTCGATTGTGCCGTCTGCTTTCGTTTTCACGCGGAAGACCCATTTTC